TGTTGTACGACGGAAAAGAATAAGATAATTCACCAAGCAAATAATTTATTATGATCTGGAAACCTCTGAAACAAGTAATAGCGAAAGCCTGTGGACTATCAATAAACTGAGCTGATAAAAGCGAAGAAGATATGAAGAACTTTCTAGAGGTTTAACGGTTTCCAATTACGTGCAACGGTATTCATTAATTAAGGCCTTTGGGGATTGTGTACACGAGACAAAACAAATTAAACAACAATAACACAGGCAAACACTGAACGCTACTCTTTCTTGCATCAATCTCATCTAAGCGTCAACGTGATATTCTTCTTCATCATTTCTAAATTTTCAGCCTCCCTCCCTTTGTCCCTCATAGCTTTCAGTTTTTGCAAAAGTTTAAAAGGATGTTAGAGAAGCAACCGGGTAACACATCGACTATTTCGACGCTTATATATATATACTTTCTCCTGACTCACCGCAATTCCCTTTTTCTTTGCAGATCTTTATATCGATATGGCCATCTACCAACACCAAAGAAAGGAACAATACGATAATTCAGTGCGATACAGTTTTCATCTTGCTGACAAAAGCTCCAGTGCATGGTAAATTATCGTATATACAAATGAATCAAGGGAGTAAGTTTCTAAAGAAGCTGTGGTGCTGCGTCGGTGGGAGAAATTGGCCACCGTAAAGAGTTTAAAAGCTGACGTTTCAAGCGTTAGCCCTTCGCTCAGTCTGACGCAATTCACATATCAGTCTTTTTACTAACAATTTACTTGCTGATTCCGATACTGAAGAATGTAAATTTTAAGACCTCCTAAATTTCAATAATTGCCTTGTCGTAACAGTTTCGTACTCAGTTCCCTTTCATCCCGCACTAAGACCCAGTCCATGTCATTTGTTCGTCTCTAGTTCCCCATGCAAAACTCGCTCTATCCTTATAACTTCAACTTTATTTCAAAACGAACTGCCTCAGTGCATTGACTGAGTGATCTTTTAGTTGTAATTCAAAGTGTCTTTTTTTTTTTGTAGGATGGTTGGATCATTAGTTGCTTCAGTGAAACAAAGGCAGTAGTATCTTTGTGCTGTTATTCTTTGTGTTTTTAAGTGACCAGACCATCACAGTTTGATGCCTCTGACAACACGTAAGCCTGTAGGGCTCAATTGAAGATTTCATGTGAGGTCGATCTCATTTCCGAAAATTTATTTCCCAGTCATACAGAAATACTCCTGTTAGATATTTACATTCAATCGCTTGTCTAACGACATAGGATCTCCCTGAGTGGACCATTTAAAAGTTCTAAAGGCCTTAACTTTTAAAATGAGATTTTAATTAGCCCCAAACTTTTCATGTGATAAATTTCCATTTCATTTCAATATTAGAAGATATGCACCTACCTTAGTTTGAAAGCAGAGGCATCGTGCATATCAAAATGACTCGCTGACAAACAGCTGTCCATCATACATCCACAATCCACTGATTCTTTTCGCATTAAGAAAACCGGAGAAACTTAGAGTGACTCTATATCATGAGACAAACGATTGAACGTCCATTTATCATTATGGTCAGGGCTTTGTAAAACGTTACACAAACACATATTTTACATCCCGAGAAAATAATGGAACTACTCTTTTCTCTTGTTATAATTCATGGACAGATGTTTAGGCTAATTTTTTTTTTAATTCTTTTTTCGCGTTTCTTTCTTTTTATGGCCCCTTGCAATACTTTGCATTCAAATTTCATGGATTTGAACGAACTTCAGTATCTTGCAAGCACGACAGCCTTTTCCAAGTTTTTTCACCGTGAAAATTGTGTTTCGGTATCTGATTGGTTCAAAATGACAGTTGCTTTACAATAAAAGAGTAAATAATTGTCAAAATTGATTCTTCAAACTTATGAAAAAAACATATCAGATAAAATTTAACAAAACACCACATCAATTTTGACAAGCTGTTCAGAGCACGTTCGCTTCCCCACAAGATAAATCTGAGAGAACTGAGAAGGAATCCAATCGGAGGCAAATTCTCCTTCCTACTAAGGACACGCCAAAAACTTATCAGAGATCCTGTCCTTGCAGATTTCTTCATTGAAAGAGCATCTGGGAACCGAGCTGAATTTTCTCTTCTCGTTATTTTCAGCCGATGAATTCTGCCACACTAGTGTGCAACAACGGGCTTAAACAATGTCATCTCCAGATTCAAAAGAGGAGGTAGATTTCCACGTCCGTGTCATGGTTACTTTCATCGTGGTAGTGTACACTATTGCTGGAGTTTTCCTATGCCGAGAGTGTTGGCCGATGGTGAAAGATATTTACAGATCATACTACCCAGAGAAGTCGGCGGCGAAGCGGAAATCCTCAGTTCCTAAGATATGAACTGTCAACGAGCTGTCGAAGGAAAGCCACTCAAGGGAGATTTTGACTACTTTTGTCTTCGCGGCAAGGCATAGCAAAGCATAGGAGTATGATGAAGAAATAAGTGAAAGTTGAGGACACAACTTTTTTATTAATTTCATTCTAAGTTTAAATAGAAAATACAAGCCTATTTATAGGCAAATTGAATGGCGTGCATTTTCACTGACAATTTTTGTGCAGAGGCGACGAAGTAGTAGTGAGGGCGCAGAGAAGTTGCAGTTTTTCCCCCACGAAAACGTGTGAGGGGGAGACAGTCCCACCTAATTCAAATTCTCCCCCCCCCTTCTCCCACCCAAGTTTCGAAGCGGAAAATTTTGCTTATGTAGTTTAGAATTTGCTTGGCATAATATTTAGTTTTGTGACCTCTCAACAAGATCGTTTTTTTATGAAATTTAAAAACCTGAACTCTGTCTTCCCTTTCGTGTCTAAAACATTGTCTTCCCAGCCACAACCGTTACGCCGTTTGAGCTCGGAAACTTTCTGAATAGAACTTGACTTGCTTGTCTTCAACATATGTCCACCTATTGTTTATACTGGTTGTCTATTCACGGAGTAACCTCTGACAACTACTTTTATTTTCAACGATTTCTTCAGGTGAAATGAATATTTGAATAACGTTTTAAGTTTCCTTTTCGATTAACTTGTTGATGTATTGTCTACAGTGGCTAATTTCAAAGATTCCCCAACAAGTTATTGATAAATGAGTCCGAGTAAAATTGTTCATCTGCTCAGTTTTAATTTGCCACAAACTTTAATTTTTTTCTGCTGCGAATCAAACGTTAGTATCGTCTTCATCAGCAAATAATGCCGTCAAGACCACCGTAAATGAGGCAACATTTACAACCGTTTACCCTTTCCATTGGTAAGTTTTTCTTTTCTTCTTTAATTTAAATGCATGAGATTTACAACACCTAGTGTTGAGCTTAGAGGCTTGAATTATTGCCAGCTTACCGAATTTCGTCTTAAATTCAGCTGGAGAATTGAAACTGTGTGGAACTTAAGATTTAAAGGTAGTTACAATTTTGCGATCGAGGATACAAGTGATATTTGCGTCGCTCTTTTAAGTTGTCATATAATTCTAAGTTTTAGGTAACATAATGAAGACCATGAACAATTTTAACATATGAATGTGATGTTTGGAGACAGCTTATTAACTTTCTTTGTTCCTTTCCAGGCGATGGAAATCCACATTGACTACATTATCTACTTCATTAACTTCGTCATTTACGTTATCCTTTGCTACATGATCATAAAACAGGCTAAGAACGATATTTTTGCACCAAATAAAAAGGAACGAAAATCAGAAGTTCGATGTCCAACGCACGGACGCCTTTCATCCATTCCATATGGTTATAAACAACACATCACGCGATCTTAATGATCGACCAAACACCAGCTTATATTGGCTAGATTTTGAGACAGTCCTTGCACGAGAAACACTTAAAACTGAAACCCAGTTTTAGTCTTATAAATGCCTGTTGAGTATCTCAAGTAGTTAGAGTTTCCCTCTCTGATGAAAAACTATGTATAACCTACAGCTGTTAAATCATAACTCAAGTAGCATTAGTATAAAGATGTATTTCGCTATATTATGAAACTTGTATCTTTTACATCTGAATAAAATTGAGAAAAAATTGATCTAGATGACTGATGTGCCTTGTGAAAAAAGTGAGGAAAACAAGGGAAGGATTCAAGACTGTGATACGTTAATTTTCAACATATCTTCGGAACTCATTAGAACTAAAAGGACTGTCAACCAAACGAACTGAAGATGCACCACGCTGAGAGGGACATAATTTGCATTCACCAAAGGTGGTATATGCATATTCTATAAACTATGATCCCAGCTTGAAAAGAAATCCGAGCAGTTTATTTTGAAAGCTAAACCCCTGATATGAGGCAACGATTTGACTCCACGTCTGTCGTATCAGATTTGGGTAATCGGCGGCATTTCTGCTGTTCCTTCGGTCTTTGCGTTTACACTTGGTTGCGAGTGGAATATGGCCTGATAAAGATTAGGAAAAGGAAGAGAGGTACTGAGAAAAAAATGGATCGAGAAAGCTAAATACTAGAAACAGCAGTACGGAGTGTAACGCAACCTCGAAAACTTCAGACTTTTGGAATTTACGATCATATTTCTACACCACTGAGCTTCAAAGAACCGGATAGTGATTGTCCTAACCCTCAGAAAGGGCAATATCAAATTTATATGCGACGAAAGCCCTGCATAGAGCTAGGAACATTTATTTAGAAGGCGTCGTTTGTTGAAAGATGGTATGCAACACACATCTCGAAAGGTGAAATAAAACGATAAAAAGTGCAGTTACTGTCGCTCTTCACAATGTTTTTTTTCCAGTGTTGACAAAAACCATGTCCTTGTAAATACAGAAGTTCCCGGGTCATATTCTTTGTAAATAGACGCATCGTTCTTTGATTAACAGCCAACATGTGTTATTGATACAGAAGGGCGGGCGCTTTTTCAGCTTGATTAGTTGGATCCGAGAGAAGTCATTCACTGCTGCGTTCTAGCAGCAATAAGATAGTTTCCTTCAACTGGATATAAAGAGCACATTTTTTGATCAAGTCCCATTTTGCATCGCTGAGAAAATGCTGCTGTTCATTGTTGTTGCAGTGTGTTTGGCCGGTGCCTTAAGTTACAATCCGGAAGGTAAGAATGAAAAACCAAGGAGGTTAAGCTAGGAGATCCCATGATCAAAGTGATCTTTTGCCAACTTCTTCAGTTACTTTTTAATCACTTTCAGTTTTTGAAAGTTCACGAGAATCAAAATAAATACCCATATCGCGTTAAGAGCTGAGCTCACTAGAATAACTCATGAACGTCTATCCAATTTTCACATCGAAGAAGTTCACACTAAGTGTTCTTATAGTCCACTTCGCATCACTCCCCAATTAGTGGACAACAGAAATCTTAAAAAAAAACAAGCAACACTTTTATTTAAATCTCAAGCTTTTTTTGAATGATGAAGTGTTGTATCTTGATCTTCTCTTGTGGCAAAGCAGTAAATTCTAGCGTAGCCTATCACTATTTATAGAGAGAGAAAAGCAAACTCGTACGAAGCTCCCTGTGCCACAACCTCTCGTGGGTGAACTCGACCTCCTCCAGTAAGCGACTGCTCAGACAAGATCTATCTTTTGCCCGTCATGTGATCATAGTTGGAACTTCCCTTGCAAGAGTTCCTTCCTCTTTTAGGCGGCCACCTTACTACAATCCGACACAGTCTCGCAAGCGTCAACAGAAATGCGAATTTTTTTTATACAATTCAAATTATGCGGCGATACAGTTTTTTCTGATCATTTGATTGCTAAATTGAAGTGTTTTTGGCCTAGGGATGGTCTTCAGCGTGGGTAAATACCTCTTCGAAAGCAAACTTTTGACCTAGATTTTCTTCCGCTATTTTTTTGTTTGTTTTACCCCTATTCAGTGCTCGCTGATGTCTGATATTTTAATTTGTCGCTCTACCTGGACTCGCTTTAGGTTTTGGCTTTTCGAAAACAAAATACTATAATTGGATCTGTATAGTCTTTTTAAATTTCTCATTTCAATTTTTTCTGGTGCGTAGAGAACATAGGAGTTGGAAATCCTGATCTCTTTGAAGGAGACATGATCCTTACGGCTGAACAAAGGGCTGCTGCAATGGCTGGACAAGACGTGGACGCGCCAGCTAGCCGTGGCGCCATCAGAAGGGGCTTGTGGCCAGGCGGAGTTTTGGTGTACGAAATCGATAGCAGTTTTCGTGAGTTTATCGAAGTTTTCGAATTATTTGATTAACAGTAAACTGCAGGGAGTCCCAGATTCAAGAAGGAATGATCGTTTTGCTGAATAGGCTATTCTAAGGAGTTGTCTTTTATCATGTCCATACCTCTAAGTTATCCTCTATCAAATCACTGTTTTTCCATCTTTTCGAATCTCATAAATCAGAGAAATCTAACATTCTGAGCTTATATGACAAGTGCTCAGTTAAAAAACAAACTTACCCAACAGCTGAAACAATGTTTGAATTGTGTGGCAGGTGCTACAGGCGTGTTACGAAAGGTGCATGTAAGAGTGGAACTTGAAGCGCTCAGAGAAGAATACCCACATCTGCTTTAATCTTATAACTCGCGCCAATTATTCAGGCAATTCGTGTAAAATAAATAGTTTGGTAAAAATTATTCTGTAATGCGTAAATCTACATAAAATATGGCCATAATCAGCGATGAGAGCTGCTACATTATTTCCATTTATCCACAGGCCGGAGTTCGAGTGCAATGAACGCTATTCGGAGTGGAATGAAGATGTGGTCTGATAACACGTGTATCACATTTAGGGAGAGAAGAGGAAACGAGAGAAGCTATGCGTACTTCCAGGGCGGTGGAGGGTAAGCGATACCAATCAGAATAAATCTTCTGTGTTTTAGTGCGTGCGCACACGTAATCGCCTTGTATCCGGTAACGCTAATTCGCTATCTATATGAACAGCCCCCTATTTGGAACAAAAATATGCCGGACATGTTTGTTCACGGAAATTATTTGATCTGAGTAGCAAACAGTTTCCTGTGAGCGAAACACAGCGTAACGTTCTCCCATCTTAGATCAACTTTTAACGGAATATTCTAATTGCATTTGACGGGAAGTTTGAAAATTGAGGAATTCGCTCAGAAAATATTATCGGATATTCCCCAATTTCAGTTGGGCATATTCACGTTACGCGTTTAGACTGAATCGCCTGCGAGCGAAAATATTTGACGGATCATAAGTTATAACATGGATACGACTTTAAGTTGATCGAGAGAATATGATATGATCGAGAGAATATGATTTTTGCTTCTACGGGTTTTTGGGGAGGAGCTATTGGTGAGCTGGCTTCGTAAAGCTTTTGTTCTTAGAGGAGATAATAAACGATGATAAACATCTTTAAAGCAATGTCTATTAACAGTGATTTTAGCATTAACACCCGATGATTAATTACAGCACTGTCTTACACAGTTTTATTTATGAATTTGAACAAAAGGTGTTCATCAATGGTTGGACAGACTGGACGAAGGCAAGCCATCACTCTCGGAAGAGGATGTTTACACGTAGGAGTTGTTGCTCATGAAATTGGTAATATATACATCACTAGCTTGATATAATTCTTCTACCACATTTGACTGTGGGTAAACTTTAAAAGTAAGATGCTAAGCTTCTCTGAAGCTAGCTCAAATTGTTGTTATCAATATTTTCACGGAATTAACTTCACAACGAAGACGACGCTGATGCCGACATATAACTTATACAAAATAAGATACCGTTCTTTAAGGATCACTGTTGAACAAATTTTTGCTTTTTATAGGTCACGCTCTCGGTTTTTACCACGAACAATCCAGGCCTGACAGAGATGAATATGTAACCATCTACCGACAAAACATTGTACGAGGTACTCTTGCCATACACTTTACAATACATTCTTTATAGTTTGAACTTGATGGTAACATTACGACTTAACTCTGATGATGAGGTTGTCATGAAACGTCAATCTACTACCTGCAACAGTCCTTCCCAGGACTACACTCACCCCACAGACGCGAGCTTGGGAGACCTGTGCTCACACGGACGATCGGACCACACGATCATTTCCGTATTTGTTATATAAAAATTGATAGCATTTCCGACGCGGTGTTAATTCAACGACGGCATTTAATACAAGGCGGCGTTTATTTTCAAATCATATCACTGAAATCACAGACAACTTTTACGGTAAATGATTTGTAAATATGACTTCAGAGAGAAAAATGATTGAAGTTCCAATGATTCTTTTTTCAGAAGTGTTTGATTTGTGATAATTTTAACAAGTATAGGACGTGAAGGATGGTCAAATTTTCTTAATAACCCCGCGAGTACAGCCGTGTTTTTCTGTTTTGGTGCGATGCTTATTTTATAGCTATTGTTCACTTTCCTTCTATCTCTGGCGTTTGATTGAGAGCAGCTTTGGATTTACGGTGGCGTTCAAATGAGTAAATACGGTACGCCATATTACATATGTCCCCAGTTCTTCTAACCAAACTTATTTACAGCAAATACCTGCTATGATCATCGTACAATTTCGCAGGGATATTCTCAATTTTTTCACAAAGGTATAGAATTCAATTTCAACAAATATAGCAAATCGACGATTGATTCCTTGGGAACACCATATGATTATGGAAGTGTCATGCATTATGACGCGAGAGCTTTCAGCAGAAATGGACGGCCAACTATTGTTGCAAAGAAATCAGGGGTTTGTTGGATTAAAAATTTAATGCATGATGTATACATTATTGCAACGGTGATTATTAACCGGAACTAAGCTAGGAATGGCAATAACAGCTTATTGAAGTCTGCGTCTGAATTGATAGGCGTACTATTTTCGAATCGGGTCGGTCCAAATTCGAATCATTCGAATTAAGTTCGGCTCGTGAACTGTATGGCGTTCAAACCGCCAAGAAACTTGAATAATATCTTAAGAACTTGCTTCAACTCGAACTAGATTGAAGTTAGTAACACTTGTATATATTTCTGCCTCTATCCAAAACACACGCCTCTTAAGATGTCTGAAATCTGCCGCTCTTGTGATTTTACTAAGTCACAGACCGTTAATTTTTTGGGGGCACGATTTCTAAGTAATACACCGTGACCGTTGGAATGTCCGTAATTTCACAACTGAAACATTTCTTTATCGTTTTTGATTTGAAGCGAAGTCAGTTCTGTAAAGAGCCGACGAAATTCATCTTCCAATATTCATCCAGTTACTTAATATTCAAGGATAGTTTCAAAATCAGCTGCAAAAGCTGACTTTTTCTTTTCTTTTGGCAGGTAACACTTGGAAACCGCCGAGACCTAAGCAAAATTGACATTCTTCAGATGAAACTTTTGTACAAATGTTCTGGAGGTGGCGGCGGACCAAACCCTCCCCCTCCGACCAATAAACCACCAGGTTTGTGTATATGTACAGCTCAGGGTCGAAAGATATGTCTCCATTATTTCTTTAAGTTTACAATTTACTTATATATAACGCTTACATTTCACGGAACTTTTCAGCAGGAGCCAAAGTTCCCTGTAGTTTGCCTGTGTATGACGTAAGCTGGCAAAGGAATCACTTGGATTTTTTTTTTGGTTTAAATTTTAGGAGAATGTCGCGACACTGGAAAGTACTGCAGCTACCACGTTCCTCGTGGAGATTGCGAAAGGATGGATATCGTTAGACGGAAATGCAGAAAAAGCTGTGGTCTATGTCCAGAAGGTAATATTCGAAGAACAATAGAAGAGACCTCAGTATTGGATACTAACTACGTACCGCATGGGCATCACGCTTTAATTAAACTTTGCTTTAGCTCGAGCTTTCCTCATGAAAAATCGATAATCAATACCCCTTTTTCTCTTTCACTTTTCAGGAACTCCATCACCGAACACTAATCCACCACCTCCACCGCCACCAGATACCGAGGCACCTCCTCCCCCTCCTCCTCCAAACACAGAGATGCCACCTCCTCCTCCACCAGACACGTGTATGCCACCTACTCCACCCCCAGGTAAGTACACGTTGGCTTTGAATGAAATTCAAAGATTTTATCATTGCAGTTTGAGGGATCGGGAAGTGTTAGTCTAGTGGTTGGTTAGCGTGTTAAACTCAGATCTGGGTTCGAGCTCCAGAACGTCCATCCTACCAGAACTTATCCCGGTTTCAGTTTCATCCCTGGAAGCGATGTCGGATCATCGGAGAATTTTTACCTAACGTTTCGTCAGGCTTTTTTCCGACCCTATATATACTAGCAACATATACGCATTTGTATTCTTGGGAAAACTCCAGGATGAGGAGAAGCACTGTGAGTTAGATGTTTGTCCAAGAAAACAAAACAGTGACCCGACCAGAGCTTGAGCCTGCATCTCTTGATCCAGAATACAGCCCACTGGTCTACAAGTTTTTTTGCTCAGGAAAATTAGCCTTTGTTACTTAAGAAAGGTGTTACAAACGTTCAATAAAATCAGCATGCACACAAAACAATCTACCAATGTAATTTCTTTGACTGAATGGCCCTCCTGTATATTCAGGTGAATGCCGTGACACTGGCAAGTATTGCAGCTACCACGTCCCACGAGGAGACTGCGAGAAAATGGATATTGTCCGGGAGAAGTGTCAAAAGAGTTGCGGTCTATGTGGTGGAGGTATTTATAAATTATCATCTAATTCGCAAGGAAATCCATGTTCTATTTCTTAATAAAAGAGCATTGTTTACATGCCCCAATATGGTATCGTGTAGCTAAGTACAGTTTGATTCAAATTTTGAAAACTTGTTTCGATAATGGGTTCACGTTGTTCATTTTTCATTATTTTTCCTACTCTGATTCAGAACCTCATAAATCACTAGAATACAGAATGGGATATGAATAACAACAATGAAGAATGAATAATCGAGTGATTTTGTAGAAAAAAAGAGCCTGAAGATATTTGCCATTATCGCTTTGTAGACAGGTAATTTGAATTTTGGTTACCTTCCTAACTGGTTCAGTGCTCTTACCTCCTGTGGGAGCCCCTTGTAAGGGTCGAGTTGGTGTAAATAAGCTACATTTAATTTTCAATTATCATTAACTCGGGAACAGTAGGAGGATATCTCTATGACGGTTTACTGTTAGTCGTAAAACGGCTAATGGTTTAACCTTTTGGCAAATTTTAAACGTTAGTCGTTTAAAAAGTTCACCGTAAATATAATTCTGGTGACAAAAATGGAAAGATGTTAACCGTTAACCGCAAATTGGCTAAAATATGAACCATTAGCCGTAAAAGCCGTCACCCCTTTGAGATCCTCCAGTCGCTGTAATGGTGAACGACAAACTAGCCTAGCTCAAACTATTCATGTTCTATTTCTTTTTCTTTTTTCTTTTAATATTTCAGGAACCAAACCACCCCCACCCCCGGGCACTGACATTCCTCCACCTCCTAATACAAATCAACCTCCTTCAGGTACGTTATACATGGCAATTTTTAATGACAGTTATTCAATGTAAAAGGCTGACAGAAACGTGTGATTTTATACTGGCACAGGACAAACCTAAACGCTTCATATCAATTTGTAAATTTCTAACGGTCTGTCGGTGGAACTTCGCGTTTCAAAGAGATTCCTAGGGACGGATGAGAGTCGATGAAAGTTTAGATAACTTCGAGCCAACTTAGAAAAATCCGTTACTACATCGCAAACGTTATCATGCCTTTTGCCTCTACTAGGTTCTTGCGGTGTTGCCCCTCTCGGTAGCAGCCGTGTGATTGGAGGAGATGACGCTAATCCGGGTGCCTGGCCATGGCAGGTTTGCAACTTGACAGCCCCCTCCGGGATTTCAGCCAGTCAACGCGCGTAACCCTGCAGACCCAAACTTCTGCCATTTTTCTTTGTGCTTTATTATCGCGTCCCGTTTACAAACTGAACACCCGGTGCAGGCTAACCACTTAACAAACCTTACCTTCCGTTTTGCGTCGATGAAATATATTTACACCAACAGGTTTACTTTCATTCGTATGATCTCTTTAAGGTTGGTTTACATAACAGTCGAGGAGGATTTTTCTGTGGTGGAACACTGGTAACACCATATTGGGTTGTCACGGCAGCGCATTGCATTTCAACCTTGTAAGTTGCATATCTTTAAAAAAAAACTGAGCGTGGTGTTGGCGATGGCACCAAATTATCGTCTATAGCATCAGTTTTGGTTTATTTTTTCACACCCAAATAACATTATTTGGTGGGCTCGAATTCGAAGCCAGGGCCTTGGTTTCAAAAGCTGGCCAAAGAACTCTTCAAAACCCCAATATGTCGTGTGTCTGAGAAGAGGTGAGAGCATTGCGTGACACTCTAAGCGTGAAGTGCACTATTGGTGAATTAACAACGTCAATATCTCAAACAAACTGCCCTTAAAATATGAAGCCATTGACGGCTTAATTAACAGGGAGGACTAAACTCCAATTAGAAACACTAGGGGATTGTAAATGAAAAAGATAAGACAACTACACTGGATTTTTTTTCAAACTGTGAAAATCGTAACAAGCTTCCCCGTAGTGTATCAAATGAGCCTGTAAATTTAATCTTATTTTTTAATTCGGTATTGAGGAAATATACTTTATCCAGAAAACTTGATTACAACCAAAGTAATTTTTATGAGATAACAAGTGTGCTATGTCTTTTATTTTTTTGTTTTGGCACAGAAACCCCTCCAATTATGTTATTCGGCTCGGAGATCACAACCGACACCGAAATGAGGGAACAGAGCAGAATATAGGAGCGTCACGAGTTATCAAACATCCACAATATGACAGCAGACGGATTAATAACGACATAGCTCTACTCAAACTTTCTCGTGCTGCCAACATTAACGATCGAGTGTTGCCCGCTTGTCTTCCCCGAGCAAACTACATTGTGCCTGCTGGAACAACGTGTTACATTACAGGTCAGTTCAGTTTGTATTCAAATCGAAAGAAGTCACAGGGGCCATCAGAAGTAAGAAAATATCATTAGCAACCAATAAGAAGTCGAAATGACAACAACCAAACTGCCATGCCAAAGATCGGGAAGTCGTAAGTTTTATGTTAAGGGGAAGTTTGATGCAAACAGGGCTAGCCTGGGCCGAGTAAATACCATCTATCTCCATCAAAAGAAAAGGCTGTATGTCAAATTTAAGTGTAAATGATACATACAATTATACCTACTTGGATTAATAGGCGGATATCGAAATAATTGCTGAATTGCACCTCTCATGTTACCGATGAGTTTACCCAACAAGCTAGAAAAACTGACCAAAAATTACACTTAATTAAGCAATACTTTTGCGTGTCAGCTTTGTAAGTCTGTGTCAGCTATTGTATTCCTGCTGTCAGTAGGTCTCTGTTCGTTACGCACGCTTCATGCCAGGAGAACTTTTTATTTCTTTTTTTCCATTGTTTTGTTGTTGTTGTTGTTGTTGTTTTTTATCATTTATTTTTATCATTGTTTTTGCAGGTTGGGGTAAGATTAGACATCCAGGTAACTCACATCACACACTACAGCAAGCCAAGATATCTCCTGTGTCAGAGTCGGATTGCAAAAGGAAAAGTAAGCATCTTCCTTCACTCCAGAATTACCCCATAAAATTGCTTCGAAATTGACTAAAACTACGACTTTGTTTATCCCTGCGTCTATTTCTCTCCTCACAGATGGTAATGGCATAACGAGAGCGATGCTATGCGCTGGAGTTCCGGGAACTCGACTCGGTGGTTGCCATGGAGATAGCGGCGGTCCTTTTGTCTGCAAAAACTCCGGGGGATTCTGGGTACTCCAAGGTGCAGTTAGCTGGGGTTCAAACGACTGTAATGCTATGCGCATGTTTACGGTTTTTGCACGAGTTTCAGTGTTCAGGGAATGGATCGACCGATACATTTCATAGCGAACGCTTAAATACTGCATTTCTTGAAGGAATAAAAGTCATATAACCGTACGTAACATATGAGTAGTGTTTTCGTTGTTCAGCTTTGTCATCTGCACCACATCATATTAAAGTTGTAAAAAAATAAGTTGATTGATTGGTTTTAGTTTACTGCCCCAAAGCGCCGAATAATTAAGCTCAACAATAGTTTAAATCTCACAAGTGGAGTAGTAAGCTCATTGTACCTTTAACCCTTTCACTCCCAAGATCTCATTAGTAATTCTCATTACCTTCCGCCATGCCACACATTTCTTATGGTGTTGGTCACGAAAATTTGGTATTGGATCAACTAATAATCCCCTTATTGACATTTTTCTCTGTTCTCATCAGTTGCCTGCCTGATATTGTATTTTATATTTTAAAAAATATAATCTGGGTTCAAAGGTTTTCCAAGTGATCTACCCTCATTAACAAGCGTCATGTATTAAATTCGACGAGGAAATTAAAACTTTTGATGAATGTCAAGATAGCGCTCCTCACAGCAGGATATTTGCAACAGGAAGAACATTGAAAAGTGTTTAGGAATGTTAAAATTTTGCTTATTACAACGACAAGCAAGCACTGTCATCCAATGACGCCACTGTATTTAGCATACGACTATGCCGACACTATCCAGCTAAATTCATCTTTAAACGATCTGGGAACAGAAATGACGGAAAAAGATAGATTTTTGTGTGGTAGTTGTAAAAACTTTATATGAAATTTGGGGGCGTGATGGACTCACCAGAAATGATTACTCAGTTCCGGTTTCTTCCGACTCCCGGATGAAGGGAAGTAGTATTATGGTCTGTTACCTCAGCTAACTGAACATTACTCGACCAAGATGGCTCGTCGTCACCGCAGCCAAAGGATACCATCAGGCGTAGAAGAATGGCAAATGGCTCGCAATTGGTTGAACAGTTTAGGAGTTTTACCACAGTTTCACCGAGTATTATACCCCACTGCAACTGTCTTTGAACTGGCTCAGTCCCTTCGAGATGGTGTTTTACTGTGTCAAGTGGCTAATCGTTTGCGTCCCAACTCTGTTCCAGACATCACCATGAGACCCCAAATGTCACCGGTTTGTACACGCTTTCCAGCGGTCGTTTCACTCACTCGATCAACTGGTAGTCTTAAAGTAGATTGACGATAGCTAGCCAAGATTTCTGTTGTTTATTTCGTCGTTCGATAGCCACAAACACTGATGATGTTTGTTGATTTTGTGATGCTACACCTTCTCAATGAAAGTTGTAACCTCACTTCCTCTTGTGCTTTGACAGTTCTACTGTTTGAAGAATATTCGAAATTTCCTCGCTTCTTGTACACGGGATTTTGGTCTCACTTCAGAGGCTTTGTTTGATGCTAACGAACTGTACGATGTTTCTGATTTCGCCAAGGTATGTATCGACAGATATGAGGCACTAGACTCAAAAATGTGATGAACCATGACTTGCAGTTGTTGATTTTACGTTGAGAAATTTCCGCTTACGTCCAAACTTAATTAACACAAGAATCAATGAAGGCATCGATGTCTTAAATACTTAGAGGTCCTTACCATTGACCTTAACGAGGTAGAACTAAAATTCACATTAATGAAATACTTGTAACCTGTTGGTATTCCTCTCCTGGAGGGGGGCTTGTGTATCACTGTCAGTTTCATTTTAAAAGTGTTTACTTGGTTTAGTAGTATAATAATGCGCATTTGTGACTTTGAAAACAAGCAACTTTTAGGGTGTTTGAATTGATTAAACGCGACTATTGACAACGAGGTGATGCCGGAACGTCTAAATCATATATTATTTTGAGTAATACAATACCATTATTATCGTTCGTGTGAGGAAATGTGCAGTTTATCTGTGTTTATTTTGAAGACAGTGGTCGGAAGGGTAAATAAAGTACACAATATTTATTCATTCGGTGGCATACGTTTTAGCCTATCAGTTCATTGCTATAATTTTAAAGCTCTTGTATTGCGATATTTTATTAGACTTGGTGTTGTGTCTATACACGTTTATGTTAAGTAAGTTTTTTATTTGATATTCCATTAATTAGTTTTGTTTCGAAATTTAACGATGAAAAATAGCCTCTCGTGTACTACACAAGCATTTATTCTGTTTTGCTAAGGCTAAAAGCTCTGTGTGTCCCAGTTTTGTTCTTTTGTTTCCCTTAAAAGTATTTTTTTGTCAGTTACTAAATATCCTTGTTGACATTAGCCTGAGCATGTCTACCAGGAAAACCAGATTTCTTCCTGCTCATATGAGGAAATAGTAATTTTAGTTTCTTATCATGTTAATGAGACTTTCATGGTCCTTATTAGCTTTCCATGGAGATATATCCTGCTATGTAACAGGGTAATTTAGTATTATCAACTGAGTTGAAAATGTAAATTGGCCACTGTAAAGAGTTAAAAGGCTGACGTTTTGAAAGTTAGCCCTTCTTCAGAGTGATTGGGCCAACAAAGGGCTAATGCTTGAAACGTTAGCCTTTAAGCTCTTTATGGTGGCCAATTTACGTTTTCAACTCAGATGCTAACACTAAATTACCCTGTTATACTCTCCCACTTTTGCAGCACCACAGTTTCTTTAGAAACTTACCTCCTTAATTCATATATCCTATATAGTTTAATTTAACAGAATGAAAGCACAGATCAAACTCCTGGATAGCATGCACTTGATGTAACAATAGTGAACCAGAGGGATGAAGAAAATGGGGAAAGAGGAAGAGGGAGGGGGGATTATTAGGGAGAATTGTTTGCTGCCACAACTTTAATGTTATTCTCTCTCTTTACAGGTGATTAAAACTCTTTCAATCCTCTCCCATACACAGTTTGCAATTGCAGCTGGATTTGAGTAAGTTATCACTTCATGCATTGGTCTAGGAAAAGCTCTCCTTTTTGTCTAAACAAAAGTTATCTTTGAATTAATGTATCTAGATGATTATCTCAGGGTGTCTGTCAGGCATGGGAAATCAGAGTATTTTCTGTCTGAAATTCCAATGCCCGTTGCTTGAATTGTTGGGGGAAACCTTTGCTGTGATAAAATTCCCACATACCATTGAGAGTTTTTCTCTTTTAACTGTGCTATGCTGAGGTTCAAATGTTTTGTTGGTTTATGCAGGCCATTTCCGCCTGAAAATTCTGGACATGACATTCAAGATGAGGATCTTTATTCAAATCTTGAAGATCTTGCTTTGTAAGTATTATTAAATTTAAGTTATTGGTATCCTTGACATCAAAATTATTTAATAAACTAAGCTTAACAAGTACATTTTGTTAGTTAAGTCTGAACATATTTTGATGGAACTGTGGTAGTTTCTTCGCTAGGATTTGTATAGGAGGACAAATGCAAAGACAATGTTGTAAAAGAAATAAAGTCCATGTTTCTATGTGTCTGCACAGTAATAGATCACAAAAAAACATTGAAATGTGGTTAGAAAAACAGTAATTCACTCAACTGGGCCTTGCATGCACTTTTTTTATTCTTATCACATCTTGACATCATATATGATATATTACTGAACAGATGCATGGCAACATGAATTTGTGTTTTTTAACCCTTTACATCGGGATGCATATTCTCCATACTGTTTTCTATACATTTCCTGAGGGGCTAACAAGGAGAATTTGTTTGAAAATCAAGAGCTTCTATGGTTGGTGATCGTTTCCTTTATTCTCATGACCTTAATGTTTGATTCGGGGGTGATATTGTAAGGAGAAATTAGATACTAGTCACTCTTAGGGTTTAAAGGGTTAAGTACTGTAGATACCCAACAACTAATAAAAAAACACCCTTCTGTTTGTAATATAAGACTTAGATGTCTAATTTTTACTTATCTTCAGGGATCGTGATATAACTGAGGAAGAAAATCCCTATGATGCAGTAACCATTGAAGAAGGCACAAAAATTTATGAGGACCTTGTTTCTTACCAGAGATTTCCAGTATGTTTGATGATGTGCTATATCATTGTATGATTTGTAAAAACAGTTTAGTTATGTGGTGGTTCATTTGCATATACCTGTATGTCCTTGGCTTTTTTCTATCATTTACTCTGTTTTCTCCCTTAAAAACATTATCAGAAGCCAGAGAGACAGACCTCCATAGAAGAAAAAAGAAATTATGTGGTAGCTGAGCTTCTTGAAACAGAGAAGAGTTATGTTGACGCACTCAAGATGATCCAAGAGGTACATAATTTACTACATACATATAAAGGGCCCAGTTGTTCGAGAGGTAGTTATACTTATCTAATGAATAAATCACTCTCCAGTGGATAAGGGTTAACAAAATGTATTGCTATATCCACCAGAGAGAGATTATTCTGTGTATGTCATTATCCTACTAAACAACTAGGGTCTGAAGTGACTACTTGTACAGTATATTTATGAAACAACAAGCAAAAGATTCCAATGATACAGTTGAAAAAAACAACTTGCCATTGGAAGTGAGATAAATTAAAATGTTGCATTACTAATAACTGTTATTTTACCCAGCTTCAATGAACAACCACAATGTTTTTCATTTCATAGAGATTATTCTCTGGAGAAGTGACAATAATTTTGGTTTGTTATCCACAGCACTTTATCAAGAAGTTACAATCAATGTTGTCACCAGATGACAGGGCTAAGATCTTTATCAATATAGAGGTATGCAATTGTTTGTTAGTTTTGTGTTTACTGTCATACTGAATGTGTGAAGAATTTTATAGTAGTGACTTAAGGTAACTGTTTTTGCAGGAGATACTTCGAACTCACACAAAATTTGTTGGAAAGCTAGAGAAAGGTTGTAATAGTGGACAAATCAGTCCTGTTTTTCTTGAATTTGTAAGTATTGTTATTGTATACATAAGTAATTGTGATTTTAAAATCAATTTTAGAGTTTTTATTAGTGACATTTTTAAACTTTAGACACTTACTGGTTTACTGGTAAAATTGCTTCGCCTTCTTCTTTCAGAGGGATGAATTACTTAAGTATGGAAAATATTGCACAAAAATGTCTGAAGCTCAATCTTATGTAAGTTGACTTAAGTGGTTCAGCACTGTACGTCCTCAGTTCTTGATTAATATGTAATATTCTTGTAAGCATATGTAGGTGTACATTTACAATTCAGGATTTGAAAAAAAAAAGACTTCATTGATTGCTCAAGGAATGTGATTGTATTACATGGACATGTTAAAAAAAGTTATCTAATTGATAATGATTTATTTTCCTTAATTAATTTATTACGTGTAAGAAATAATCAAAAGTTAGAAATCTGAAATTTACATGACAGATCGATGAATTATCAAGAACAGATCCCAAGTTTCGTGAAGCTTTAGAGGTAATTTAGGGTTAACATTTCTACAACTTGTATGTGACCAATGTGATTTACAGCAAAATTGTTTTGGCCTTTCCCCTCGTTTTATTTTGCAATCATGTTCTCAAAGTTGTAATTCCCCTCCAGACTTTAAATTGTTTGAGTCACTGTGAAGAACTCAAGATATTTCATATATCCTTTAACAATTTTTTGTTACTGATTAACCAATTATGAAGTTTATGTACAAGTACTCGCCACCTTTGAAGCTGTAAATTTGAAAAAAGGAAAAAAAAAAACAAAGAAAAATGCTAGTCCACAAATGTAATGGTAACAACAGTTATAAGGACACATTTCACAATTCTCATTTTGTCACAGGCCCATGGCATTGCTCTATATGCAGATCTTGTTATATGTTATTTTGTTTTTAACTCTCTCTAGGAATGTCAAAGAAGAGCGAAGAGCAAGTTTGCCTTGAGGTCATTGTTAGTAGTACCATTTCAACGTGTTCTAAAGTACCCCCTTTTAATTCAGGTAATTTTGGTTTAAGTAAAAAAAAAAGAAGCTACAACAGTGATCATGATTAAGTAGTATATGTATAGATCTGTGTTTGCATTCTATCGTCATGAACTGTACGAAATTCTTGATTCTGATTTGCATATGAAACTGTAGTAATGGCCTATGTATGGTGTTTGTATGCATTTCAGGAACTTAACAAGCAGACAAAGCCTGGTCATCCAGATAAGAAGGGCCTTGAGAAAGCACTTGCTGCAGTACAGGTTGGTGTTGATGTACATCAATATTTTCAAAATGTTAGAGAAAGATGAAATATCTGTAAGTTTGTTGACAGTAGTACTTTTCTCAAATATTAACATGGCATTCCTTTTCCTTTTCTTTGATATACTTGTTCACGATACATCAATTACTGTCTATTTAGGTTTGTAATAAGAAATAAGTAGATTAATTGCTATATTTGTATAGTTTATTAAATTTCTTGTGAAATTAAACCACAAGGCAGCATTAGTTTTGATGTGAGGCATGTATGTATGGATTATGTTCAATATCGATTACAATGGTTACACTTCAAACAGATAATTTTTTTGGCAAAGGACACCTACAATGGTCTACAGTAATTTAGAAAATATACTTAAGCAAAAATCTCAAGCTTAATTGTTCAACAGTTGTGTACTTATTCTTTGTATTGTTAGGATGTTGCTAAGTTTATTAATCATTTGAAACGTGACGATGAGAACTCAAGATCAGTAAAGGATGTAGAAGACAGGTTAGTCAGAGAAATTTTTGACTTCTAAACATCTGGGTCTTCTTTATGTTATTTTCCTTGAACAACATGAACAGAACTGTGTCAACATGATTACTTATGTCTCTGAGGTTTGTCAAATTAAGGCACTTCTGATGACTTGTTTTAAAAGCTCTACCTCATATACATGTACATGTACTGTACATGTAATTCAAAATGTTAGTTTGGTTATCATCTAGAACCTATAATTATATTGAAAAATGATGAAATAAAAAACAAATGTGCTTGACATGTATCAAGAATAACTTGCATAATGTTTAACTTTGACTCAGGCAACTTATTCTCTGTGGATTAGGATATATATATTTGAATCTTCTCTGAAATGCATTGTAATAACAACATTTGTGTACACTGTACCTACAGTTTTATCTTAATTTTTACTGTATATTTAGTTTATTTCAACAACATTACATAAAGAGCTCCTGGTTTATTTGTATGGTATGTGAGCTCATAGTGAGGAATGTGAATGCTTACATTTAACATAAATGCTTTGTAATTTTACTTTAAGTATTAAAATAGTTGAAAACACATGCAGTAACAAGTATCAGTTATTGATTGTCACTTTGCCTTTTTATCTTGTTGTTTTAACAGCTTGAGCAGTGAAGTGGTAAGTCTTTGTATTGCATATTCCTGCTCAATTTATGTTTTAGTGGATGCAAATAATTAATGATTTTGTAACCTAATTTGCAAACCTGTTAGGCATACTTTAGTGAGTGTACAGTAGAAATTCTTTTTCTAGCTAAAACAGACTCTGAAAATGTTTTGTTGTACATGGCATATCCTTCACTGAACATGTGTGTATTGTCATTAAAATATGAAATATTTACATGCTTTTCCTTCTTTTCATTTCAGAATATCAATTTATTCAGCTTTGGCCATCTCATCAAAGATGGTGAACTACTTATAAAAGTCAGTGATCAACCACCAAAGAAGAGGTATGGCACAATGCATTCTCCGACTTGAACAAAAAAAGTAACACAGAACTCAGTACTTATCCTATTCCTGCTGTTGTTGGAAACATTATTTAGAGGAAAATTACTAGCCTGTAGTGCAGGCGTCTTATGAGGGAGAGTTAGTGTTAAGAAGTGCACAATTATTTATTAAACTGGCCATGCTTGATTTGGAGTTAAAGTTGATGGGTGCCATAGTTTTTGCTAAAAAAAAAATGATCACTTGCTCGCCAAAATTACGCCTGCTCTGCAGGCTAGAAAATTACTTAACATGGACTCTTAGATTTGGTTTTAAAGATTTGACGATTCTTAGTTAGTTGACCGTTATTTAACCTAGACACCCACATTTTGCACTGTAAATACGAGTTTTATTTTGTTGCAGGCATGCTTTTCTTTTTGATACTGCCTTAATTATTTGTAAGACAAAGGTAAGAGATCATTCTTGTATTTGTGTACTTCACTGTAATAAAATGAAAACCAGTACAGGAACTATGACTGCCATTTACTGCCTATAATGCAAAGATAAGTTCTGCAACTGAGCCATGAAAACAAAAAAAAATTGTTGAACCATGTACCTTTGTATATATTTAAGAGAATATGCAATAGGAATATCAGAGGCTATTGCCGATCATTCTCAATAACATTAAATCAAGTGATTGTTTTCTTTTCTTCCTTTTTTCGTTTTCTGTTTTTACTTCTAGGGAGACACATACCACCACAAGCAATCTTTATTTCTCCAGTATTACGAAATTCAAGACGTAGGTTCTTTACAAGTCAAGAATAAGGTAACCACGAGGTTTCTTGGTGGCTTTGCTGAAGTGTTATTCAGTTCCTGATTAAGCGATTTTTTTATCTGTTTTCTTTTTCAGTTTTCGCATAGTTGGTATATGAAAAATGAACAAGGTATGTGTGAAATAGAATACTTTGGAGATGTTTGGTTTTCTTTGCAAGACTGTTTTTCAGTGTCAAGATAAAAGTTGGATAGTGTGGGTTTACTTTTATTTGTGACTGGTGTTCAAAAGTTGTACCATCCAATCCATCAATCTGATGGAAATCAAAAACAAATTGGGACTTGGCCTCTTGCACTTTCGTGAGCTTTTTTGTAGAGTGAGTTGTCCTTGGTTCCTTGTTCTGACAAGCTGTGGTGATCACTTTCTTTTGTTGTTTTTTTTGTTTTTTCTTCCTTTTTTTTGTTACAACACTAATTAGAGAGGCAACTGAGTACGCTCCTTCTTTGCACGGTTTCAATTGCCTTTGATTTACGTTTTCTCCTAGTGAACGTTTGCTCATGGAGTGATTTAAGGTAGTTTTAGTGGGATTTTCTATTAAAATTGCAATATGCATTTTTACAGAGCGAAATTGTTGCTACATGTCCACCAAGACGGAAGATATGAAAAGTAAATGGGTTAACGATATTACAGTGGCCATGTAAGTGACTCCACATGTCTAACCGTTGCCGTAAAGTATTTGTGCAACTCTGTAGTTTTTGTATGTGAATGAACGTGTTGTACAGAAGTAAAAGTCGTTCCTAAACTGCTTGCTTTCTTCACTTGTTAACTGGAGATATAATCTTCTTTGTTTCAGGGAGAATGTCACATTAAAGAATGTTGAACAAGGTAACAGAAATAACAATAACCGTACGCTGCTTATTCACGTAGTCACGGGGGGGGGGGGGGGGTGGGTCCGTATTCTGAGATGTATTACTGTACGTACCCACTGTAACATGGAATCTATTTGTTTATATGATACAACAGCAGGATGTGGTAAGTAGTGTTGACGTCATCTATGTGTCTGTCCTCCCAATCAAAGTGCGCGTATCATTCAGCTTATCATGTAATGCATTATGCGTTTGTGGTAACTGTTACGAAACAGATCTGAATTATCTCCATGGTGAGAATGATGTAAGGTTGCTATCTGTAAGCATGGACTCTGCTCTTTGAATGTTTGGAAGCATTATCCACCGATCAAATATTTAAGTACATTTTTCAGTTCTGACGTGCAGAGCTTTAGTACAGATAATAAACTTACATTCTCCTCTACAGGCAGTCATAAATTTGAACTGTACACGTTCGCGACGCCAACTTATTGTGGAGTTTGTTGTAATCTTTTATGGTAAGTCATAGTGCATGATTTAGAATTTAAGATGTGAATTTTTTTCCTTTCCTTTGAAATTAATTTCTTTTTCATCGAAAACCATACGCTATTGTTTCATTAGGGGTTTAACAAACCAAGGATACAAGTGTGCTAGTAAGTATATGTGCTAATCTTACTCAACAAACACCTATAAAATAATAGTTGAAAAAAAGTAAAAAAAAACGTTATCAAAAAGGAATTTCCGTAAAGTTTGTGTATCGCTTTCGGTCACCTTGACAAGGAATCCCAACCTTAATGTATTTTTGGATCTTGAAAGACCATAACGGACTATGAATTGGTAAATGCAGGACCTACACATAGGTACATGTGAGCCAGATTTGCCTTAAACTGTACTTCTCTGCGCATTTTGCCTTGAATTTTAGGTTTTTTTCATTGATTGTCTTTGTTTCTGATTTGTTTTTCGAAATGTTATTTTTTATAATACAATCATACCGTCGTGCCTGCTGGTCTTAGGTTATCGCTAAATCTGCTTCAGGTAGTGTCGTGTGGATATTTTTGAAGATTCGGCAGACCTTGACAACAAGAAAACGTCTTACAGGTGTGCAGCGCCAAGAATTTCCAGCCATTACTTGCGTGCTGTAGTGACCGTGTTTTTGGCGGGAAAGTATCGACGTTGCACACCCGAGCGCGGTTGAAAACGCTTACGGGCGTCTCAGGAGTCGATGGTTAAACTGAAATCGATGCGTTTATTTCCTTTTTCAATTTGTTCCAAAAGCTTGTGAGACTTAATTTGATATAACGTAAGCTAAGCCTTTTTATCCCTTGTTATTAAATGCGGTATTTCTGTATTTCTCTTGCAGTTTGTGATGCTACTGCTCATAAGGACTGTATACCCAAAAGTGCAGCATGCCGAGCGAGTCCTGGGATCCATGGTCAGTTCTCTGGTACATCGCCGTTTCGTCCCCATATGGCGCATAGAAATCCTTTCTCCAAACAGAGTTCATCGCCCACTTCTTCGAACTTCAGCCCTGACCTGTCTAAACAAAGAAAGATTTCAGCGCCGGGGAGGATACGGCAAGGTACTGTGTTTTTTAGGGTAATTTAGTATAATAAATTGAGTTGATAACGTAAATTGGCCACTGCAATGAGTTTAAAAGCTGACGTTTCGAGCGTGAGCCCTTCGTCAGAGCGATTGGAGGAATTTTAGATTGTGTGTGTGTCCACTTCTAGTTTGATTAAAGAAGAAGGGTGCTCCATAATTTCTCAAACGGTCTCCAACATCTCGAAACTCGATTCGAGCCACATTCTTCGAAGTTTTTGTGAAGCGAGGCACAAGAATCAAGTTTCGAGAGGCTTTCGACTTAGTTTTGAGAGGTACTGTAAAGTTTTTCTTTGCTGTTCAAAAGTGCAATTGAAATTATTTAACTGAACGCGATGTGAGACTCCGTGAGGTAATCGCGCCTTTTCCCAGTTTTCTTTTCTAGCTAAGAATTCGATGATCAACACCCCATTTTGGATCGTGCTAAGCAACATAGCCGGTAATTTGTGACGTGAAGCTGAATTTTGTGCACAATCAACCGCGAAGTAATAAAAATTTGATAAATTGTTTATTTCTGAACTTTCACTGTCGTCTGGTTTTTATTTTTCCAGCAGTGCCTGTCTCTTTAAATAAGAAGTAAATTATTTTGCATGTGGTGTGTTTCCTCAAGCTAACAAGATTGTGGTTTTCTCTTGGCAGAAAATTCGAGTAAGACTCTTTATGTCGCGACTTCAAAGTAAGTGACTTCTTTGCTACCTGAGTATGTTGTTCTTACGTTCTCAATTAGTAATTATGAAAGCAAATTAGATCAATTTGAACTAATTGTCAGGTGGATAATAATTTGGGATTAAATGAATTTCACCTCACTTCGCCCTGTGATTGTTTTAGAATGTATAAATCGTACGGCTTGGGGCCGTTCAGATGTGTTTGATTTAAATTCTTAAAGCGTACCTCTGAAACAAGCTGTGATTGGCTATGGTTTTTACGACTTTTACACGAAGAGCACTCTATTCAAGTTTAAAGACAAGTTGTCCTTCGCATTCGTCACACCTACCTGAGTCGTCACGCAACTTTAGGGGGGCGCCAAGTTATACCAACAGAACTCATTCCTCCCGTCGCATGCATATAGCGATGTTAGATGAAAATTCTCTAATATTATTTTTTTTTCATTCTTTTTCACCAATAGTTTTGCTGGAATCGCTCCTGGTGGCCGCCCAGTTTTAAGTTTTGTTGTAGGAGATGATATAGAAGTTATCAACAAGCATGATCCAGAATGGTGGGAGGTGAGATAGCCAAATGTTTTTTTCCATTGGGTATGTTTACGCGTGTTTGACCAGTCTTCAGTTGAAGACGCTGCATACTGGAAAAGGTGAAGTACTGGAAATATTTATCAAAGCTGGGTCGATGGACGATTCCATATCGTGTCCAGATGTCGGCCATTAATTTTTTTAACTGCGAGAACAATTTTTATATTCTATGGCGTTGTAAATATTTCGACATGTTCTTTTGTTAATGTTTGTTTTGATGCGCACGTTGGCGTGATAATTTTCATCTTTGGCAGGGACGGTCGAAGAAGACTGGGGCAGTTGGTTATTTTCCTCAGAGCCACGTGGTAGGTGAATGATGGTAGAGCTCTATGGATACGCAGAATCCATTGATAAATGAAAAACAAAGCTTATCAGAGCAAACAAACCAAAACACAACTGCGATTGCAAGCTACAGTTTTGACTACAATTTCCCAAGAGAAAAATATTTGCTCCAAGCCACGCCATGTTCACACAGCTTATGTTCTCTTCGTAACTTTCCCCATTCAATGCAACCTTGGTAGAGAAGCGGTAGAATTCCTTCCCTGCTGGACTGCACTTAGCCTGAAATCACTCATGTCTGTATTTGACTGATCATAATTGGAAGCGAGTGCAGCTAAACGCTGCATTTCCACCACGTGGTCATCGAATTTTGTTAATCACTCGGTAAAACAGTAAGTCTTTTTTGCTTGTGTCAGTAGTTCGTATTTATAGATTCTTTTTCATTTCATAGACGTTAAAAGCAACATCCCGCTATGAAGAAACCACGATTAAAGAGGAGTAAGTGTTGACCTGAATATATCATGAGTGAAGCTGTATCTTTTTATTAGGCATTATTTTATCGTACTTTGCTGGGTGTTTCTGAAACTGAAATGTGTATTTTACTTTGGCCTGGGCCCAGTTGTTCAAAGGACGGATAACGCTATCCAACAGATATATAGCTTTCCAGCGGATAAGTCTTATCAAAACCTGCAGTGCTATCCACTAGATAGCGTTATCTACCCTTTGAACAACTGGGGCTAGCTAGACATCAGCACTAATGATATATCTGATCAATACAAAGGGAAACGCGGCGTAAGGTAAACAAGTTAACGCAGATGCATTGCCATCCTAAATATGAGTTTAGATGATAATTAAAGATTGAAATTAACAGGTTTTACCTGGGTGTCAAGGGTAGGTTTTCCTCAAAGTATATGTGGTTCTTCTTTGATCGTACAAGAAAACGCGAAAAGGCCTGATCGGTCATGGAAACGTTTCCACAGGAGCACGCAGAGCGACATCAGATGCTTTTAGCTCTCACGGTGTGTTAATATGATCGCTGCCCTCTCTCGTGACGTGTATTCTCATGCATCGTGGTCTTATGGACCCAACAAGCAACGCAGTCGCCACGCGATAATTTGTCGACCATCCTGTAACCTACTTGTACAAAGTTCTACTCCTGTCTTTTTTCTTAGAGTCCATTCCACTCCTCCGCCGTCACATCTAAACGTTTCTCTAAAAAGTTACAACTGGTGAGTTCTCTTTCTCGCGTTTGTTACTTAATTTCAAAACGGTTTCTTCCTTCTACTAAGCGCTTACGAGCTTTCCTTCGTATAAAAAAAACAAACAAACAAACAAACAAACTACCACAAGAACAACAACAAACACGAAACAAAAAATGCTTCAAACGTCTGTAATAGAACATAGGTTATTTTGTGACGTGAATGACGAGGTGTAGCGTGTTTGGGCATAGTATGACGTGATTCGTGATTCCTGTAGATATTTCGATGGTCTTTTTCGATGGTCTCGGTCTCTTAAAGGGGACAAGCAACCTGCTCAGCAGACCCAAGTGTTTCAATGTTATTTTAATTCGTCACCTCACCAGGTTTGCGGGAAAGAAAGACAGACCGTTAGCAGAACAAGCGCTAACAGACAAAAGTGACGGCACTTTCCTTATAAGGGAAAGTGTGAACAGATCTGGAGAATACGCCTTATCCGTCAAGTAAGAACCAATTAGCTGTCAGTATTTCACCCAACATTTGATTGCATAATGTATTTAATCTTGTAAGCACAATTTCAGAACATTCACCGTGTAAAGAAAGATATATTTCGTCGTCTTGTCGCGAGCGTGGGACAATGAAAAAATTCTGAGTCCCCATGAGGAATCGAACCTCAGACAGTTGGATTCGGCGCTCCGATGCTCTACCTCTGAGCCACAGAGACTATGGTGAGCGTGGTCTATTACGAAGTTCGTATGACACGCGTCCTACATATTGCAAGGATCAGCGATGTCGATAGCGTCATGTTTGTAAATAAGAATTCAACCAGTAGATTCCCAATTGACGATTCATATACTTGTATGGTGATGTAACTGTAGTGTCTTTTCTTCCCCCCACAGATTTCGCAATAATGTTAAACATATCAAAATTCCATACGAAGAAGGAGCTTTCTATCTAACAAAAGCAATTACCTTTCCATCAGTAGAGGTATGGTACCACCTCTGTATCATGAATGCATTGGTAGTTTTGATTTGTTCTTACACTTTGTTTAGTGAACGAGTTTTCCACTCGAATTTCTCAGCGCTGTTGTAACGGTAGATCATACCCTCCACTCCACCATCAGCAGGGTCCACTTATCGTACCTTTTCTTCCCCACCCCTCCCCTTTCCTCCGGTCACCCACACCTCTTGTCCCAGGTTCATTACACTAACGTTCAAATGAATCTTTGCCTTGTTCAATGTGTGCCATTAGGAACTAGTTGAATACTACAAGAACAACACATTGCGGGTGAGCTTTCCTGGACTAGACACGAAATTACGACACGGTGTCAACGAAGAACAAAAAAGCAAAGGTAAAACAAAATTGTCTTCTTATCCAGGAATCTCCGTGCACTAAAACAGGTTGAAAAAGAAGAGAGTAGTTGGCCACGGTTTTTTTTTTTTTTTGACGATAACACATGGAGGGTTATACCGAATGTTAGTCAGGTAAAACAGAAAAACACTATTGGGGCCACCTCAAAAAAAATTAGATAAAATAAATGAGAGAAAAAGATCAAAAGAAACAAAGCAGGATGGTTGAGGAAGGAAAGTATAAAGACCGGTTTTACATGACAATCTTGAAACATTGGAACAGATGTCTATAGATGGACAAACATGACCCAGCTTCCTAAACAGTTCTTCTCGTGTCGCCAACTTAACAGGCATCCACCTGTTTGGTTTGTCTAAATTTGACTGGCCTTTTGTGATTTTAAACGCAACGAATTCTTTTGTTTTTTACTCACAGACGGAATTGGCTGGGCCAAAGCCTTGTATCCGTATGCGGCGAGGAACCCAAAAGAAATCTCTATCCAGGTAATATTGAACTGTTGACTTGAATTGATATCCAATATCTAATATGTCTTTTCGATGTTGTTGTTTTGCCAGTGGATCTGGTCAGCTTTACAACTTTTTAGAAGGTGATCACTCGGTAACACGCAAATACCATGTTCTGTTTTGTCACGCTTTGTCTTCTCGTTCCATTGCAGAAAAATTCCAAGATTCTCATACTTAACCAAGAAGGTGACTGGTGGAGAGGAGAATGCGAGGGTCAGGTGGGTGCGGCGAAGCCTTGTAGGTCCTAATTAATAGTAGGTTAGCCGGGAAGGTGGGCCCTTCTAAGGTAGACAGCGAAATGTATTAAGCTATTTCACGGTTAAGCAGTTCAAATTATGTCCATCGCCTGTATTTTCGATGCTTAGCGCTTTTAAAGTTATACATACAGTTTGAATTAGGACCCTTCCATACTGGATTGGTATGGACGGGTTCGTGAGCATATTTGGCGCGACATCATTCTCCTTTTCTCCATGATAGGTTGGTTACTTTCCGTCAAATTACGTGGAGGTCCTTAAAGAAACCATAGAGCCCCAGGATTAATAGGAACTGGATATGATTTGGAAGCTAGCATTGAATGCCCGAGGGTGACGTGAGAGAACGATGAGAGTTAATATTCAAACTGAGATTGTCGTGGATCAAAGCTCGACGTAGAAATTAACATGATCGGGGATGGCTGCCATCAATCAATTCGTGGGATATCAGAGTCAAGTTCCTTGTGGGATGTTAGGACGATTTTTGTTTTGATGAATGTTTGACTGAACACCAACCAGTGCCAAGAGTAACCACAACGGCGACAAAGGAACGTTTTGGAACCACGCTCGTTATTGGTTTAGACAATCTGACAGACATGCGCTCTTGATTGTTATTTTAATGATAGGCCTAACGAGGAAGGTCATGGTTATGCTGGTCACGTGATCGGAAATAGTATTCTTATCATTAATTACTTTATTTATAATTTTTGGCGATGAATTATGGGAACTTTTGTTTTTGGTCATATCGAGTTCCTCGATCCAAACCTCGTTTAGGTAAGGTTAATCGTCACTCGTTAATCGTTAATTGAAGTGACGAGTCGTTTCAAAATTTATCGCGCTAGTACTGTTTTTTCGAAGTAAGGGAGGGGGGGGGGGGGGGGAGGTGGTGAGGAGGGATGGGGGAGTGATGTGAAGGTTGTCAAAAACAACCATATTGGAGATATGAGATTGATTTATACCCGAGGTTACCCATTGCCAAAATAATAACTTCAAGGTTGCCAACCCAAAAAGTTTCGCCTGAGTCGCGTTGGTTTTTTAATTTGTGATTTCTTTTTAAACAACATACGTTAATATTGATAAGAGATTCGCTACAGAGCGATAAAATAGTCTTTTTAATTTTATTCGGCCAAATTTATATTGTACAGTACTTTATGCTCCACGTGTATTATTTCATGAATGCATAACAAGTGCTAACAATCGTACTCACCACATAAATCCATTCATTAGGCCTATTAATAATTAACAGAATATTTTTTTATTTACCCTTGTCTTAGCAATATTTGTTCCTTTAATTAAATGTTCCTACAGGAACTGGTTCGAATTTATTTGTCTAGTTGAGAAATTAAATATGACGTTCTGAAACACCAGTGTTGTTTCTCTACGTATCAATTGTTAACAGTAAGGAGTGGTATACTTCTTTCCAAGGACAAGAATCACAAGATGCCATTCCACCGCATGCCGACCCAAAGGTTTCGTTAGGTTTTCCTGACAGTTGGCTGTTTTACATAATGCACCTATCAATGGTTTGACTTAGGACGAGCGGAAGTGGGGGGGCTATCAACGAAAAACAGACCGAGAGGACTCCCCGTTGAGTAGGGATTTCGACATTAAAGCCCTGCCTCAGGGTCTAAAATTTGATCTGTCAGCTGCCATCCCCTGCGTCTCCCACACATAGGACTGAGGAAAAACCTTGCCTGTGACTCTTAAACCTGTTTTTCAGTTTCGGTTTCAAGCAAACGTCAGATAAAGATGGATCACGCCCTGCGATGCCTCTAGACGAGGGCAGACGAGTTACCTCTTAATATAAAATGCAAAATCTGAGAGCTGTTCGGACAAGATGAAAGCACTATATGGCCGCCAATACTCATTTCTAAGGTTACTTTCCTGTGTAAGGTGTGGTTAATACAAAAATACTTCGAAAAACGGATATGCACATATGAATTTTTTCCATTACCGTTTGAAAGAGCTGCTCAACTAAACCATGGTTTCGAGAAGTATTTTGTGGAACTCAAGTAACTGTACAGAAGGAATACGAATTTGTTTCATAAGCTAACATCCCATTCAAACAGCTTCGTGAAGCAATTGACAGCCTATTTCTTTCTGGCGACTCTCGTTAATGTCTTCCTACACTTAAATTCCGTTGTAGAAAGAAGAGAGTCTAACAGTACAGCCCCCGTATATTGTGGGATTTCAGTAAGAGTTTACTTGTCTACATTAAGTTATCTTGGCAGCAATTTTCAAAGCTCTGTTGTTAGTTCACATTTCTCGGTTTCAGGTTCTTCCGTTTTCACTTCAGCCTCAATCGGTTTCTCTTCGGCTTCGTTCGGTTTCCCTTCATCCTCACTTGGTTTCCCTTCGTCCTCATTTGGTTTCTCTTCGGCCTCGTTCGGTTTCCCTTCGTCCTCACTTGGTTTCCCTTCGGCCTCACGCGGTTTCCCTTCGTCCTCACTTGGTTTACCTTCGGCCTCACTCGGTTTCCCTTCGTCCTCACTTGGTTTCTCGTCGGCCTTACTCGACTTATCTTCAAGCTCATTCTGTTTCTCGTCGCCCTCACTTGGTTTCTCTTCGACCTCTACAGAGTCCCCATTTGCGGTCTCATCCGGTTTTTCTCCGGCCTTCTCTTCAGCTTGGGGTTGCTCAGTCGAGGTTTTATCATTGTCTTTCGCCTGCTCATCGGCTTTCGGTTCCACGGTCTTCTCTTCTTCGGTTGTGGGCTCGCCACTTGGTTGAGCCACTGGTGAACCTCCGATGCCACAAACTGTAACATGAAATAATCAGGATTAGCTTTAACTAGTCACTTTCTTGAAATCAATGAAAACGTTTATGAGCTTTCGAGGGTAGGAGGCAAGTGAGTAGTGTTTAAAGCAAAATCATCTTATACGTTTATAGAAATTTTAGGGGACTGTTCAATTTTCTGCTCCTTGTTTGTAATCCGCAAAAAAGGAGGCGATATTGTGTGATTTCACATCGTGTTCTCAGAGCCAAAATTGTAAGGTATCGAGGAATATGCCAAGAATTGATATGTAGATCTTGGGTTGGTGAAAAGTTTGACTCACCTTTCTTGATTGTGTCCCGTAAGCTCGTTTCCACGTAGGTATCATATTTGTCATTGAGTGAAATTGCTTGACGGAGGGGGTCTGGTATGCTACTTTCCACTGGTTTGATCATCTGTAACAAATCACAAAAATCATCAGAGAAAGGATCATGGGAAACAAAAACCGTTGAAATCATAATTTTGAAACTAATTGAAAACGCTAAGTACAACTATAGAAAATACGAGAGTTCATTGGGGAGGCTTCTCCCATAATATAAGTCGATGCGTTTCTTGATAAGAGAATCTTAGACTCTAAGGGCGTGAAATTGCGCCTAATACAGGCGCCAATGCGACTAAATTTTTCACTTTGGCGACCAAATCCTGAAAGTTAGTCGCCAAATTGGCGACTACAACGTTTCATCATAACCTTACCAAGAGATATAGTGAATTAAATAAATTAGCAAAGATAAATCCGCAGCAAATTTCCTCGTTAAGTTTGTTTCCAAAACGTAGCACATGCATCTCGATCGATAACTAGACGCCATCTTGGATTTAGATGAGCCTGAAAGTTGTATATCATACATCCTAGTGTCCACTTTGTAGCACGTTAAAGATCTTTTCCCTAACTTAATTTTAGAGGGTCTATCTAGAACGCTGACAGCGTAAAGAAAGATTTTGTTTGTCTTTGAAAATGGCGACCAACTTTTTTTGAATTGGCTACCACTTTGAAGAATTTAGGAGCCAAGTGGCTATCAGAAAAAAAAGTTAATTTCACGCCCTGTAGAGCTACCCTTTCACTCCCAAGATATCATCAGTAATTCTCCTTACTTTCCTCCATACAATTCTTATGATCAGAGTTGGAGAATTTGGTAATAGATCAACTAATAAACTCCTAATTGTTGTTTTTCTCCATTCTCATCACTTGCCTACTTGATATTGCATTGTAATTGTAAGGACAAATTCTGTCTTGGTCACTCAAGGGAGTTAAAGGGTTCATGTTACTTTTCATCGTCTGGCATCACTTACTGGTTTGCAAACTTCATCCGTGAAGCTGTGGGTGTGAGGCACCAACATGCACAGCATTGACTCCATCAAGTACTCTTCAAGCACGACTTTTTGGTCCTCGTCGTATTTCTGTGGATTGGAAAAAAAATATGACAAAATGCTTACTAAGTAAAACCATGTGCGCCAAAGAGTAGAAGGCTCCTATTCAAGTTATCCCCAAGGGATGGCATCACTTCATCCAAAGCAAACTCAAGGATCAGTTGAAGTAAACCTTAACAGAGTTGAAAAATAATCTTCCCACATCACGAACCAACTTGGCTATTTCCTCTTTTTCCCCGTAAAAGGGATAAAAAATTTTTTCAACGTCATTTTCTCAAAGATGAAGGTTGCGTCGGGTAAATCAGCTTACCAAAAGTACTTCCTCCTTGACGACTTTCATTATGTCCGCGGCTGTTTCACCGTTTGCCTTCGCGTCAGTACCAGAGATTCCTTCATTCAAACGTTCCTCAAAAGTAAACATGGCTGAGTCCAGAAGCTGAAACAAAAGTTGTTATACAGTGTTAAAGGAGTATGGTGACCACATTACAGTTTACTGAAATTAGCTAAAGAGTATTACAAAGAAATAGCAATGAATGCTCCTAAAATCTCTATAACTTCTACGTCCATTCTAAATTTTAAAACGGGCACAGTTCGTCAAGTAATGCTGCTAACAAAGTTTACATCTAAGAGACAAAATAGCTCAACAGTTAGCATTTCAAACTAAAACAACTGATAGTTTGAGGGGAAGAGCAGACACTTTTTTAGTGCCTCCCTTAACCAACAAGTGCAGAGAGGTGGCAGAGAAATGTTTGGGGAGACTTGACGAAACACCTGCCTTACCTTTCATTCAGCTCCCAATCAAAAGTGAACTGAGGAAAAAATAGCTTAAGAGATGATGCACTGATTTCCCAAGTTTCATGCTTCATTTGCTTTTAACTTCAAACATTTCACAAAGAAGAACGGTTAACTTACCTGAGCCAACTTGTCAGATCCGATGTCTGTCACCAGATGACCGTTCAGTTTGTTGATACGCTCATGAAACTTCTCGTGGAGCGCGCTCACAAAGCGAATGCAAACTAAAGCATCGTACAACACGGACAATGAACGAGGCGCTCTGTCCAACGTCTGGAAGAACTAAGAAAAAAAAAACAAGTTTGAAAGAATAAATAGACCTATGAATAACGGCAAACGGAAACGGCGGATTAAAGTCTTAAGATTGTTCAGCTATTTATCCAATACATGAATTAATTCAACCGAAAAAGAGGGAAAAGAAAACAAAACAAGAGAAAAAACACCTAGAAAATTCTTCGTATGGCGAAAATTTGCGGTAAGTCCACTAATTATTGGAGGCCGGCCGATAATGTTCGTGCGAAAGCCACAATTTAAGGGTTTATTATCGGAATGATTAGTTTAATAATACGTCAAATAATTTATGGTTCGTTAAAACTTTGAAATCATCGTTCGTCCGATACAACGTTTGAAGCTTCGGTAATTCTTTGGAATTTCATAACCACTTGTAGATACACTGCTAGATAGAAAAACCTGGATTGCTTCCAGGGCACACTTTTATTTTCCTATGATCGACAATCTACTCAATAATAGACAAGATAAGCCCTTACTGAAGGTAAGGATGCTTCAATTTCATTAGTGTTCTTTGCTTTCTCAATGACTTCATCGATTTTCTTGATGAAGATTTTCCTTAACTCTGCCAAACCTTGTTCCATCTGCAAAATCAAAGAAAACATCAAGTACACTTACTAAAAAATGATAGAGCAACTAAAACGCATCTTGGATGTCAGTGCATTGTTAAAGTCTTCGAAAAATTAAACAGTGTGCACATGTAGTAATAATGGTACTAACGACAATAGTAATAGTAACAATAATAATAATAATAATAATAATAATAATAATAATAATAATATAACAATGACGAATATTCATACCCTTGTTCTTAAAAGATTACTCATTTCTTTCATGGTCTCTTCCATGTCCTTCAACACTTTTTCCACAGTACTTTTCAGAAGCTCTAGAGAAAATTAAAAATTAATTTCACCAATGAACTCCAATTATACCACAACCATGTTCTTACAATGAACAAAAGGAATGACTCCTCTCAGATACGAAATACGTTTTGACAGAAGAGACAAATGCAGCACATGCCTGATAAATCCCACATGACTTTGCGCTGCACAGCAGCCAGTTCATCCTTTTTGTCTTTGATAGTTGGCTCAAGGACTGTTTTCATTTGCTGAGAAGATTCCTGCATTCCTTTCCATGATGGAATGACCATAGCCATTACAAGAGAATCTAAAGTCTTCACAACCTTTAAAATAAAACAGTCAACAAGAATTTTCCAAACAGCAAGCTCCACTTTCACCTATCTCATGATGTACAATAGGCTCATATTGAAGAGGGTAGTGGTAACCCTATCTTACGATAGAGACTTTTTGAATGGGTGTCTCAAGTCATCCCTGATTACACTTCTTTGCTTCACTTTGCTCTTTTGACTAGTCTGGAAAACTTTTATCACCACTGGTCTCTTCTACACCAACCAGAAACAAAGCTAAAAGCAGTTACTTCTAGGACACTTGAGTTTTCCAGTTCTTTGGAGAGTTTGATTAATTTGTAATTACTTTGAGTTATCACTGGCCTACTGTGATATCTGTTGTTTCTTTCAATTGATGGTCCATTTTGATTACTAACTACAAACTTCAAAGGAATGACTAACCAGACAACTGCCACAATGCATAAACAGAACAGACTGGACCCTATTTAAAATAGATAGTAGGCCAACCTGCTCTCTGATCTTTTGCTTCATTGTCCAGCCTCCTCGAATCTCAGCGTACACATCAGACATGACACGATAGTTGATCCTGTCCACAAGGATATCACTGAGAACCTATTGAAGTGAAAAATTATGTTACAAAAGCTTACACACAACTTGGAAAAGTGAGGTACATGTACTTTGCCAAGAGGAATTAATTGCTACACCTCGGGGGTCTGAACCCTGGACTCTAGATCAAAAACTCTCCTGTCATGAGTGGCAGGGGTGATCATGCTGAGTTAATGGACAAAGCAATAATTTTAAAATACATGTACCTGTTCCTCTGTTCCTTCAACTCTGTACCTCCAGTACGTCTTCCACAAAGCCACTTTAAAAGCAGCACAGCCCACGGGATCTTCACTTTTCAATCCTTCATTTGCCAAAAAACACAAAAAGCAGAGGTGTAAACCAACAAATTACTTCAAAAAGTTCCAGCACACGTGTATACTGAAGCTAACATACAGATGCTGTGTATAGTATGTCACTCTGTTCAATAATAGATTACACTCATGTGATGATCATAATTATTGTAACTATAAGGTTTTGGCATCTATGAGAAAATTAATGAGGTTACGAATAAAGCTCCAAAAATTGCATTATCTACATTACATCTTGGTCTGAATAATTATCTCAATAAAATTAAATGAAATGTTAATTGATGCATTTGTGGATATTTTTTGTTTTTGCCCTTGTGGCTCATTTGAAGCATCTTTTGATGAAATTAATTTTGGCTGGAGACCATTAAGAGAGGAAAGACAGCCCATTAGGGTGAAAAAATACCCCAAATGCACCAATTAACATTTCATTTAGTTTCATTGACTCAAGGTATTCAGACCGAGATGTAATGAAGATATGCAATTTTCAGAGCTTTAGTGACATAACCCTCACACATTTTGTTCATCTCATGTCAACAATTATTAAAACACAAACATGTAGTGTGCTCTGCCTATGATTGAATTTTTGGGAAAGACACTTTACTCTCACAGTATACTTCTCACAACTCAGGAGTGGAGGTTAGTGGGTGCATGTATCAAACTGTCAAAACCAGTTGTTACAGTGTTAACTGGTCTTATTCCTTGCTTACCTTCAGCTTTTCTGCAACAAACTTTGAAAGCTTCAATCCAGGCATGCTTGTCTTCATCATTTTCAGCAGTGATGAGATAAGACCTTCTTCTAGAATGGGAAACCTCAAATGTGTGTTCAGGGTACTTTTCTGGGGTGCCTATCTCTTTCTCATCTACCTCTGGTCAATGTTAACAGATATAGACAATATAAATTAATAAAATATTGTTTCATTAACATGAAAATGCACAACAGAAAGGTATATGAAACTAGAGAAAAATAAATCAAGTATTTTATTAACTTTATAACTGATTTGGAGGGGTAAATTTTGTTTCACTTGATACATTCCTACATTCAATGCACTTATCAATAAACAACATCAACTGACTGAACATTTGGTATGCACTCTAGTCTCCAAAGTCAACAATGCTACGTTACTATTTATTAAGTTTTTTATTTTTAATTGTAAGCTCATGAATAATTGTCAATATGATAAAAATAGAAAAGTAAAAAAACTTCAAGCTACTGTACATGGGTATAAAAAGAACAAGCATCATTTGTCATCTCTTAATGGTATTGAATAGTTCCTTTTAATTAAACAGTTATTCTGAGAATGTCTTACTCATCTGTTTTGCCAGATTCTTTACTCTCTCTGCCATTGTTTCGTCCAAGTTACCATTGACTTCATATCCACAAGGAAAAATGGTGCCTTTGGGTTTGAAACCTTTCTCGTATGCCTGTCCACAAATTATACAACACAGTGAGTGAAAAACACTTTAGCATGATTACTCAACACAAGAAAACCCTTGACACAGTCTAACAATCATGACAAGAAAATCCATAGTTTTCATTGTACATTTTTTAAATAGAGTTTAGACTCTGACATAATTAACATGTAATTTTTCTGTGCAATTCCAATATGTTATGTGCATCATGCTAGTGGGTTATTATTAAAGACAACCTTATCAGCTAGAGGCCATGTTACTTTGAAATAAGACTACATTCTCTTGTCTAATTTACAAGGAAAAGTATGGCAGTAAGTAGGGAGAATTTTAAATTGGATCTTGGGAGTTAACCCTTTAACTTCCAGAAGTGATTCAAATGAAACTTCTCCCTATAATCTTCATACATTACCAAGCAAACAGGTGATGAGAGTACTCAAACATATCAGGTAGAAGTTTATATCCTGATCTAACACCAAATTCTTCTATTTTATTGACAAGGAAATGTGTAGCAGCTAGAGGGGAGAATTTAAAATCAGATCTTGATAGTAAAGGCTTTAAAGGTTAGTGATAATGATATCATTAATGATAGTGATGGTGATAATAGTATGATTGTAATAGTAGTATTAATAACTTGCATACCTCTTCATTTTCAAAATAGTCAACAGAGTAATCAGGATTAACCACAAAGTAACGTCTCTTCCAGTTCTTGACAACTGCTCCTTTCTTTGTGAGATACCCCATTTTTAATGGATTTTTGATACTATCCCACTGAAACAAATTAAAGAAAACAGAATTTCAAAGATCATTACTATGTATGAGTTCTTTTACGTACCTGGATAAATTTCTGAAACTTCACCTACTACTTTGCTTTTTAGGGGGAATCTTGAGGCACCTATAACCCTAACGTAATGTTTGCAGGCCTCATAAGAAATACAAAAAAAAAAAACTTACTGATCTCTGCATTAACTGATAAGCTGGTTTTTCTTCAGCAAAGGATTCTGCATCAATTTCCTTCAAGGTTAACTTTGTGTATTCAACTCCATAGGCTGTGTTGTAGGCTAACGTGAACTCTTGTAGAAATTCTTGAGCAATGTCTGCAAGCACAGGAAAAAAATTGTTTGGCAATAATACAAGTACATGTATGAATGCTACATGTTCTTTTATCCTTAGAAGGTAGTGAAGGGTTTAATTGTGATGAGATGAAGTCATGAATTTTTACAAGAGGATGAGCATGATTCTTGAATTTTTAAACCAGAGTAAGGTACATTATAATTTGCCACCTGAAATATAATGATGTGACCTGTGAATTTATTTCTCTTTCATTTCGTGAAAACCTCAAAATTTCCTTGAAACCTTACACACAAAAGGAGGAATTTTTAAGGTTTCCCTTTTAAATTTGACAAGTGAAATGCTATTTAAACATATAAGGGTTCCTTAATTTGTGCTTGAAATAGGATTAGAACCCCCTTTGCCTCTATCTCCTTACACTACAGTGAAAAAAACCCAGGCAAATAGGATAGTTCCTGTGTTATCAATGTCTTACCAGTTAAATTAAAAAAAAAAGGTCTAAATTCCTTTGATTTTCAATTTCCTTTGTTCCCAATAATGAAATTGAAAAGGAGACACAGACAACAAAACTCAAACTGGGTTGGAAATTATTCAAAGGGGCACAATTATTTTGAGAAATATAAATTATGTTCACAAACCTTGAATTACATAAAAACAAAAATAACAATGTAAAAAAATATCTATGGAACATGTATATTGACAGTTGTGCATACAATTACTGACCCAATTACTTCACGGTTCAAAACGGAAACTGCTGATGGTTATAAAACACACGTGTATTAAAGGGAGAGGAACAAATCAACGAAAATTTATCGTGAGTGATCAGTCACATACTGTAAATATCAAATACATGTATATTTTAACAATAAATTTTTTTAACAAATGTGTAGAAAAATAATAATTTTATCAATCAAAACAAATATATGGGCATTCCATCAGGTACGAATTGGTTCGTGCTGAATCTAGCTGAATCGCTTCCTAATTATGTGATGTATCTGTCAAAGCTGCTATTGAATTGGGTGGGACACGAATATACATGTACACCCATGTTATCACTTTCACGACGTTGACTGCTCTCTTCGCTATTTCCTCCCGGAAATACGTATTGATTTTCTACATATGACCAGAAATGGCAAAATATCGATTCAACTGAAGAGAGGATGATCAACTACAAGTTCCGACAAATCTCCACAAACCAGTCAGGTAAATTATGTTGAACTAAACCAGGTATATTGAGCAATAAAATGACATTACACGTTGCACTTAATTTAACTACAATGCAAAACAATAATCTTCCAAATTTTTTTTATATAAGTTTCAGTTTCATTACACATCAGTTTCTGAAAACATTTTTGTCTGCATTCAGTGGATTGATAACTAGGCTGAGCGTGATCGCAAAACGAGCACCGAAATACTTGAGTTAGGAAAGGAGCAATTTTCTTGCTTTCACTGCGGTAATTAATTCCTGTTTGTTAAAAAAAAAAAGAATGACTGGTTTGAGAAAAAAGCTTGTTCTCAAAGTAGTCGCACGAACGTCGATCAGTGTGTAATTTCGATAAAGTTCCATCATTTATAACTTCACTGAACGTGCAGGCACGAAAATCTCAACTATTTGCGTATGTTTACATTCACAAGTCTTACCTTCGATCTGTTGCTTCTTGTGAGAGTCAATTCCAATTAAATTTCCCATTGCTAAAACTTCTTTTCGCTAATCAAGTAGTGGTAATTTAGTCAGCCCTTAGAATCAAACGCAAAGAGCCGTGGGTTTAAAGGAGACAGGAATGCTAATGCTTGCGAAATCCTCCTAACTTCCAATTTATAGCCCGTACGAGCATTCCAAGGGGTGGAGCGGAAATTGAACTGGGTCATTCTGAAACGGAAAGGATCACGCTCTACGATAGCTCCAAATGAGGTCAAGTAACGTAACCAACATAACGCTATTTGTTTCGCTCCCTTGCCTTTAACAGCGGGTTTTCTTGGAGCAAAATATACTTCATATAGCTGTCTAGAGTCATCATGAAGATTAAATGATACACAATAGTGTACCATACACCCCGTCTACGTCTAGTGCCAGCGAAGATCCAAGATGGCGGACAGCCATCAAGAAAATGAAGATAATACAGGCATTCCAGATACAAACGAAGGGGATTCCAACGACGTCGAAGACGCAGATGAAGTAATTTAAAATTACAATAGTGTTCTTTTCTGTTCGTTTATTAGCATTGCGATTTCATGTCACAAAATGAAAAATATTATGCCCGCAGGATTTCGAGGTTGTCTATCTTCAGTAGTTTATTGACTAGGTTGTATCTGAACGACACAAGAGTTTATTGATTCTTTCTCTTAGGATCTACAGGTTGACCTAGATCTAGGTGAACTGGACCTCACGTCTCAAGATGAATTTATTTTAGACGAAGTTGATGGTATGGAAGGAAAAGTGGAGCATATCTTTATAAAAGTTCATGATTGTCAGAATGTTTATAAAATTAAACTCAGAATGGTTTAAAACTAGTTTTCGATTTTTTTTTATCCGCTGCAGAAAAATATTTCTAACTTTAACCAAGAAAAATAAAAATGGATTTAGTTAGAAAACGGCAGAAATTGATTCTAGGAATTGACATTCGTCAGAGGAACAAACAAGGCCGTGTCATATTATGTAAAAGTTTTGCTCATTTCTTTTTTTCATTTTAACAGTGCACATACAAGAAAATTTAGAGGACGAGTTGGTAAAGGAAGCTTTGGAAAAAGTAAGCAGAATGGTATTTTTATTTTTTGGAAAAAGAGGCTGGGAAATGTAAAAGAGGTGCTTCTGAAAAATGCATTTGTTCAGTTACCCTTTTTTTCTAAGATGCAACACATCCTTAGCCGCTCTTTTAATAGTTTACTAATTGCCATTATGTAATAGTATCCTGTGCCTTATTGATCATTATTTTAAAATTCAGGGAGTAGACCTCCGGCAGTATTCAAGACAGATTGAGGGAGACCTACATGAGGTTGAAAATGCATCAATTCTGGACTGTATCCTACGCTTTTAGAAGTCTTATTCACTTATTGATTACAACTGGATTCATACAGTGCATAATTTAGTAACTCTATTTTATTTTACTGCCTGAGCATTTTCATATACTGATTGATTTCCTTTGAAATCCATTTTATTTAAAATTTTTTTACTTGACTGCAATCAAAGATATCAAAGAAAGTGAGAATATTGCAAGCCTTCACAACCAGATTGCCTCCTGTGACACGATTCTTGCAGTGAGTTGATATTTTCAGTATGATATTTATCAGGTTTCCCATCAAATACAGTTTCAGTTAATACCTGGTACATTTTCAACAAGTTTTGAAGAAAAATGCACAAAGTAAAAACTTTTTGCCATCTATGGACAGTTCTAATTTTTTGTACCTTTCTTCTTACCCTTTCTTTCTTGGTTTGGTCTTGATGATTTCAAGGTACCCTAGTCTACAGTACATTGTTTATTTCAATGACAAAATCATTAGTATCAAAAGTATTTTCTCTACATCCTTTAATATACTGCAACTCTTTTCAACATTCATTCAAACAGAAGACAACACAAACAATGCCAAGCCTCAGTTTATAGATTCAATTCTTTTGCTTTAACCCTTTAACTCCCAGATCAAATTTGTTATTCTCCTTACTGTCAACCATACAATTCTTACAATGTTAATTCAGAGAATTTAGTACCGGATCAACTAATTATCCCCAGGTTGATATTTTTCTTTATTCTCATCACTTATCTGGTTGATATTGTATTGATATTGTAAGGAGAAATTCTGTCTTGGTCACTCAAGGGAGTTAAAGGGTTAAAGAAAAGATGTATCAACTTAAGTTAGTTCTTTTCTTGTTTTGCAGAGTATGGAAAAGATGCTCACAAGTTTCCAGGTATGAACATATGAGGCTGATTATTTACATGAGGTCTAACCCAAACCATGGTTTTTAGGCAACCAATGATCCTCAGGCTTTCTCTTTAAGAGGGTTGATTTCATAGAATAAATGGCTTTCCACTGTAAGCTTAAATAAATGTTGAAAGGTCCAGCTAAATTGAGGATTTTTTAGGACACAGTTTTATTAAACAGCAGCTTAACTATCTTTAAATGATTGGCCCATAATAACAACTTGTTTTTGAGTTAAATTTTCTGAACAAATATCAAACTGTATCTGTAGTTCCTCTTTGTATGTTCAAAATGAGAACTAGATAAAAATGAAGATCAAGCTCGTTCGAACGCTTCAAAATCATCAACATATTTGGTTGTGCTTTTTGCTGTAAATTTATCATATCACAGGCCTATTCCTGTTTTAATTGTAGTGTGTTCTTTTTTGGAATTAATTGTGATTTAGCAATGGTTAAGTAGGCAGTCATGCACAGCAATCTACAAGTTAAAAATGGGGATACACAACATTAAAATATATCCTTGCTTGTTTCCATCCATTTGCCAGGAAGATCTTGGTAGCATAAGCTCAGAAATCCAAACTCTCCAAGAACAGTCTTTATCAATGAACATAAAGCTAAAGAATAGACAGGTGAGTAGTCATTACATGTTGAGAAACTACTTTTCACCAAGCTATAAACGTAAGCAGAACTCTGAGCATGTACCATAAGCATTTTAGTTCATTTGCATTCAAAGTCTATCTTATTACATGTATGTATGTTTGTTCAATCCTGGAGGTCATTTCAAACTTGACACTAACCTTGAGCCTTGACTTGATTTCATATTATTAATTATTTAAATTTTTAAGTCTTAAACTTGTTCTCACATTCAATTCTTTTTTAATTTCCTCTATCTCTTCATGTTGCATTCTGTTTTGTGCTGTTTTGTTCCTTAAATTACTTCCTGTTCTTCCATCCTCCTCTCTTCAATTTTCTTTACCCTAATGTTCTCCTTTCAATCTTAGTCCTCAAAATCTTTCCACCCTGTTTTTTTTTTCTTTCCATCTTGAGATATGACTTCTCTGTACTTTGATTGACTCCAGTTTTATCCTTTATTTCTCTCCTCAGGCTATCAAGGGTGAATTGAGTCAGTTTGTTGGTGACATAGTGGTACCACCCTCCATGATTACGTAAGTAAACCACATTTTCCCACAATTTACGCAGTTGCTGTTACTCTGCCTTCTCATTGGCTACTTGTGGTTGGCTATTGTGATAGTTACAGCAATCGCTCTGACGAATGGCTAACGCTCGAAACGTCAGCCTTTAAACTCTCTGCGGTGGTCAATGTACGTTTTCAACTCAGTTGTTAACACTAGATTACCTGTTATACTCTCCCACCGACGCAGCACCACTTTCTTTAGAAACGTAGCCCCTTTATTGTGATAGATAACTTTGGTTTTACGACGCTCAATCGAAAAGCACTCTATTCATGGAATGACTGTCTGACGGATAATCTCGATCTTTCTTTATAACTAGAGGATACTTTTGGTCTTCGTTATTTCTTTTTCTAAAAAATTCATAATTGAGAATGTGGACACCAGTCAGACTCCTGATTAATATCCTGCAGTGTCCTTTTTCAGTTTTCTAGGCTGACATCAACCAGACAAACTTTCATGAACATCCCCGGTCAAAAGAGAAAAAGATGGTCATGAGTCAAATCACGCCTAATCCTGGATATCTCAAACTTCCTTTTCTCTTAAACTTGGTTCGAACCTGTTTTAAAGTTTCGTTCGAAACGTCATGTCTGTTATAGGAAGGGGTAATTATTGAATAACACTTTAAAATATGTACAAGAAAAAACGAAACTTTGTACGTATCCTCAGTTGCTAAATTATTTGGCTTATACAAAAATGGGTGACGGAACCTGCAGTGCTCAAAATTCTCCTTTGATATTTCGTAAGGTTATGCTGTTTTTTTGTTTTACCGGTTTATGTAATACTGCACGTAATTTCATGGTAGGGTGATTTCATTTATAATCGAAATTAGTCGAAAAGCCGTTGTAAAATGCGACTTTCTCATCCCTTTTTTAAACTTTGAAAATCCAAATTCGTGGAGGTTTGCATCTTTTAAGCGAAAAAGCAACAAGTTCGTCATCGTCAAAGAGTGCAATAATGGGCTGTTTGTTGATAAACTGAAAGATGATGCCGCGAAAAACAGTAAAATTAAAATTAGCATGTTGAGCATGCTGTTTTTGTATTGACGTAGGACAAGATACGTGTCAAAATTTCGTTTTAAAATGAATATGCGTGGTCCTAATTATTTAGTCAAGTTTTTGATAGTATGTATAGAGCACGTCGGTCTAGTAAGTTGATACTAAAACACCAACCACCGTCACTCGATTCAGCTTCGTTTTTGTAAGACAATGTTGAATGCCTCTGATCCAAATTACGATTTTTATCTGACGATAATCGTGGACAAAGCATACTGGTCGAGTTTGGCTGCAGCAGGATTCATTTTAGCGAGTATCATCATTATAGCAAATTCAGCCCTGCTCTTCACGACATATAAAGATCCTCAAAAGTCGCTCCGAAAATTACCTGCGGTTTTACTGATCACAAATTTGAGCCTGTCTGATCTTCTGTTGGGGTCTTTGAATGTTTTCCTGGTTGCTTTGAGAGATGTGTTTCGATCTAGACTCGAACACATACCTCACATTGTGGTTTTTAAGTCGATCGTGTACACAGTGCTCTCTACGACTCTATTTGTAAGCAGTTATTCCATTATCGCCATGTCAATAGCTTGTTACGTGGCGATCAACTATCCCGTGGATTATAAATCAATTATTACAAAGGGAAGACTCAAGGTGTTTATCGCTGTACTATGGTTTGCATCCATCGCAATGTGTTCACTTCCTCTAACTCGCTTATCAGAGGAAACGTACACACTTATATACCTTCATACTCACATTTCTCTGCCTGCCGTATTTTTAACGTTCATCTACGCCAACGTTTTCCTCTCTCTCGTTTCTCAAACGCGTGAACTTCAAACTGGTAGGTACGATTCTGTCGCGAGGTACTCCTTAGAACGTGAGAGACGAATGGCCATTACAATTGCAATCATTCTAGCGTTATTTTACATCACATATATTCCACAATACGTCACTCTTCATTTGTTGTACTTTTGCAATCGCTGCCAGCAATCGGTAACTTTTCACAAGATCGACGTAGCGTCTTCCAGATTTCTGTACATAAATTCGGCCATAAATCCCTTCATCTACGCTTGGAGAGTCTCCCAGTATCGCCGAGCGTTTTTACAAGTTTGGCAGAGTTTTTTCGGAACCTTAGGAGCTACTTCACAATCTTCATCGTCGCTCAACTCAACGCAGAGACGTACTACTTTTAGTGCACACAGTCCAGGGAAAGGAAGACCTTTGTATAGCGAGGCAAAGGCTGATTATGAAAGATGTGGAACAACCAGCGTTTGAAATGCGAAAAGGGCAACATTCGGTAATCACTTATTGATGACAGATTTTAGGATGGAGTTGATTTACAGTAAAAAGTTCCCGTTTTTTCCAGCACTGTTTTAGTTCAATGATTGCCTAAGCGAGAAGGATATCGAACCCTGCTAGCTCGACGCACCGAGAAGCTCGAGTTAGCAGACTGAAAGTGAAAAAAAGTGTTCCTCAAAGGAAATGGCTTCAAATTCGAGCTGGCGAAAGGTTCGAATTAACTGCTTTCAAGCCGTCTACCCTTCAAAGTTCGCTTTAACTTATCAATTGTTAATGTCAATTATTAATGAAAAATTGCCAACAAATTAAAATGATAAACAAACCAATTCATTAGTGTGAGCACTTGTGCTTTTTCTCACCTGAGTTAATTACGTATGTAAGTGCAAATGCAAACAGCTTCCAGGCTGTTACGTGCGCAGGTATCGGCTCAATTCCTTTTGAAATCTCGGTAGAATCTCACGATTGATGTTCACGCTTTTTGTTTTTCACTCTCTTTTTTCCGTAGATGGAATTCTCTTTTGTAATTGTAATGAAGTTGTAGTTTGGTGTGTCTGAATAAATTTGCCGTGTCGTGGTCTGTTCTTAACCAGTCTCGCTTTTTCAATTTCAAGACTCGAAAACTTGATTCGCAGCCGTTTTGATTGAGCTAAGTTTTTTAATCAGTTTGAAATCATTCTTATTTTTTCCCTTGGAAATAGTATCTGTAGAATTAAACATCCTTGAAGTGCAGAACAAATATCTTAACTTACCGCCTCACCCGTACGATACAATTATCTCTTGAGAGATTCATTCTGAGCTAGGACGTGCATTATGATTCTCGCACACAGTAAAGGGTCTTCCAAGTTTTCCCTTCAGCTTCTCGACTTCCCCTTTGAACTCATTGGAAGTCTTGATTACTTAACTTCAGATTTTACGACACGCAGTCGAAAAACGCGTGGGAGAGTTTTTCTGGTAGTGGTAAAATAAATTTTTATATTACAGACACATTAATGAGACACCAGTGACAGAGCAGGCATTCATTGAACAACTGCACGAGTTACACCACAAGATCGACTTTGCAAAGGAGCAATCTTTTAAAGGGGCTCTCTCGGTCAATGATGTGGGACATATACTGGAGATGCTGAAAGGCAAGGTAATGTACTAGACGTGAAGTTCATTGTTTGTGGATTCATAGTACTGCCCGGTCAGACAGTCGCACTCAAACGGCGTAAACCCATTTCATTTCTCATCGACCGTTGAACGTCGAAGGCTCAAGATCACCGATTCTCAGGTCTGACTATTTAAGCAAAGTTTGGCTGTTGTTTAACAGATCCGCGTCCTATACAATTCTTAATTTAGCTAAACCTTTTATCTGAACCTTTAAATTTGTGAACAACGAATAAATCAACTCTCGTGTAGAGAAAGCCTGAGCTAGGCCCACCGATTACGTAAAACCGTGGTGTAGGTTAGACCTTGAGTGAATAACGGGGCCTCAGGGTTTGGTTATTCTCTGAAACTCTTTTTTGCGAGTTCGCGACCCATTCCTTGGGACTTCCATCCGTCGTTTTAGGCCCAAATGTATGATTTTCCAAACGGATTCATGATTCCCTTCAATACTTACTTTCAAAAGATCCTAATTAAGACTAATAACAGGTTAATTAGTGTAAGTATCTGATAAATGATCTCTTTTGAGAACAATACCTAGAGTGTAATGACATGCAAATATCCTCCTTTGTTTTATAACCAATTTCTCAAGCGTTATTGTAAAACCGTACCATGAATTTACTGTTCTATTCATTTCCAGGCAGTGCACAAGATACGAGACTATGTTTTGCAGAGGATATATCAATTTCGTCGCCCGATGACTAATTATCAGATTCCACAAAATGCCTTACTCAAATTTAGGTATTTCATTTTTTTCAGTGTAATATTATGTCGGTACTGTTTTGAACTGAGCGTCAAATCTACGTATTTGTTTTACTTTTCATCGCTCAGTTACTAATGTAAAAACCTCGCTCCATTTTCTCGCCAATTAATGTCACGGGAAAGCAAAACTCGTGGAAATGGTGGAAGGAAGAGACAGCCCAACTTTTAGTTATAAGCTTAGAATTAACATCAAATAGAGAAAATTTAAAGAAAAGCTCACCTTGTCTAAATGGTGATTTGGTTTTAATCAATTGAGTTGATAATGTAAATTGGCTACCGTAAAGAGTTTCTAAAGCTTACAATTCCAGTATGTACGCTTCGTCTTTCGCTCTGACGAAGGGCTAACGCTCGAAACGTCAGCTTCAGAAACTCTTTACAGTGGCCAATTTACGTTAAAACAAACTATCTTGAAATACTCTCCACCAACACTGAACTAAAATTAATTCAGAAAGTTACCCCATTCCCTCCGAATAGTGCTTGAGTGACAGATGCCGACTGAAGCTTGTTCATTTTCTTATCGTTGCCAGGTATTTTAATGAATTTCTTATGGCGCATCATCGTCAAGTTGCGAGGGAAATAAGGGATGAGTACATCGACACCATGAGCAAGATTTATTTCTCATATTTTAAAACGTACATTTCCAAACTTCTCAAGCTGCAGGTGAGCAAATATCACCTTTTCTTGGTTGATTTCCTCCCCATTTTTTTTTTTTGTAAGCACGCGAAAATTTTTGCCATTAGTGAAGCAGCTTGGATCACACATCACAACTTTCCGTGCTCAAGGGGTCAAGTTGTTCTGTAACAAAGGACTCGCCAAGTTCTGAATCCTTCTCGCTAATATTATCTTATGTCACTCTGGATTAAAAAAATATCTCTCGTTTTTCTTTATGACTGCAACAATTTCAAGTTGACGCGTAACCTTTAAGCCAACATAGTGTCCAATTTTTTTCATTTGTGCATTTATCATTGTAATTTTTTTTCTCAGTTTGAAGAACAGGCGGATAGAGACGACCTTATGGGAATAGAGGATAACGCTAAGAGAGATATCCTTTTCCAAATGAATATGTAATTTTTTTTAGTTGTATTGGTGTAATTTGTGATGGCATTGTGAATATGGCTTAACCTTTCAACGGGGATCTTATTCAATTTTATGAGTGTAGCATTATCAGCTGAACCGGATTTTTCCTTAATTCTTTTTAAGTATTTTCTCTGGAAGAGTTGCTTTAAAGAATCGTTCCACAATTTTTACTCTAGGAAGTCGTGGCAGTGTTTTAACATCAGAGTTAGAAGAACCCGTGATCGTGCCTCATGCGGCGCAAAAGAGCGAAAAGAAGGTGAGAGAGTCAATGACCACACTGAAACAGAATGTCTACTGTTAAAAAGCTTTCATTTACTTCAACATTTGCTTAAAATTTGCTATTCGTTGACCATCGCATAATAAAAAAAAACTATTGGAATTTTTTTGCAGCAGTAACTTGTTATCTCGAATTCTGATTTAGCCGAGGCGGGTTGATTTCCACTACACTAATATATTTTGCACTGGGTTGTGTGGTTATTGACGCGTCTTGTTGTCTCACACTTACCGTCAATTTATTTCGGGGGAAATGTAGCGTAATTGGTTGAACTTTACCCATGATGATGGAGAGTATTTTGAACTGTTTGTTAATCTCTTCTTTTTACAGTACTCCTTTGAAAGTCTGTTTCGCAGCATGCACTTTGCTTTACTGGACAACAGCTGCCGTGAATACCTATTCCTAGCTGACTTTTTCATGGTACAGAAAAACTCAGCAAGAGATCTGTTTACCGCTGTGTTCGGCAAAACATTATCCTTATTTCTGGTAAGTTATGTCATAGAGGTTTGTTTCAAAGAGATCTTTTGAGAGACATAAAATGAAACCGGCGAAGGTGCTTTCAGTTTTCCCATTGTTGTCAAGTCGTTACAGTGACTGTTAACAAAGGTGTTGTGTCTCTGAAGAGACCGAAACGTTTTAATTTTTTTATTTTTATCATTATTTTACCACTGTTTTTTCCCTGCTAAAATATTTTTCAGAGAGTGGGCTGAAGTACTTACTAATTTGGTTTGCCTTTGTTTTCCAAATCAGAAACAAATGGACACATATTTGGAGAGCTGTTTTGACGCTATTGGAATCTTCCTGTGTATACACATTGTACACCGATACAGAATACTGATGCACAAGAGAAGCGTCCCGGCTCTGGACAAGTAAGTGATTATCAACCAGGAAAGAGTACCTGGATTAACCGCTTAAGTCCCAAGATTTGATTGTTAATTCTCCCCTCTAACTGCAACACATCTCCTTGTAAATCCGCAGTTACGAGAATTTGGTGTTGGATCAAGATAAGAACTTCCACCCGATTAGTTTGAATATTCTCATTACCTGTGTACAGGATAATGTTTGGATATTGTAGGGAGAAGTTACATGTTAATCACTTTTGGGGGTTAAAGGGTTATTAGTGAAAGCGGTTAACATAAAGTTTGCTTTGTCATCAGCCAAACTGTTCAATCACGTAATAGTTGTTCATAAGAAGTCTACCTTGTGATCATCTGTAATATTATGTGGCTATTCTCACCAGGTATTGGGACACAGTGCTGGAAATGTCATGGCCACGTTTCACGTACGTAGTAGAGTTAAATGTTGACAGTGTCCGTAACACAGATCCTCAAAGACTTGGAGTGATCGACATCAGACCACATTACGTAAGCATGGCTTCTAACTATTCTTTGCATTTTTACCGGCTTCGTAGAACACCGTGTAACAAAAAAAGTTTATATACTCTCGCGTTACGTATGATAATGTTCATCTCTTTCACACGTGACTTGAGCCAAACGCGTGACGTGCACAGATTTTTATATGAAAGTCTTGAAGTGTAGTATTAAATTGCTTGTAGAAAGTAATCTTGATTTCTTCAGGGTAATTTAGTGTAATCAAATGAGTTGATAACGTAAATTGGCCACCGTAAAGACTTTAAAGACTGGCGTTTCAAGCGTTGGCCCTTCGTCAGAGCGATCGTATCGTTAATCAGTGTAATCAGTTGATTACACTAAATTACCCTGTTACACTCTCCCACCAACACATCACCACAGTCTCTTTAGAAACTTAGCCCCTTTATTTATTTATCTTGATTTATTCAGTCTTCTTCAAATGTGTTTTTTTTAGATAACCCGTCGATATGCAGAGTTTTCTGCCGCGATTGTCAGCTTGAATGAAAGTTTTCCAGATGAGAAGGTTAGAATAATTAAATTTAATTCACTTACTGTGACCTCTTTCTTAATTTTATTTTGTACTTTAGGTGAAAAATTTCCTGTGGTAATCTCCTCTATTACCAATTTTTTTTCAAGGTAAACAAAGTCCTTGCAGCTTTACAAGTCGAGGTCGAGAACTTCATTTTGCGTATGGCCGCCGAGTTTCCTCTAAGGAAAGAACAGCTTATTTTCCTAATCAACAACTACGATATGATGCTGGCTGTTTTACTGGTATGTTGACACAAAAACACCCGATTTAAACTACTATGAATAGTAAATGCCCGACGGTAAAAGCGAAAGTGGTTTATGGCCGGCTAATAGGATCTAGAAAATGTGAGGGTTGAATTCTTTTCGGGGTCATTTTTTCTTGGTTGGCTGTGTGAATTTTGTTGTGCTTGTTTGTTTGTTTGTTTTGGAGTACAATAAATGCACACTCTGTTGTGCCAACATTTTATCTGTTCTCTTTTTCAGGAGAGAACATCTGAAGACTCCAAAGAGGTGGAAAGTTTTCAGCAGTTACTCACGGCCAGAATTCAGGAGTTTGTTGAAGAGGTATGACCTGACTCTGTTCTTATAGTGTAGAGAAATTTGACTCAGTGATTTTCATTAAATTAGTCTCGTGATTTTAATGACTGCTTTTTTGTCTTTAATTTTGCCCTAGAAGTGCAAGCCTTTGATTGAGAATGAAAATAATTTTAAATTACTTTTCTGTGTGTAGGCTCTCTCTCCCGCTTTTGGTGGAATGGTTGCCTTCGTTAAAGAGACAGAGCCTCTTTTGGAACGAGGACAAGGACAAGTTATCAGGCCAGATGAAAGTATGTCGGCTTTTCAGTATTTGCTTCGCTGATATATTCTTTATTTATGTACTCATTTCTATTTTGTGTACTGTACAAGCCGAAAATCTCTTGGCTCTAATGGTGACTTTTGTTGTGGTTTTCAAAACGTCAGCGGGCGTCACCACCGACAATTGCTTCCAGGGCCACTCTTACACTGTGGGACACACCACACAACGAGTTGTATATCTTCGGCCTGTTACTGATTTCTTGTTTCCATTTAGAACGCATTCAACAACTTGTGCGTGGTTTCGCATCGGACTGGAAAAGGTCAATTGAAAATATAAATCAAGAGATAATGAGATCGTTCTCCAACTTCAAGAATGGTACAACAATTCTGCAGGTATCACGTTCACAAAGAGTAGCTACTCGCAAAGTGAATTAAGTCTTCGGTATTTAAATAACCCCTTGGGCGAGGCCAAGCACAAACTATTAGTTTGGTGAGAAACACAAGTTGCGAAGAAAAGTCCAAATGGACAGAGAAAGATATCCCCATGAGATGGACTAGCTCTCGGCTTCACAGACCCCAAATGTAATGCTTTGTTCAGCTAGTGGCATGTTATGTAATTAGCCTTTGATGCAGACTCTAGCTCGTCCTCATAACAATTCTGTTTTATATTTCCTAGGCTGCTCTAACACAACTGATCCAGTATTATCACAGATTTCAGAAAATTTTATCTCAACATCCTTTTAAACGGCTTCCGATCCGGAGTGAACTGATTAACATTCATCATGTGATGGTGGAGGTCAAAAAACACAAAACAACGTTTTGAATAATTAACAAGGCTTCTGAACGAAACATCCAAGTTCCCTCTCTAGGTTTCTTGCCAGTGAAGGGATATCGGACTACAGTAGTCATACTACGATAAGCTACAAACAGTTTTACAATCAGCCACGACAAAAGCATCTAGAAAACCTGTTCTGGTACTTTAAACCACATGAGGGTTTTTGTGTTCAAACGTCGAACTTTCAGCAACCCGAAACTTATACCTTGATTAAAAGCATGAGAGGTTGTTTGTTTGAATAAATTAAGAGCGGCGTTTTAAATTGCAACGTTTGAGCCGTATTTCCTTTTAAGTTCCGCTGCGAATTTCGATTTTTGAATGGGTCTGGTTCCAGAATATTTCATGTTGAAAACCCTATGCGTAATCCAAAAGAACAGACATTTGTAAGGTCAAACGTTCTCACTTTCAAGAAAGTCCAACACTTTAAAAATTTTGTGTTCCCATTCTTGGCTAAGTTTGAAAACTTCTCTCAGAAACGATATGCGTAATGGTTAGAAATTGGGTCCACAATTTAATGACAAATTTAGATTGAATAAAGGGCAATTAAGCATGTTAAAGATCGTTGAAGTGCAATGTCTTAGAGAGGTCTGATATCATGCCAAGTGAAAACCATAGTAAGTAAATAAAATCTTTGAAAATGAGTTTAACAGACATGTTATGTTCTGAATAATAACAGAACTGCAACTCACCTACAAAGTAACAGCGTTTCCTTCGGTTTTTTGTCATTACTTTTATCATTGATATTGGTTTTACTGTCGTTTTTGTTGTTATTCGGAACGTGTCGCGTTACGGCAAGATTTCGTAACATTGTTAAAGCCGAAAATGTTGATGACGTGGCGAGTTCGTAGAAATCGAGCAGTATATTTCCTGTTTTTACGGACAGAGCTTCGTTGTTGATGAGAACTGACACGAGGTTTCATAGGAAATCGGGAACCTTTTTATTTCCATAATAGGGAAACGGTGTAAGGAATCGCTTTTGAATTTATTTCTCAAGGTAAGACAAAGTAAGGCTGGCCAAAACGGAAGTAAACGAAGTTAATGTAGTATTACTAAGCATTGAGATAGTTATTCGATTTTATTCGTGAGCTTGCAAATTTGTATTGTCTAATTCTGATTGAATTGCAATCTTTCTTGAGTAGAATGCTCGCTTATAAACGAAAGTGTAGTGAGAAACACTAGACATAGTCGAGTGTTTCAGACTAAAAAAGGCTTCAGGCGAAAGAGTTAAATTAATAAGTTTGTAAACTATTGCGGAATGTGAACTTTGATGGTTTTTGAACTTTGATGGTTTGACATTTTTGACAGACGTAGTCGGGTGTTTCTTCCCACTTCTTTCGTACTCTAGCCGCTTCCTAGGTGCTTTAAAACAGAACTGAGCACAGTCAAGGCTCCTCTATTTGTTTTATAATAGAGAATCCGTTAAATTCCCCACGCATTACTTTCAATTTTCAAACCAAAGTTTATTTCCAAAGCGAACAACAGTGTCGTCAGCATGCTCTATACTCTCATTAATCAAAACTATAACAAACTTCTAGAACGTCATTAGTTATCACCAGCCCGATTGATTTCAGCCCGATTGATTTGTACACGTCAAACTTGTAATTGGACAGTAATGGAACAGTTTAAGGGAAAGTTGACTCGTCATGCCTACGTAAGTGGACAGAACGCGTCATGAGCGCGAGCTGTTGTCTCGCATTTCGCCGAGTTAACTGCTGGTTTTTTTATGAAAACGTACGACCAATGTCTAGTTTTTTTCTCAAATTTTGTCATAGTTTTGATTAACTGGTAACAGTGCTTCGTGTCGTCCAATTCTGTCTGTAATCATACTCGTGATTAACAAATCGGACTCCCGCTTCGCGGTCGTCCGATTTTGTTGATCACTCGTATCATTACAGACCGAATTGGACTCTACTCGGTCCTATTACCATTAAAAGGCACGCTAAAATAAGCCAGTCAGAATCCCTGCTAGAATGGTTCAAATAATCTGATGGGCTGTACAAGATTAAAGCTATCAAAAATGTCAAACGATCAAAGTTAAAACACCATTAAAGTTCACATTCCGTAATAGTTTACAAACTTAATAGTTCGGCAGGTCGAATTTAACTCTTTCGCCGGTCTGAAGCCTTTTAGTTTCTAATACAGAATCTGAAGTGAAATGTTCAGTGAAATCGAGTCGAATTGTGGCTCATAAAATCACGCAAGTAGAAAACAAACTGTTCAAGCGTGTGTTTTATGATTGAACGATAGCCGAATATTTACCGGAACATGAAGATTGCTCGGGATGACAGCGCCGTAAAACTCGGCTGCAATGACAGATGTGGCCTTCCACTCAACGCATCGGAGAGGATATCAGAGCAAGCTCTTTGTTGTTCTCTCGAAGGGAGGCCGATGTAATTTCTGAGGCTTCCTTGACTGCGATGACCGGAGATCGCTATGATGAGCTAGCCGCATTGGACGTCAGTTGTGCCTAAATTCTACCGGCTAGAGGTACATCCGAGGAGCACTAGTGACGAGTTTCCGAGTCGGATGATTATCGGAAAATGTCGGCTATAACAATATGGCGGACTACTACAGTAACACCATTTGCGATTTATCAACAGTCAAGCGACTTGATTGAACCAGACAAACATTATAAAATGCTTTTCATGTGAAGAAGACATTGTTGAGTTTAAATCAATGAAATTTCGCACAATTTTGTATGGCTGTTTCCTTATTTTCTCTTTTATTTGGTCTATAACCTCTAGCTAGTAGGATCTTAGACTTAGGGTTAAGTACAGCTTGCATATTTAATTAACTTCGCCCAATTTTTATTACAGTCTGCTTTGCATTTTACTTTTTGGCATTCCATTTTTATCTTATACTTCATTGGAATCATTTTTTCCAAGAATATATTCTTGTTCCTCAGTCATGTACCTACCTCTGCTTATTTGATAGCACAGCATAAAAGTTTGGAGCATCAAATGACTCTTTCTGGGGAATCAGCTGAAACTAAAGCAGGCATTATTTGGCAATAAGCAAAGGGTTTCTGGTTGGTGTTCAAATAAGAAAGGTTTGATTTCTTTTTAATAATAGCAACTTTTATAAAAAAAAAGAAAATAAATAACACAGGCACAGGTTAATCTCATTTATATAATTGTATAATTTCTGTAGAAGTAGATAACCTATATTTTCAAGAATAACTTGTGTACTAGCTGTTAAATATCATTGAAAATACAAAAGGAAAATGTCAATTTAGTGAATTTAAATGATGTTATCCTATGACTACCTAAAGATGACTTGATTTTAGTATTTCAGACAACGGTTGCCTTGTCAACAATACTTCTAATCAAACACAAATATCATGAAAATAGAGGCTGTTTTTTATTAAGAAATTCCACTCATACTTAGGCAAAGTATTACTTCAGTAAATCTAATTAACATGTCCACTGAAGTTTAAAATGAATTTCAATTCAAATTCATCTAAAACTGGTTATAATCCTCTTGAAATAAATCCACAACCAAAGAAACTACAAATCAGGCTGGTTTAAAATTTATTAACTTAAAATATATTTAAAACATAACAATGTTAATGATTTCAAGCTTATGTCACATACTTAAGCTGCTACTCTGGCTGGTAGTGATTTCTGAGTAATCTACCATCTTACTAGCCAGATGAACAGGACTGCAAAGCATGAAAATATACCTATGGAGTGACTCCACAACAGTATAAGACTAACATGGAATGTAGAAAGGTTTTTCCATAAATCAAGAAGTACATGAAATGGGCTAAATTGACCATAAATGCACAAGGAATCTCTAGCCTGTGGTATTTTCTAAGCCACAGGTCCTTCCCGCTAAAGGTACATGACCAAGAAACAAGATATTCATGAAAAGAGTGATTCTAATGTAGTGTTAGACCAAGTGGAATGCCAAAAAGTGAAATTTAAAGCAAACTGTAATAAAAATTGGGAAAAGTTGATTAAATATGCAAGCTGTACCTCTAGCTGGTAGTCTTTACTAAGCCTCTCAAAATCCTACCAGCTAGAGGTACAAGACCAAATAAAAAATATAAATGCAAATGCACTCTTGTAAAAAGTGATTCCAAAGAGTGTAAGACTACAACTTGGAGTGCAGAAAAGTAAAATGTGGAGCAAACCATAATAAAAATTGGGCAAAGTCCACTAAGTATGCAAGCTGTACCTCTAGCCAGTAGTGTTTTATAGGCCCCTTCAGATCTTACCAGCCAGAGGAACAAGACCAAATTAAAATAAATAAATATATACTTATTCTTGAAAAAAGTGATTCAAAGGACTGTTAGACTAATTTGGAGTGCAGAAAAAGTAAAATGTGAATCAAAGCGTAATAACAATTGGGCAAAGTTGACCAAATATGCAAGCTGTACCTCTAGCCGGTAGTACTTTCTACGCCTCCAAAGATCCTACCGGCTAGAGGTACAAGACAGTAGAAATTTCATTTTGGGGATCTTTCTAACCAGTAGCACTAAGACAAGGGTATTATAGTGGCGATACTATTCATAAGTTCCGTGTACCTTCGCAAGTGCAGGTCTTAGCAGCTACAGTGTTAAGCTATAAAACTCTGCTGAACAAGAACTTAAGATCGACAAGCATTAAGGAAACAGTCATACAAAATTTAGCGTAATTTCCTTGATTTAAACTCAACAATGTATTCTTCACATGTAATGCACGTTATAATATTCATGTCTGGTTCAGTCACGTTGCTTGACTGTTGGTCAAGCAACGTGATGATTAGTACGAGTTTGAACAGTTATGTAAGTTTGGCTATATTTGTCATCATTCCTGTTTTGTTCTGTTTTGTTTTTGAACACAAAACTTATACACCACACAAGTGCTGGCTGCGTTTCATTTTTATTACCGTACATAGGCTTGCAATCTAGCTGAGTGTAAAAGCCTTCAAAACTCGGACTGGCCATTTTCGTTTACTCTCTGAGGATTTTCGTCTCTGCTCACGTTATAATAACGTCAATTACGGCGCCTGGCATGTTTACAAACCTTTGTTGGGTTCTTCTGTTCCTATTTGCCGACTTGCCTGTTTCGAAAAAAACTAGGTAGAAGTCCCTGAGAAAGTCGGATATAGTACACCTGAATTTTGCAGATGGCGTGACAGCTTTAGCTCCGCACAATATTCTCGTACAGCACGCTCTTTCAACCAATGACAGCGCACGTTATCGTCGTCGAAATCTTCCTTTGACGCACGCGGTTCTCCTTTGTAGGGCTGAACCGTACGTGCAACTTCCATTTCTTCTTTACTACTTAGGTACGATGTATCAAAACTCTCAGTAGAGCCTGCTGAAGGTAGTAATGTATAAGTTATACATCGCTATCGGACATTATTTCAAGAGTATTTCAACGCTGACTGATACAAAATTACAAGAGATGGTCAGAGATGTGAGAGATTGACAGTTTTCACAGGTTTCTACGTCTTCGCCCGCTAATTATCAGTCCACGGGAAACTTTTCAGGCAAAATAAGAGCACTTTATGGCCCGAAAAAACTGAGTTTTAAGTTTTTTGAAATCTTTCTTCTATCGGAATTGGTTTGTACATATAATAAGCTAAATATTGACGCAAAAAAAAATTTGTGTCATAGGCACTTTAAGTTTCAGTTACAACCTAAGAACTAAAATTTCAGCTAGTTGCTCTTTGTTTCTGGAAGCGAAGTATGCTCTTGAAATAATATATTCCTTATCGTTGCCATTGTAAAGAAATACAAAATTATGACAATGTAAGTGTTTTGAGATTCCGAAACCTAATCCTTCCGAAAACTGTCTTCAGTTTACCACAAACATCGAATCATGCTTCGCAACCTAGCCGTTTAGCAATGGTTTGTGTTTAGTGACCTTTAGTCTTATCTTATATGGACGAAATCGTTGGAAATCAGACGGGAACGTCCACATTCGGACGGAAGCGTCGGAAATCACAGACATTGGCTAGGATATTTAAACATAGCTACGCTACTCATGCAAGAGTGAAAGTTTTTTGGATCTATGGGGTGAGGTGGGACATTTAATGTTTTCTTTTTTGTAAAATAAAAGAAGCATTAGCTTTCAAATTATTCCATCGCAATAAACTTATTACTTTTCATAAATCGAGGCAAAACAAAAGAGCCCCTCTGCTATCTTAAAAAGCCTCAGACAAAAGTTATTTTAGTGTGTTTTAACAATAATATGTAAAATAGACAGCATATTGTCAGGCTTTCTGCTGTTCCTCCGTCAGGTACAGTTATTTGCCTTGAAAATATCAATTCACATAATTTTAGAGGTAAAGTAAAACTTCAACACCACAAAATACTCAATAAACGCTGACCAAAGATACTGTGCGGTCTCTCTCCTCCAATATGAATCAATATGAAATGCACTGAACAAAGACAAAATGATCATATTTTGAAAAGCTTCCAGCTCAAAGCGAATTTGATTGGTATAAAACTTCAAGTCATGTAACAAACAATAGCGAAAGTTCTTCGTACAAAAAAATTTGTTGTCCTCTGCGTCAGTAAAACACCGATAGGTTTTCCAATTGGGGTGACTGGAAAATTCTCGAGGATCAATTTCAATTTATTTTAACTCATCTCAAGATTTGTTATATTTTGAACTAGTACATGCTGTTTCGCGTGAATTAAAATGTGACGACTTTAAAAAATCATTCATATAAAGCGATAGATTGATAAATCTGCTTCTCTTTCTACATCCTTCACAACTTCCCACCTACTGGCATCCAGCCAAGAGATACACTCAACCGTTACATCTGCATGAAGGGATCGCCTTTTCAAAGTAGGGCAGGCATGGTTGAGAAGGGTTCTCCATACTTTTATTATCTCTTCCCATTTTAAAGTAAATCTCCTTGCTGTTGCAGATTGTCATATTCACCAGACTGGAAACCATTCATGAGCAATGACGTCTTGCTCAACTGCAGCGAACTGGCAATCAAAAATCCTGAAGAAAGAGTATCAAAACTGGCTGGCTGTAAGCCACGCCCTTTCTCTTATGTGCGATGGGCTAAGGCCTTTCATCGAGAGGGAGATGAAAGCCTTTCATCAAGTGTTAATGGCAAACCTTACCTCTACACCCCCTTGCACCTGTAGAAACCCCCTTAAACACTCTTGTGCTTGGGCTACACAGCTTTTAATGTACCATAGAGGTGGAAAACCAAATTCTCCAAGGTGGCGCCAAAGCGACTCTTACAAGTGGACAGATCCAAACCTTGGTTACTGGGAGGTAGCCAAACTTTTCATGTCCGATTTGGGGAACAGCGCTGTTGATGTGATAGACGCGAGTAGTACTGACTGCACAGGATTGACCAATCTTCTCTTCTGGTGTTCTCACTTTCCCGTACAACACCATCTCGTTGAAGAGGTGCGAAAGACGCGAAATACCAGATGGGGACACGCTCCGAGACAGGAGTTAACAGATGGAGAAAAGGCAGATGCCCTTACAGCGATAAGAAATCTCCTTCAAGATCCGAACTTAATTTCTGACAATGACGCCAAAGCGGCCCTCGCAGAGATTGACGCAATGAAGAAGGATTTCGATGCACGTAGTATTGAAAGAAAAGTTCTGGCAGATTTCCGAGAGACAGTGAGAGGTCAACTGGATGACATTAAAGGGAAAATAAAGTCCTTCAAGAAAGACTGCAAAGGTGTAAGCAACAAGGTACAGAAGAAACAACTGAGTTTGCAAACCCGACAGACAAAGGTCTTCAAGCTTCTGAAAAGTATTGATGAAAGAATGGAGGAGGCGGCAAATCGAAACCTTTCATATGTAACACAAGTTTCAAACCTTGTCAGCTGGATATTTACAAGGGGAAAGCAGTTTGTCTTTGACAACCTTCGCGGCATGAATAAGTACTTCACTCTGTGGTTGCTGTTAATGGTACTCCTGAGTCGCCCTAGATGTTTAAGTAAGAACTCTTACAACGACGGTGAGTTTTGACTCTGTCAGATATGGATGAACAGCTAATTTGATTATCTAACTAGAGGCAAATCAATGCCAATGAAAAGATAGAGAGTAAAGAGGACGGCTTTCTGTTCGAGTTTTGGTAAAGGTGACGAGTTAGGACCGTTCAAACTACTCTTATCTGTGTTTTGCTTTATCCAGTAATTGGTGCTCTTTTAACCGTGTACCAAACTGGCGTTTGGTCTGTCCGATGTATTCGTTGTCACAGTCATTGCAAGGAATAGAATAAATGGCGTCGGTTTGTTGTTCTTTCGTGACAGGATCCTTAGGTTTGGCGAAAATATGCCCCAAAGTCTGAAAAGGTTTTTGAGCAACTTTAACGTTGTGGCTATTTAAAATTCTCTTGAAATAAAAAAATAATTGTTTGGAGGCTTGGCACATTAACTCCGCCCACGCTCCTTTAAATCGTGACGATGGCGGTCTGCTTCCTGACGCCTATTTACACCTCGTCAGAAAAAAGGCCGCTTATTAGTGATCATATAAAAGGACTTCTTGTTGCAGCGTTTAGATCACCCCTGATGAAGGCACTAGACAGGAGTGTCGAAACGTTGGGTCTATGAATTGTAACTTCTTCGGTTACATTCATTAAATCTGCAAACCAGTGTAGCATCAAACTATGTCTGAAAGTTATTCGAAATAAACATCGAAACTGTCAACGCAATTGTTTTCAGTTTACTTTATCTTTTTTTTTTCCTTTCAGGTTGCCCGATGGAAGATGGTTTTGTTCCTTTTGACAGTAAGGAATTCAATTTCATAAGCTACTTAAGTAATGCCCGAGAAAGGTTCACTGGACGGCGCTGGCTCTACAATGAACTGGAAACGAATTTGATGAAACAGGATACCGATCGTGGGGTTCTAGTAATTGGTGAGCCAGGCGCAGGGAAATCTGCACTGACTGCCCAACTGATCTGTTCTCGCTCATCTAATCCTTTTATTCACAAAAGAATCATTGGTTACCATTTATGTAAGCACGCAGACAAAGCCACTCAGGACCCCGGTCGATTTGTTCGCAATTTAGTCGACTTGATGGCCAGAAGAGTTCCAGAATATGGAATGTTGGTCTCTAGCAGCTTATTCATCCTTTCAGTTCTTAAGAGTTGTTCAGGAGATCCGCTTGAATGCTTCGAACAAGCCGTGATGGCGCCACTTTTGCAGTTAAAAGGTGAACCTCAAACCTATTTCATTGTCATAGATGCCTTAGACGAATGCTCGTCAGACAGTGGAGGGACTTCAGTGGTTCAGTTTATCAGAGAAACGTCTAGTAAGCTGCCAAAATGGATCAGGCTTGTGATGACTTCTCGCAATGACTCAAATGTATTAAAACACTTTAGTCATTTTCCCAAAGTGTATTTGTCTTCCAAAGATGCACGAAACTTACAAGACATCGAAGTCTTTATCACCGCTAAACTATTCGAAGACGCTTCTATTCTCGAAAGATTGAAAGCTATGTTAGGTTCTAGTAGCGGTGAAGAGATTTCTTTCCTGACGAGCAGGCTATTAAGCCAGAGCCAAGGAAATTTTCTTTACGTAAAAGAAATGTTCCATTTTTGGAAAGAAGATAGGAATAATGACTTCGGACATATCCCAAAAACAATTGGTGGGATTTACGAGAGGTACTTGAAAAGGATTTATGGTTCCAGAGAGAAATTCAAGCCCGCTCTAGCTATTCTAGAGATCATGGTGGCTGCATTTGAGCCGATGCCGGTTGATGATTTGTATCGAGTTTTAAGAACGCAGGAAAACATCGACTATGAATATGAATTTGTTTACGCGCTTAAGGATCTTTCACATTTTATCAGATATGGCGCAGACAACACCATCACTATTTTCCACCTTTCCTTTACAGAGTGGCTCACTAGCAATGAAAACCTTGGAAACCCATACTATGTAAGTCTGAAACGTGGTCACAGACGCTTAGCGGAATATTATTTAAGTGTTGTAAAAAAGACCCAGAACTCTTCTATGGACATCTACCGTTTAGCTCAACACGTTACTTTTGGAGAGGGTGACGACAATTTTCTAGAAGAGTTTGGCAATATCAAAGCTTCTTACATAAATGCCTCTATTGACGGCGAGAACAGGACACTTCTCCATCTAGCTGCAGAAAATAGCAATAGAAAAATTCTTGAGTTACTTGTTCCAGCGTTTGATAGCGTTGACTGTGAGGACAACTACGGCTTTACTCCTGGCTTTGTTGCAGCAAAGAGCGGTCTCAAAGAAAACGTTGAATTTCTCATCAACAAGGGAGCTAACATTGAACACCGAACAAAGCCACCACCTTCGCTCTACTCTCTAATGGATAGCTCTGTACTTGCAACTGATCCTATTGAACGAGCCAAAACCACCCTTTGGAACTCCACCATGGTACACGCAGCTGCATCGGGAGGTCATACAGCCGTAATACGAGCTCTTCTGAAAAGGAACGCTTCGTTTCGAGAAGTAAATGGTGTTAACTTGACAGCCATCCAGCTCGCAGCACAAAATGGACATTTAGATGTTGTTAAGCTTTTGTACTATAGTGGGTCAAATGCAGACCATCTTTGTCTTCAATATGCAGCTCACGCCGGCCATACAGACGTTGCTAAATTCCTCATGAAGATCGGTATACTGGACACCTGCATGCCATGTGATGGTATATTTTACTGGCTTGGAAACAAAGTCCGATATCAGGCAGGGCTTAGTAATAACTTCAACGACTCACATGGGTACATTTTGGCAGACGATGATTACAGAATCAAATGCCAAAGTGCACTTCATTTAGCAGTGGCCGAAAAACATACAGAGGTTGTTAAATTACTACTTTCTGTGGAAGATAATACAATCCACTGCAAGGACTTCACAGGCCGAACTCCTCTTCATGAAGCGATAAGACAAAATCATGTGGAAATATCAGAGCTTCTTATAAGAAGTGGTGCAAGAGTTTCTCAAAAATGTATGCGCTTTCAAAATTTATCCTCTGTTTGCAACAACTCAGAGAAGTGTAATCAGCTGAGAACATTTTTAAATAAAAGAGAGCTAGAAGAATACGAAAGGGATCTGTGCCATTGTGGCACCACACCCTTTCTACTTGCAGCAAGATACGGTTATATTGAGGTCGCGTCCCTGCTTTTGCGGTATGGTGCAAAGTGTGACGATAGGGATTGCCAAGGGGCCACGGTTCTTCACATTGCTGCATGTCATGGGCATTACGATTTAATTAGATGGCTCATCTCTCAACGAACTTCTCTTCATCTTAACATGAAAAGTAAAAACCTCTCTACACCGCTTCATAGCAGCGCCATTTGTAAAATCAACCGAGACATCAAACCTCTGTTAGACATGGGTGCGAACATCTATGAAACTGATGAAAACGGAATGACGCCTCTGCATTATACTGTCATAAATGCATATGAAACCGATTCGATTGTATTATTTCGAAGAGTGATCGCGAACGGTTCGTTGTTTACCACAGTTCTGGGGTCAAAGGGTGATATTACGGTGACACGTAATTCTGATGTCATTTATAGGACTTTGCCGTTAAACTTTCAGTGTTCAAAGCTTATAGATATTATAGAATCATCAAATAATTCGTACATAAATGCGATGGATATAAATGGAAGAACAGCCTTGCATCTCGCAGCAAAAAATGGAGAGGAGTGTTGTGTCATACGGCTACTTGAAAAACGCGCAAAAGCAGATTTATATGACCTTCAAGGGAAAACCCCTCTAGACTTTGCTACGGCGTTTTCTACCGAAGTGCGCGAGTGTAGCTGGTGCGACAACATGGATGATTTAGACATAATTCCGGCCGTAAACCAAAGGTATCACGACTCAATAGTTAGGATTCTCCTCTCAAGAGAGGTTGACTTAACCCAGACGTGCGACGAAGAAAAAACACATATATTGCGCCACGCCTTTGAGGTACACAAGCTAGTAATTGCTTACCTTATACCTTCGAAGAGCCTTAGTCTACGCTGTAAAGATGCGCAAGGTCGAACACCACTGTTAACTCACCTTCAGAGTGGTGGCAAGTGGCTGGACGTAATCGTGGAACGATTTGATGCACCCATTCACATCGACTGTGGGAAGCCATTTAACACGTCCGAATTCCACCTGCTGGCATTTAGAAAGCCGACAGGCCCGTCAGGAAATCTTCTGGAGTACCACACCTGTGATAACTTTACTTTTTCCCGTTATGAAAGCGATAAAGGCCCCTCCCTTGGGATTCCGTGTCATAGACGAGTGTCGTGGTGCAGAGGGATACACAGCGTTACATAGAGCTGCTCAAGGTGGCAATCAGCTTGTACTGAAGACATTTCTCTCGTTAGGCGCTGATCCTTCTATTTTGACTTCTCAGGGTAATAGCGCTTTGGAAATCACCATTGTGTGTGTAAGGATAAGCCCGTTCCCATAAAATAATCATAGACGAATTGCCGAGGAATCGGCTGATCTGTTGCTTCAAGCTTCGAAACAATTTGATGTTGGATGCAACATATGAAGGTGGCTTGCGAAAGATCCTATTGCAGTTTTCAGATTCCTTTTAGAAAATACATATCAATGGTAGAATTCAAGTTTCTTCCCTTTTCCTTACCACTTGTAATGAAATAAATATACTTGCACCTTACGTTCTCTTTGATTTTCCTGTTTACTTTACGGTCATAATTTGCAATTTTTTATGTTTTATTATAAAACCCCATTTCGTGTCAAAACACTAAAGCAATGTCATCACGTCAAAACGTATCCTATTGAGTTTCACTCAGGTTTAACACGTGAGTTGGGTGGTGGCAGCGATAAGAGTTGAACCCAAGCCTCAGAAGAGATTGGTGCCTAAACCAGTGCCCTAGACCACATGGTCATGATACCTGTCGAAGAGCAAAAATTAGCAGTACCGCAAAACTAAATTTTTCGATGCAGTCACAAAAGAATATAATTCGTTTATTATCTTACATGGAGGGCGTTCGAGAAGGCGATGAGACGAATGCTCCATGAATAATGAAATTTCGCATTGAGTTTGTAGACGATGACAATAATTTACTCGAGGAGTATTTGAATCCTTCAGCTTGGCTTTGTTACAGTGACAGTGTTCGAGTAAGAACCTGCAAATTGTCGTCAAATTCGGATTTGAATGAAAGGAAATACAGCATTCCTTTCTCACCGCTGAATGGTTTTTATCAGAAAATAATTGAATCTTAATTAACAACAACAATATTAATAACACGGAAATCAAACTCTACACGATGTTCCTTTGAAGTCTTATAATATCAACTTTCAGTTATCTTTAAATATTGTACAATATTAACGCAAAACATCAAGTTATCGTCAGTGAAGAGCCTTGACATGTAATTTCCTTTTAATACAAGAAATCTACTGGAAAGATTCCACCCAGTGCAGAGCAGCCACACTCTGTTTCACTATCTTCGAGAAACCACTGCAAAATAGAGAAAAGCACGTGAGAAGCCCGACCCGACAATTTCAAATTTAGCGTCAGGAAATAAGCTTCAGCAGAAGCTTTGGCAATAAATTTAAGAGTTAAAGAGATTTTCTCCTTAGAGCGTCTTAGTGATGTCTATAGTTTTAAAAGTTGAAAAGGCTCTGTCTTCATATTCAACCGTTGCTGTTAAAACGGTTCAACTGTGCGAGTCGATTCGACTTTTCTGGCGATGAAACACAAATCTAACATGAAGAATGTCATACTTTGACGCAGTGAGGGTTAAGATTCAACATAAAGAACTAAATAAATTTTCTCTAACCACGAACGCGTCATATGGTTAAAATCTGTTTTACAAAGTCAGAGAGCCAAAAGAAAAAAAAAAAAAATTTGATGAGAACCAGACAACAATGGGCAACTATATTAGTAAGCCTAACACACTGACTAACAAGGAAAATTTGTTAATAAGAAAAACAAGGTATTTAGTGGGTCCTGTAGAACCTTACAACAGTGCCTCTTCGATGAAAAATTTGTTTTCGTTTTTCTTCCCCACACAAATTTACCCACTTTTCCGATTCTAACTCTCATGAAAATAACGGCCTACGAACGAAGACAACTATCAAACATACCACCTCCAAACAAACTAAATGGCCCATCTGGATGAAAAGAGACTGTCTTTTTTCAAATTTTTGAAAGCAAACTAGGATGACCCGAGAACTGTCTAAAGACAACTGTGGGTGGCTGATCAAAAACTTGATAAGGCGATACAAATCGTGAAAAATCTGCAAACATCTGACGTATAAACAGCAACAGATTACTCAGTTCACAGCAGTAAGCTGAGCAGTATTATCAAAAAACTTACGCTCCTAATTGGTTCGCAATTGTAGTCGGCTCGTCGAGAGTTAAAATACCGCAGTTCAGACAGAATGTTTCTGCTAGAGCTAATCTGATTATCAACGATGCCAGAACCTGTGATAGCAATATATCAGCAGATGAAAAGTAAAGAGAGGGTTTGTAAAAAGAAAAAACGAAATTAAATGAAAATTTTCCAAACAGTCTCTGGTTAAATATACCGTACCAGCAATACACAATCTTTTGTCCTTCAGAAAGTCAAAAGTCACCTCCCATTTGCACTTTTACGATTTATGTTTCGAAGGTCAGGAGAAGGGTAGTAAAAGCATCTCAAAGTGACAAAGAACATCAAAATTTCACTGACTTATGTGGCTTGTCACTACGTCAATTCTTCTATGCAGCTCAATTGATAATGTGCCAGGCAAAACATTGTAAAAACGATGATACAAACACACTTCAGAAGAAAAAATAATAATTATAATAACAAAAAAAAATAAAGAAAGAAACAGAAAACAAGGTTCCTATGCTCGCAAGAGTCTAATTTAAGATCTTTAAGGCCCGTTCGAAGGACGGATGCCTCGTGGGGTCTTATCTTAGGGTACGCTTCCGATTCAAACCTTCTGTCCAGCGCTACAGCGTCCTCTCATGTCCAGTACTGTGTCTCCTTTAACCATAACCACCTGATAAAACAGCGAAGGGAAAAGATTAACTTAATTCCGAGGGACGACAGAGCTGAATTATTTCTGCACTCCTCACGTGCTCACTTGTGAATCCTTACCAACAGCATACATCATTAAAAATATTCACCGACCACTAGAAGTTACCTAAAAAATATAACATCTCCGGCAATTTCAATACATTATCCAGCGAAAAAAATAATTAGAATCGACCATCTTATCAGCTTAGGTCCGTAATCTTATACCAGACTCTCTTAAATAATTGAGTAAAACTTTGAAAAAGCCTGAGAGGATAAATACGAATCAGAATCTTCGTAGTCCTCTGATAAAATGGCAAGACTATTTCACATAAAATGGTGAAGAGGGGGACTTTTCTTCTTCAAAGAACTTATTTAGCAAGATTATCTAGAGCAGGGTTAAAAGAAAACAAAGCTTTTTACCCTGTAGTTATACGTCCGTCGTGCTTTAATCGCTCCACTTCCTTCTTCCTCGTCTGCACGAATTTCAGTTGCGATATCTACAGAAAAACGATTAGAGGAGATCTTTGACCTAATTATAAATTACAGCGACAGCTATATCGTCGAGTCTGCCTTAAAAAAATTGTCTCCACTGTAACGTTTAAACTCTAACAAGCTTTTTCTGTCCTTCAGTCATTTTTTTCTAGTTCGTCCTAATTTTTTTTATTGAATGCCTAGTCTTGATTTGCTGTCGCTTGTGTTATTATCTTATTTCGGGAACATTTTAAGGAGACTGGAACGGGTAAGCAGAAAACGACCTTTTCATCTAAATACTTGGTCCAGCAAAATTACAAAAGAATATTCTCAAAATGACAGACAAGTGATTTGATGTGAGATACGGCCATTACCACATATGATATGCGAAATATATCATGTTTGAATGGCCTATCGATGAGAAGATTTTTCCCATAAGCGGCTGCCGATGACGTAATAGGGAAAAGGGGGCTGTAAGGCGAAACCCAAACACAGAGCCTGCTCGCGGGCTGAACAGCGACACCATGAGCAAGATTTATTTCTCGTATTTTAAAACGTACATTTCCAAACTTCTCAAGCTACAGGTGAGCAAATATCACTTTCTCTTGGTTGATTTCCTGCCCATTTTTTTTGCAAGCACGCGAAACTTTTCCCATCAGTGAAGCAGCTTGGATCACATAACACAACTTTCTGTGCTCAAGGGGTCAAGTTATTCTGTAACAAAGGACTCGCCAAGTTTTGAATCCTTCTCGCCAATATTATCTCATGTCACTCTGGATTAAAAGATATTTCCCGTTTTTCGTTATAACCGCAAGAATGATTTCATTTGTACATTTATCATTGTAATATTTTTTTCTCAGTTTGAAGAACAGGTGGATAGAGACGACCTTATGGGAATTGAGGACAACGCAAAGAGATATATACTTTTCCAAATGAAAATGTAATTTTTCAGCTGTATTGGTGTAATTTGTGATGGCATTGTGAATATGGCTTAATGGGACTAAAGGATACTTAGGGGCCATCAAAACCTTTCAACGGGGATCTTATTCAATTGTATGAGTGTAGCATTTGGATCAACTAAACCAGATTTTTCCTCAATTCTTCTTAAGTATTTTCTATGGAAGAGTTGCTTTAAAGAATCGTTCCACAACTTTCACTCTAGGAAGCCGTGGCAGTGTTTTAACATCAGAGTTAGAAGAACCCGTGATCGTGCCTCATGCGGCGCAAAAGAGCGAAAAGAAGGCGAGAGAGTCAATGGCCGCACTGAAACAGAATGTCTACTGTTAAAAAGCGTTCATTTACTTCATCATCTGCTTAAAATTTGCTATTCGTTTGCCATCGCAATTTAATAAAAAAAACTATTGGAATTTTTTTGCAGCAGTAACTTGTCGAATTCTGATTTAGCCGAGGCGGGTTGATTTCCACTACACTAATATATTTTGCACTGAGTTGTGTGGTTATTGCCGCGTCTTGTTGTTTTACACTTACCGTCAATGTATTTCTGGGGAAATGTAGTGTAATTGTTTGAACTTTACCCATGATGATGGAGAGTATTTCGAACTGTTTGTTAATCTCTTCTTTTTACAGTACTCCTTTGAAAGTCTGTTTCGCAGCATGCACTTTGCTTTACTGGATAACAGCTGCCGTGAATATCTATTCCTAGCTGACTTTTTCATGGTACAGAAAAACTCATTAAAAACTCATGATTAACCCCTTAAGTCCCAAGATTTGATTGCTAATTCTCCCTTCTAACTGCAACACATCTCCATGTAAATTAATTACGAGAATTTGGTGTTGTATCAAGATAACAACTTCCACCCGATTGGTTTGAGTATTCTCATTACCTGTGTACAGGATAATGTCTGGATATTGTAGGGAGAAGTTACATGTTAATCACTTATGGAAGTTAAAGGGGTTAACACGGAAAGTTTGCTTTTTCATCAGCCAAACAGTTTAACCACGTAATAGTTGTTCATAAGAAGTCTACGTTGTAATCATATGTAATATTTTGTGGCTATCCTCACCAGGTATTGGGACACAGTGCTGGAAATGTCATGGCCACGTTTCACGTACGTAGTAGAGTTAAATGTTGACAGTGTCCGTAACACAGATCCTCAAAGACTTGGAGTGATCGACATCAGACCAAATTACGTAAGCATGACTTCTAACTATTCTTGGCATTTTTACCGGCTTCGTAAGACACACCGTGTAACAAAAAAGTTTATATACTCTCGCGTTACGTATGATATGTTCATCTCTTTCATGCGTGACTTGAGCCAAACGCGTGACATGCACTGGTTGTGATATGAAAGTCCTGAAGTGTAGTACTAAATTGTTTGTAGAAAGTAATCTTGATTTCTTCAGGGTAATTTGGTGTAATCAACTGAGTTTATAACGTAAATTGGCCACCATAAAGAGTTTAAAGGCTGGCCTTTCAAGCGTTAGCCCTTCGTCAGAGCGATCGTATCGTTAATCAGTGTAATCAGCTGATTACACTAAATTACTCTGTTATACTCTCCCACCGACGCAGCACGACAGTTTCTTAAGAAACTTACCCCCTTTTTTCATTTATCTTGATTTCTTCAGTTTTTTTCAAATGTGTCTTTCGTTTTTTTAGATAATCCGTCGATATGCAGAGTTTTCTGCCACGACTGTCAGCTTGAATGAAAGTTTTCCAGATGAGAAGGTTAGAATAATTAAATTTAATTCACTTACTGTGATCTCTTTCTTAATTTTATTTTGTACTTTAGGTGGAAAAATTCCTTGTGGCAACCTCCTCTATTCACCAATTTTTTTTTCAAGGTAAACAAAGTCCTTGCAGCTTTACGAGTCGAGATCGAAAACTTCATTTTGCGTATACCCGCGGAGTTTCCTTTAAGGAAAGAACAGCATATTTTCCTAATCAACAACTACGATATGATGCTGGCTGTTTTATTGGCATGTTTACACAGAAACACCTGATTTAAAGTATCATGAATAGTAAATGCCTGACGGTAAAAGCGAAAGCGATTTATGGCCGCCTAATAAGAATTGGAAAATGTGACGGTTGAATTCTTATCGGGGTCATTTTTTCTTGGTTGTGTGTGTAAATTTTGTTGTGCTTGTTTGTTTGTTTTGGAGTGCAATAAATACACTCTCTGTTGTGCCAACATTTTATCTGTTCCCTTTTTTAGGAGAGAACATCTGAAGACTCCAAAGAAGTGGAAAGTTTTCAGCAGTTACTCACAGCCAGAATTCAGGAGTTCGTTGAAGAGGTGTGACCTGGCTCTGTTCTTTCTAGTGTGGAGAAATTTTTACCCAATGATTTTAATTAAATTAGTCTCATAATTGTCATGACTCCTTTTTTGTCTTAAATTTGGCCCTGGAAGGGCAAGCCTTTGATTGAGAATGAAGATGACTTTAAATTACTTCTTTATTCGCAGGCTCTCTCTCCCGCTTTTGGTGTAATGATTGCCTTCGTTAAAGAGACAGAGCCTCTTTTGGAAAAAGGAAAAGGACAAGGACAAGTCATCTGGCCAGATGAAAGTATGTCGGCTGTTCAGTATTTGCTCCGCTGATATATACTTTATTTTATGTACTCATTTCTATTTTGTGTACTGTACAAGTCGAAAATCTCTTGGCTCTGATGATGACTTCTGTTGTGGTTGTCAAAACGTCAGCGACACCGACAATTGCTTCCAGGGCCACTCGTACACCAAGGGACACACCACACAACGAGTTGTATGTCTTCGGCCTGTCACTGATTTCTTGTTTCCATTTAGAACGCATTCAACAACTTGTGCGTGGTTTCGCTTCGGACTGGAAAAGGTCAATTGAAAATATAAATCAAGAGATAATGAGATCGTTCTTCAACTTCAAGAATGGCACAACAATTCTGCAGGTATCACGTTCACAAAGAGTAGCTACTCGCAAAGTGAATTAAGTCTTCGGTATTTAAATAACCTCTTGGGTGAGGCCAAGCACACACTATTAGTTTGGTGAGAAACACAAGTTGCGAAGAAAAGTCCAAATGGACAGAGGAAGATACCCCATGAGATGGACTAGCTCTCGGCTTCACAGACCCCAAATATAATACATTGTTCAACTAGTGGCATGTTATGTAATTAGCCTTTGATGCAGACTCTAGCTCGCCCTCATAACAATTCTGTTTTATATTTCCTAGGCTGCTTTGACACGACTGATCCAGTATTATCACAGATTTCAGAAAGTTTTATCTCAACATCCTTTTAAAAGGCTTCCGATCCGGAGTGAACTGATTAACATTCATCATGTGATGGTGGAGGTCAAAAAACACAAAACAACGTTTTGAATAATTAACAAGGCTTCTGAGCGGAACATCCGAGCTCCCTCTTAGGGTTCCTTGCCAGTGAAGGGAAATAAGACTACAGTAGTACTACTGCGATAAGCTAAAAACAGTTTTACAATCAGCCACGACAAAAGCATCTAGAACTGAACCCTGTTCTGGTACTTTAAACCACACGAATTTTTTTGTGTTCAAACGTCGAACTTTCAGCAACCCGAAACCTATACCTTGATTAAAAGCATGAAAAGATCTTTGTTTGAATAATTTAAGCATGGCGTTTTAAATTGCAACGGTTGAGCCGTATTTCCTTTTATGTTCAGCTGCGAATTTCGATTTTTGAATGGGTTTGGTTCCAGAATATTTCATGTTGAAAACCCTAATAAAAAAGATCAGGCATTTGTAAGGTCAAATGTACTCATTAAAAAATTTATGTTCCCATTCTTGGGTAAGTTTGAAAACTTCTCACAGAAATGATATGCGAAATGGTTAGAAATTGGGTCCAGAATTTAATGACAAAGTTAGATTGAATGAAGGGCAATTAAGCATGTCAAAGATCGTTGACGTGCAATGTCTTAGAATGGTCTAATATTATACCAAGTGGAAATCATAGTAACCAAATTAAATCTTTGAAAATGAGTTTAACAGATATCTTACGTTATGATTAATAACAGAACTGCAACTCACCTACAAAGTAACAGCGTTTCCTTCGGTTTTTGTCATTATTATTATCATTGGTAATGGTTTTACTGTCGTTTTTGTTGTTATTCGGAACGTGTCGCGTTACGGCAAGATTTCGTTACATTGTTAAGCCGAAAATATTGATGACGTAATAATTTAGCCGCAATGAATGATGTGTTAGGGGGTTTCCGTGGCGAGTTCGTGGAAATCGAGCGGTGTATTTCCTATTTTACGGACAGAGCTTCGTCGTTGATGAGAGTAGACACGAAGTCTCATCGAAAATCGGGAACCTCTTCATTTACATTTATAGGGAAACGGTGTAAAGAATCGCTTTTGAATTTATTTCCCAAGGTAAGACAAAGTAAGGCTGGCATAAACGGAAGTAAACTAAGTCAGTGTAGTGTTACTAAACATTGAGATAATTATTCGATTTGCCTGTGAGCTTGCAAATTTGTTTTCTAATTCCGATTGAAGTGCAATCTTTCTTGAGTATACTGCACACTTATAAACGTTCGGCTAATCATCTTCGAAAGTCTTAAAGTTTTAAAAAATTGAGTTTCTCAGTTGGGTATCTATTTCAGCTTCTTCGTCTTAGTGTATTATATCGAAACTACAAAGCAGTTTCCAGTTTGCCGTAACAGTCGAATAATCTGTTTTTAAACAGCGTTTCAAAACAACTTGGGGTTACTGCTTTCATTGTTTAATTTCCTACAAAAGTCCTCGTGATGATTCAGTTAAAGTGCCCATGACACAAACTTTTTTTGCATTTTTTGGTTGATAACTGTATTCAAAATTAGAAATAATCGATTTAAGCGCCTAGCGAGTTCTCCTTGACTATTTTTTTGGGAATTGAAAGTACGATTTGGCGGCCAAAAAGTGTCCCCATTAAGCGCGTGACCAAAACGATCGTGTTACACCGTTGTGTCGTAAAGAACTGTTGAGAACATCAACTATGATGGGGAAAGGAGGAATCTAGAAGAGAGAACGAACGGATTGCGTGGCCGGAGCGCCTATTGATGTTAGCTACGAGAATAATACACAAATAACGGGTATTCATATACGTTACTTTCCAAAGGATGTAGCTATATGGTCAAATGGACGCGTTTCGATCGTCGACATCGAGGAGATTTTACTCTTGAATGTCACCGGCCTTATGCTCTGTACCGGCTCTGAAGGCGGCTGTTACGAACGCATGCCACCAGACAAATCAGGGGAAGATAACCAAATAATTTAGCTAGAAAGAATGTTGATTAAGGAGCCTGTTCCCGCACCGTAAACGATTCTTCAAAATTTTTTCGGCTGACATGTCGCGAGCGAAGAATGGTGAGCTCCTTATTTAACAAATAGAGAAGCCTTGTCTGTGCTCTGTTTTGTTGTAAAGCACGCAGGAAACGGCTAGAGCAAGAAAGAAGTGTAGAATATTATAACATGCTTTACATGTGAAGAATACATTTTTGAGTTAAAATCAAGGAAATTTCGCTAAATTTTGTATGGCTGTTTCCTTCACGCTCATCGATCTTAAGTTTCTTGTTCAGCAGACTTTTAGCTTAACACTATAGCCACTATAATGCCCTTGTCAGAGTGCTACTGGCGAGAAAGATCCCCAAGATAAAATTAGGAGTCTTAGAAAATACTACCGGCTAGAGGTACAGCTTGCATATTTAGTCGACTTTGCCCAATTTGTGATACGGTTTGCTCCACGTTTTACTTTTCTGCACTCCAAATTAGTCTGACACTCCTCTGAATCACTTTTTCAAGAATAAGTATAATTTTATTTACTTTTATTTGGTCCTTTACCTCTATTCGGTAGGATCTTTGGAGACCTAGAATATACTACTGGCTAGAGGTTCAGAAAGTATACTTAATGAACTTTGCCCAATTTTTATCATGGTTTGCTCCATATTTTACTTTTCTGCACTCCAAGTTGTAGTCTTACACTCTTTGGAATAATTTTTAATAATGTTTTTTTTCTTTTATTTGGTCTTGTACCTCCAACTGGTAGGATCTCAGGAAGCATAGAAAGGACTATCAGCTGGAGGTACAGTTTGCATAGTTTAGTCAAATTTGCTCAATTTTTACTGTGGTTTGATCATTTTACTTTTCTGCACTCCAAATTAGTCTTACACTCCTTGGAATCACTTTTTTCATGAATACATTTACATTTTTTTCTCTCTTATATAGTCCCTAACCTCTAGCCAGTAGGATCTTAGGAGGCTTAGAAAATACTTGAAGTATAGCTTGCATATTTAATTGACTTTGCCCAATTTTTATTCTACAGTTTGCTTTGCATTTTACTTTTTGGCATTCCATTATAGCCTTACACTACATTGGAATAATTTTTTCCAAGAATATCTTCTTGCTCCTTGGTCATGTACATACATGTACCTACATGTACCACTGCTTATTTGATAGCAAAAGTTATGAGCATCAAATGACTCTTTATGGCGAATGGGATATGCTGAAACTAAAGCAGGCATTTTTTGGCAATAAGCAAAGGGTTTCTGGTTGGTGTTCAAATAAGAGAGGTTTGATTTCTTTTTAATAATAGCAATTTTTATTTTAAAAAATACAATAAATAACACAGGCACAGGTTAATCTCATTTATTTAATTGTATAATTTCTGTTGATGTTGATGACCTCTCTATATTTTCAAGAATAACTTGCATACTAGCTGTTAAATATCGTTGAAAATACAAAGGGAAAATTTCAACTTGGTGAATTAAAATCATGTTATCCTATGACTACCTAAAGATGACTTGATTTTAGTATTTCAGGCAATGGTTGGCCTTGTCAACAATACTTCCAATCAAACACAAATATCATGAAAATAGAAACTGTTCCTTTCTAAGAAATTCCTCTCATACTTAGGCAGGGTTTTACATGACAAACTTCAGTAAATCTGGTTGACAAGTCCACTGAAGTCTAAAATGAATTTCAATTCAAATTCAGCTAAAACTGGTTATGTTTGTTTTGAAATAAATCCACAACCAAAGAAAATACAAATCAGGCTGGTTTAAAATTTATTAACTTGAAATACATTTAAAACATAACAATGTTAATGATTTCAAGCTTACGTCACACACATAAGCTGCCCCTCTGGCTGGTAGTGTTTTCTGAGTAATCTAACATCCTACTAGCCAGATGAACAGGACTACAAAGCATGAAAATATGCCTATGGAGTGACTCCACAACAGAAAGACCAACATGGAATGTAGAAAGGTTTTTCCATAAATCAAGAAGTAAATGAAATTAGTTAAATTCACTATAAATGCATGAAGTACCTCTAGCCTGTAGTATTTTCTAGGCCACCTAAGATCCTACCAGTTAGAGGTGCACGGCCAAGAAACGAAGATATTCATGAAAAAGTGATGCTAACGTAGTGTTAGACTAAAATGGAATGCCAAAAGGTAAAATTTAAAGCAAACTGCAATAAAAATTGGGCAAAGTAGATTAAAATTTTAATATGCAAGCTGTACCTCTAGCTGGTAGTGTTTACGAAGCCTTTCAAAATCTTTCCAGCTAGAGGTACAAGACCAAATAAAAAGTATAAATATAAATGTACTCTTATAAAAAGTGATTCCAAAGAGTGTAAGACAACATTTTGGAGTGCAGAAAAGTAAAATGTGGATAGCCATAATAAAAATTGGGCAAAGTCCACTAAGTATGCTGTACCTCTAGCCAGAGCTAGAGGTATAAGACCAAACAAAAATAAAATAATATAAACGTATTCTTGAAAAAAGTGATTAAAAGGAGTATTAGACTAATTTGGAGTGCAGAAAAAGTAAAATGTGAAGCAAACCGTAGTAACAATTGAGCAAAGTTGACCAAATATGCAAGCTGTACCTCTAGCCGGAAGTATTTTTTACGCCTCCTAAGATCCTACCGGCTAGAGGTAAAAGAAAATAGAAATTTAATCTTGGGGATCTTTCTAACCAGTAGCACTATGACAAGGGCATTATAATTGCGACACTATTTATAAGTTTCGTGTACCTTTGCAAGTGCAGGTCTTAGCAGCTACAGTGATAAGCTAAAACTCTACTGAACAAGAAACTTAAGATCGACGAGTGTGAAGGAAACAGCCAAACAAAATTTAGCGAAATTTCCTTGATTTAAACTCAACAATTTATTCTTCACTTGTAAAGCATGTTATAATGTTAACGTCTGGTTCAGCTCTATGCCCTATACTCTCATACAGCACGCTCTTTCTGTAGGAACCCAATGTTCGCTACTGGAAGGCGGCAACAAGGTAAACTTGAGATGCGCTGAACTGCAAACTTCTTTTATTACATGAACAACGATTCACTGAAATTAACTGTATAAATCCGCTGAATAAAGCAAAATAACAACCGAATGACAAACGAAAGGAAAGCTAAATATAAACCGATCGATACTTACAAGTTTTTTCGTGCCTTGTTCCGCTAATACAAAAAAAATCTTGTACAACAATCGTAGCGAAAGCCAAAACTTCAAAACAGACCATGTGCTCTCTTATTGTGACTGCAAAACATCTTACCAGCAGTACACGTCATAAATGACTCACTGAAATGTCTCAGTCATTACACTTTCAATCAATGACAGCGCGCGTTATATCCGAACTTGTAACACAACGCGTGACGCTTTCATGAATAAATACATATGCGTCCGAGAATTAATCTTTCGTCTTTTTCGAGATGTGAGCTTGGGACGCCTCTGCTCAAACTCCTTAATTGCAAGCGCAACAACACCCCAGCACTCCGGGGTTGTAAGATTGCATGTAAACGCGTTTTATTTTTCGACCACGGCTAGGCGGGTTACCTCACCTACTTGGGGTCCCCCACCTCCATGTAAACAGGCCCTTATTTTCATTCATAAATAAAGTCGGCTTTTCTTCTCAGTAAAGGGCTATTGTATTTTATGTGATAAACAAAATAATGCTTGACTGCTTGTAGATATGGAATTTCTCTTCACGTGTTCAACTCGACATCTCACTCGTTCGTTGCGCTCATTCGTGAGCTATCGAGTTAAACATTCGATGAGAAATTCCACATCTACGCGCACCCATGTATTATTCTTTATTCAATGAATTAGATGATAGCGAATCCAAGCGCTGTGTGAAAGTCGATGTATACGAAATATCAATTTACAATACTGATGTCAGTTATTTGCCATTGACCTAAATGAGTCATATAGCAATGCTACACTTAAACTAAAGAAGTTTTCTCTCTTAAAATCTCTATTTAAGGTTAACTTGAATCGGATAAACTCACTTGTTTTCCGTTTAACCGGCTCGACGACGACAGCCTCACTGAGCCTTTGCAATCTTTTAGGAAAGGAGCAACTTGCAGTGAAACTGCCCGATGACTTTTCGGCACAAAATCATCGTGCCTCGTGATACAGCCGATTCTTTCGTCAAAAGTTAGCTTGTGGTTTGCTGTGGGAATCATTCTACAGCAACGAAACTCTAGTGCGAAGGAATAAAATGTTATGTCAACAAAAACGAACACAACTACCATTCTTAACATATATTTCGCCATAGAAAACAAAACACATACGCAACAAACTAAACATTCAGTAACGGGAGCTTTATGTTCTAATTTTGACCTGAACACTGCACGCGAGAAACCGTCTTAGTCTTCGTCGAAATCTTCCTTTGATGCACGCGGTTCTCTTTCATAGGGCTGAACCATACTCGCGATTTCCATTTCTTCTTTACCACTTAAGTACGATGTATCAAAACTCTCGGTAAAGCATGCTGAAGGTAGTTATACATCACTATCGAACATTATTTCAAGAGTGTTTCAACGCTGACTCATACAAAATTACAAGAGATGGTCAGAGATGTGAGAGATTTGTAATTGTCAACGGAGAGTTTTCACAGTTTTCTACGTCATCACCCGTTAATTACCAGTTTACGGGACACTTTTAAGGCAAAGTAAGAGCACTTTATGGCCCGAAAAAACCGAGTTTTAAGTTTTTTTAAATCTTTCTTCTATCGGAATTGGTTTGTACATATAATAAGCCAATTGTTTTCGAAAAAAAATTCGTGTCATAGGCACTTTAAGCTTCAGTTAGGACCTAAGGACTAAAATTTCAACTAGTTGTTTTTCCGTTTCATAGGAAGCGAAGTATGCTCCAGAAATGATATAGTCCTATCGTTGCCATTGAAAAGAAATACAAAATTATGGCTATGAACGCGTTTTGAGATTCTGATGAAACACCTAATCCTTCCGAAAATTGTCTTCAGTTCACCTCAAACTCGACCTTGAGCAATCTTGCGTAGCAGCCTGGCCGTTTAACTATGGCTTGTGTTTGGTGACCTTAAGTCTATCTTCTCTTCAATATAGACGAAATCGTTTGAAATCAGGCGGGAACGTTCACATTCGGACGGAAGCGTCGGAAATCACAGACTTTGGCTAGGATATCTAAACATAGCTAAGCCACTCATGCAAGAGTGAAAGTTTTGGATCTATAGTGTGAGGTGGGATATTTTATGTTTTCTTTTTTGTAAAGTAAAAGAAGCATTAGCTCTCCAAACATTCCATCGTAATGAACTTATTACTTTTCATAAATCGTGAGCAAAAAAAAAAAAGCCCTTCTGCCTTATCTTAAAAAAGCCTCAGACCAAAGGTGTTTTAATGTGTTTTAATGGAAATAAGTAGAATAGACCGCATTATAGCGACGCTTGATCGCCGCTAGCTGGACCGTACGAATCTCACTGATCGACACAACAAATATCGCCCCAATTTCTTTCTGTTAAACGCCTCCTTTATTAAATGTCGTATTTGACCGTGAAGCTAAAAATAATTGATTCACAAAATTAGGGACAAGAAATTAGCTATAGAAACACTCGAGGTAAATTAAACTTACATTGTTGCCGGATCTGGCGAGAGTTGACACAAAAAAGACCTTTCCTTCCTTCGATAAAAACGACAGACAATTTCTTTCTATTAAACCACGAGTGCTTGCGAAATCGATCGAATTATTGAATTGCACAATAGATCCGTTCTGTTTGGAAATGCGATACCACTTACGGAACGCGTGACGAGGCACCTAGTGTGACTTTTACAGATTATTAATTAAACGATTACTAAATCAAAACAAGGGATAAACCCGTGCCTTAGGGGCACTTACACGCATGTTGTCAGGCTTTCTGTAGTTCCTCCGTCAGGTACAGTTATTTGCCTCGAAAATATCAATTCACATAATTTTTTAGAGAGAAAGTAAAACTTCAACATCACAAAATACTCAATAAACGCTAACCAAAGATATTGTTATTATTGCTTATTATCTCTTCCCATTTTAAAGTAAATCTCCTTGCTGTTGCAGATTTTCATATTCACGAGACTGGAAACCATTCCTGAGCAATGACGTCTTGCTCAACTGCAGCAAACTGGCAATCAAAAATCCTGAAGAAAGAGTACCAAAACTGGCTGGCTGTAGGCCACGCCCTTTCTCTTATGTGTGATGGGCTAAGGCCTTTCATCGAGAGGGAGATGAAAGCCTTTCATCAAGTGTTACTGGCAAACCTTGCCTCTACACCCCCTTGTACCTGTCGAAAGCCCCTAAACCACTCTTGTGCTTGGGCTAAACAGCTTTTAATGTACCATAGAGGTGGAAAACCAAGGTGGCGCCAAAGCGACTCTTACAAGTGGACAGATCCAAACCTTGGTTACTGGGAGGTAGCCAAACTTTTCATGTCCGATTTGGGGAAAAGCGCTGTTGATGTGATAGACGCGAGTAGTACTGACTGCACGGGATTGACCAATCTTCTGTTCTGGTGTTCCCACTTTCCCGTACTACACCATCTCGTTGAAGAGGTGCGAAAGACGCGAAATACCAGATGGGGACACGCTCCGAGACAGGAGCTAACAGATGGAGAAAAAGCAGGTGCCCTTGCAGCGATAAGAAATCTCCTTCAAGATCCGAACTTAATTTCTGACAATGGCGCTAAAGCGGCTCTCGCGGAGATTGACGCAATGGAGAAGGATTTCGATGCACGTAGTATTGAAAGGAAAGTTCTGGCAGATTTCCAAGAGACAGTGTGTGGTCAACTGGATGACATTGAAGGGGAAATTAAGGCCTTCAAGAAAGACTGCAAAGGTGTAAGCAACAAGGTACAAAAGAAGCTGCTGAGTTTGCAAACGCGACAGACGAAGGTCTTCAAGCTTCTGAAAAGTATTGATGACAGAAAGGAGGACGCGGCAAATCGAAACCTTTCGTTTGTAACACAAGTTTCAAACCTCGTCAAATGGGTGTATACAAGCGGAAGGCAGTTTGTCCATGACAACGTTCGCAGCATGAATGCTAAGTCCCTCACTCCATGGTTGCTGTTAATGGTACTCCTGAATTGCTGTAGATGTTTAAGTAAGAACTCTTACAACGATGGTAAGTTTTGACTCTGTCAGCTACCTTCAATAATACACTACATTTGTTTTCAATTACTTATTTGTTTACGATCGAATGGGGAAGACCGGACAAAGGTTTTAAGCACGATATGGACGAGCAGCTAATTTGATTCTCTAACCAGAGGAAACTACAAATGAAAAGAATGAGAATTAAGAGGACAGCTTTCTGTTCGAGTTTCGGTAAAGATGACGAATTAGGACCGTTCAAACAACTCTTATCTGTGTTTTGCTTTACCCAGTCATTCATTTCATGATAGCTGTCTACTACAAAAACAATGCTATCTACCCTTTATAGCAGTTCATCGAAGAGGTAGATCATGAGAGGCGAAAGTGAGTGATTTGGTTGATTTGTTGGACACTGAGAACGAGATTAACTCCCATGAGTGACCAAGATAGAATTTCTCCCTATAATATCTATGCAATATCAAGTAGACAAGTGATGAGATTAAATTAAAACATCAATGAGGGTATGATTAGTTGATCCACTACCAAATTCTCCAAACAAACATAGCGATAACGATACGGCAGACAGCAAGGAGAATAAATAATAATATCTTGTGAGTGAAAGGGTTAAGAAGACTTTATGTTGACGAGAGAGGAAACAAATCCTTATTCGAAATAAACATTTTAACTCTCAACGCAATTGTTCTTATTTTAGTTTTTCTTTTCAGGGTGCCCGATTGAAGATGGTTTTGTTCCTTTTGACAGTAAGGAATTCAATTTCACAAGCTACTTGAGTAATGCCCGAGAAAGATTCACTGGACGGCTCTGGCTCTACAATGAACTGGAAACAAACTTGATGAAACAAGATACCGACCGTGGGGTTATAGTTATTGGTGAGCCAGGCGCAGGTAAATCTGCACTGACTGCCCATCTGATCTGTTCTCGCTCATCTAATCCTTTTATTCACAAAAGAATCATTGGTTACCATTTATGTAAGCACGCAGACAAAGCCACTCAGGACCCTGGTCGATTTGTTCGCAATTTAGTCGACTTGATGGCCAGAAGAGTTCCAGAATATGGAATGTTGATCTCCAATAGCTCACTCATCCTTTCAGTTCTAGAAGGAAGTTGTGTAAGAGATCCGTTTGAATGCTTTGAACAGGCTCTAATGGCGCCACTTTTGCAATTAAAAGGTGAACCTCAATTCTATTTTATTGTCATAGATGCCTTAGACGAATGCTCGTCAGACAACGGAGGGACCTCAATAGTTCAGTTTATAAGAGAAACGTCCAGTAAGCTTCCAAAATGGATAAAGCTGGTAATGACTTCTCGTAATGACTCAAATGTCCTAAGACATTTCAGTCATGTCCCCAAAGTGTATATGTCCTCCACAGATGCTCGAAACTTACAAGACATCGAGATATTTATTACCACTAAACTATTCGAAGAGGCGCCGATTCTCCACAGGCTGAAAGCAGCATTAGGATTCAGTAGTGGTGAAGAGATTTCTTTTCTGACGAGGAAGTTATTGAGTCAGAGCCAGGGGAATTTCCTTTTCGTGAAAGAAATGTTCCATTTTTGGGAAGACGAGCTCAGCAATGACGCAGACTTGAAGCAGCTCCCAAAAACGATTGGTGGGATATATGAGAATTACCTGAAAAGGGTTTATGGTTCCCGAGAAAAGTTTAAATCCGCTTTGGCTATTCTGGAGATCATGGTGGCTGCATTTGAACCAATGCAGGTTGATCGTGTATTCCAGGTTTTAAGAATGCAGCAGAACATCGACTACGAATATGACTTTGTCTACGCGTTAAAAGATCTTTCACATTTTATCAGATATGAAGAAGACAACACCATCACTATTTTCCACCTTTCCTTTACGGAGTGGCTCACAAGCAGTGAAAATATTGGCAACCCATACTATGTTAGTCGGAAACACGGTCACGGAAGATTGGCCAAGTACTATTTAAGTGTTGTCAAAAAAAACCAGAACTCAATGGACATTTACCATTTAGCACATCACATAAGTTTTTGGGAGGGCGACGAGAATTTCCTCGAGGAGTTTGGAAATATTAATGCCTCTTACATAAATGCCTCCATCAACAGTGATAACAAAACCCTTCTTCACCTTGCCGCAGAAGATGGCAATTTAAAACTTCTTCAGCTACTTGCTCCTGCGTTTGAGAGTGTTGACTGTGAGGACAATTATGGTTTTACTCCATGCTTCCTCGCTGCTAAAAAAGGTCTCAAAGAAAACGTTGAATTTCTCATTAGCAGAGGAGCTAATACTGACCACCGAACTAAGCCACCACCTCCCATACGATTTGTAAGGGAAATTTCTCCTTTAATGTTTGACGTAGATCCCCTTGAACGAGCTAAAACAGCTTTCTGGAACTCCACCATGATGCATGCAGCCGCATCAGGAGGTCATACCGCCGTGATACGAGCTCTTCTCAAAAGGAATGCTTCGTTTCACGATGTGAACGGTGCTAACCTGACGGCCATCCAGCTGGCGGCACAAAATGGACACTTAGATGTTGTCCAAATTTTGTATTCTAAGGGGGCTGATGCAGACCATCTTTCTCTTCAACTTGCCGCTCACGGCGGTCACCCGCATGTCATAAAGTTTCTCTTGAAGACTGGTTTGATGGATACCTGCTTGCGATGTGATGGCTCATTTTATTGGCTCGGAAACAAAGTAAGATACCAAGCGGCCTCTTGGTATAACTCTACTGGTCTGCATAGGTACATTTTATCTCACGACAATTACAGAATTGAATGCCAAAGTGCACTTCATTTGGCAGTCGCAGGAAAACACACAGAGGTAACTAAACTGCTATTGTCCATGAAATACACGGCAATCCACTGCAAAGATTTCACTGGTCGAACCCCACTTCATGAAGCAGTGAGGCAAAATGATTTGGAAATAGCAAAGCTTCTCATAAGAAGTGGTGCCCGAATTTCTCAAAAATGCACGAAATTCCAAAATTTATCTTCCTCTCGTAGCTCCGAAGAGAAAGGTGGTGGAGAACGAATAGTGTTTCTCAATAAAAGAGAACAAGCAGAGTACTATAAAGATCTGTGCCACTGTGGTACGACACCATTTCTTCTTGCTGCAAGATATGGTGCAATTGAGGTGGCATCTCTACTCTTGCGCTATGGCGCAAGGCCTGACGATGAGGATTGCCAAGGGGCCATGCCACTTCATATTGCTGCGTGTCATGGCCATTACGATTTTATTGAATGGCTTCTTTCTCAAAGACCTTCTATTCATATTAACATAAAAAGTAAAAACCTCTCAACACCGCTTCACAGTGGCGCCATTTGCAATATCAACAAGGACATCAAACCGTTACTAGACATGGGCGCTAGCATTTATGAAATTGATGAAAACGGAATGACACCAATGCACTACGCTGTGGTCGACAATTTTGAAAAGTATTCAAATTTGATTTTTGAATTTGAGGAACTCAGCAGTTCATCATTTATCACAGTTTGGGGCCCAGAAGGTGACATTACGGTAACGCATGATTCTTACGTTTCTAGGGCTGTACCGTTGAGCTTTCAGTGTCTAAAGCTGATCGAAATCATTAAATCATCAGGTGCCTCATATATAAATGAAATGGATACAAGTGGAAAAACAGCACTACATCTCGCGGCACGAACAGGGGAGGAGTGTTGTGTCCTACAGCTTCTGAAAAATGGGGCCAGAACAGATTTAAATGACAAACAAGGGAAAATCCCTCTTGACTTTGCCATGGAATTTGCGACTAAATTGTTTTATCCCAGAATGGCGAACCGCAGTGATGAAAAGATAAATTTTGACCTGATTCTAGCCTTGAACAGAAGGTATCATAATTCAGTAGCTGATATCTTGCTCTCTAGAGAGTACAACCTGTCCCAGGCGTGCAAAGGAAATAGAACTGATCTGTTGCATCGTGCGTTTGAGAAGCAACAGCCAATCATTGCTTACCTATTACTATCAAAGGGCCATAGCCTTAGCTGTAAAGATGCACAAGGTCGATCCCCACTGTTAATTTATTTGCAGAATGGTGGCGAATGGCTGGACGTTGTTTTAAGGCGATTTGATGTACCTATTCATATCGAATGTGGGAAGCCTTTTAACCAGTCGGAATTGCATATGCTAGCGTTTAGAAAGCCGACTGTGGCTACTGACAACCTTCTTGAGTACCGTACCTATGATGATTTATATTACTTTGAAGAGGATGGACCCCTTTTGAAAGCAATTCAGGCTCATCCGTCAAAATTCCGCGTCGTGGACGAGTGTCGTGACGCTGAAGGATACACAGCATTACATAGGGCTGCTCAAGGAGGCAACCTATTTTTCATTAAGAGGTTTCTTTCCTGGGGAGCCGATCCGAAAATACTAACTTCTCAAGGGCACAGCTCTTTAGAACTTTCCATCATGTATGGAGGGATAAGCCATTATCTATCAAGTCCACCCATACACACTGCGGAGAGAGCTGTAGATCTTTTGTTTAAAGCCACAAAACGTTCTTCACGTTTTGATGTTGGATGTAATAGAGCTCAGGAAAAACTCACAATATATCACTTGGCAGCTTACAGAGGTCTGATTGGCTTTGTCAAAACTCTTTTAAATGATCGAAGCATTAATGGCATTGATGTTAATTGTTCAAATGTGCATGGCATAACACCTTTGTACCTTGCCAAACTGTACTCTGGGACAGAGGAGCCTTCTGAAGGCAAAAGGGATCGATGGCAGGAAGTCGTTGATTTTATCACGAAATCGGGTGGCATCCTTACCTTTCCTAATCGAGAAGTGGAACTTAGCCTAATTTATAGACATCTCTATGGAAGCCATCCCCATTCATTCACTTTGGATGGCTTTGAAAAAGGTTGCGAGCAATTCTATAACAGCGATTTTAGCACATGCAGCGAAGATGAGTTGAACTACCATCGTACTGGTGATCCAATAAACCCGCACATGAAAAATGTTATGAAGGAGCTACTGCGGATAACGAATCCTTCAACTACTAGAGACAGAAATGTTCAACTGGTCCCTACGGATCGAGACGTAGTACGGGAAACTCTGAATAATCTAATTGTTAGGTCAAAAGCTTTGAATGATTTATCCAATTTGTTTCAAGACGTCATGGAGGGGCACCGTCGTACGAACCAAGCAATCAGACAAAGAATGTTATCCACAAACGAATCAGCAGTTCTCTTAATAAAGTTTCCAAAGCTCACTGAACAACCTGATATTATAAGGAATCTGCAGCTCAACAAGAAAGAACTAGCTTACCTAGATCAATTACTTCGTTATATGCGCTCCAGATATGAGTCAGAAAAATCGATCACATCCCACGAGATGGTACACCTGAAGAATATTGCCCACAGGTATAGTGAGTTCTTTGGAGATGTAACGAAGCTTGTAAAACTCATAGAAAAACACGAAGAAAGTGAAACATGCCGAAATGAGATTTTCCAAGCGAAAATGATATCATTTAAGTTTCGCTTGTTTGTTTTAAATTCCAATATCGATGACCTTATAACACTAAAACGAAGTCGCCTCGAAAAAGGTGAATTTCTCTCTAAAAGAGTCCCATCCCAGTGGATAAATGCAGAGTACACAAACGGCTGGGCTCCAGCTGTAAAATTTCTCTACAGACAGGCAACTCAAGGATATTTGGGTTTTGACTATCTAAGAAACCTTACAGTGGGATATGACAAGGACACACGGATTCCACTGAGCGTGGACGCCTTGTATTTACTTTCACTGCAACATCGGACTGGGGGCTTCGTCTGACTGTAATGGTTCAAATAATTACTGGAAGTTGTGATAAGTCACGAGTTATTCAAATAAGATTAACTGAATTTTATTTGGTGATAGATGAACTTATAAGAATGTAAATTAATCATGGTCTTTACCTTGAAAACACATCATCATTGTAATCGTGAGGTGATAAAATATTTACTTAGCTTGACCTTCATCTTTGTAAAACTAGTTTTATACAAAAAATGACAGCCATACAAATCAATCCTATTTGCGAGATGTAAATTCGCGAGTGTAAGGATAAACTTTTGACCCCAAGTACATATGATTGCAGTTTATATGTAATCGCTCGTTGAGAAAAATGATTGCATAAATTAGGCTTGATTGTTGTCAGAGATGTCAATCTTTCCTGTAGTACGCTTTCTTTATGCTTTCGTGCGAACATCTAAATTTATTCCAGTGCATCATTTTCGGCTAGTTTTTGTTTCAACTTGCTATTAGGTTACTGCTCAGATAAGAAATGAATGAAGTGAAATATACTTTTTTTGGACAAGCTATTGTGAGCCTAATGAAGATTGCTGGCCTTGATCGCTTGAATCATGGATTACCTCATGCCTATCAACAGTCACATTTAAAAAAAATAAAATGCCCTTCCAATCCAAGGTTAATGTGGCGGGAAATTGTGCACCTTTTGTGGTGTTCCTTGTAGCTGGCAATTGACATTAAAAAAAAAAAGTCCAGTGTTTCCGATTACAGTTAAGATACTTTTATGTCAATTACATTTTATCATAAATAGAAAAGACAATGCCATCACCATTTTCCACTACTCTTTTGAGGAATGGCAGCGCAACCATTGGAAGCCCGTACGGTCACAGACGACTGACGGAGTACTTCCTCGGTGTAATAAAAATGTCTCTGCGTTGGATTTGTAGATGATGACAAAAACTTATTCGAGAATTATTTGATTGTTTCAGCTTGACCTTGTTACAGTGACATAGAATTTTTAATGGACTAGATTAGGCTACAAGACCACTAACAACGCCGAACGATTCCTCGAAACTCTTACTCGTTACTGGCCCACGACCCATGCGCAAGAACAGGTCGATTCTATAGTCGCTCCGTTAAGGTAACAAACTGTTTATATTGGTGTAAATTTCGAATATCTGATTGAAACGAAATACAAATTTCCAAATCACCAATGAATGGTGTTTATCAGAAAATAACGGAATCTAAATCGATAGAAGGAAAATAAAACTCGACACACAATTTTGTCTATAAGCCTTGTAATATCAACTCTCATTTCTGCTAGAATATTTTACATTATTCACGCAGAACTTTAAGGTTCCGTCAACGGAGGGTCTTGACATGTAATTTCCTTCTAATGCGAGAAATCTACTGGAAAGATTCCTCTCTATGCAATGCAGCCACACTCTGTTTCACTATCTTCGAGAAACCACTGCAAAATAGAAAAAAAGCAGGTGATATTAAGGTTACTGTCAACAAAATGCTCAAATTTCGTTTTGCTCATTTTGTTTACATCCCGTCTTGCACTGCACAACAAAAGGGAACTTCTGACACATTTCGCAAAACGTTGATAGATAGGCGAGCGCCAAAGAAATCGAAGTTGATTTCTTCTTTTTCCCTAGCTTGCTTTGCCTACTTTTCCTTCTGATTTTCCCCGATGAATTTTCGATTTCATGTAAGTCGCGTTCCCCGTTTCCCACGAATTTCAAAGAAGTTCTTTGTCACGAGACTTGCCATAAAGGGTAGAGGGGAGAGAGTGCGATATTGCGTTTTATTTTTTGTTCTACAAGGATTTACGGCCCTGAGAAAAGCCGTAACAACACATGTTAAAAAATATCGTATTTTTTCACGTGTTGATTTAGCCAATCAGCTGCTTACACGTCACTCGCCTTTGGCGCCACTCGGTCAGGTTGATGAATGAACGGCGAAGCCTTCACGATTCTCAATACAAGTTGTTTGTCGGAGCTTTCTCGAATCATGGCGGCTAAAACACTAAAAAATCCGTATAGCTGGCTGACAATGAGGTTCAAACTTTCCTAGAAAGGGAAGAAAACCAATATACTAAAAGAAAAACCGAAAGTTTCGTATTCAGTGGCTTTGGTGTTAGCATTTCTCTCGTCTGAGAATGAAAATCGACAACTGGAAGATTTGCCACTAGCCGATTTTGGCCGTTTACCTGAAAGACTGCTTCTGTTGGTAAGGACAAAGTCAATAAATGAGAATTTTGTAAATTGAAAATTACAACCATTGTTTGTAATCATGATTCAAGGCATTTTTCCATCTTAAGAGTCAGCGCCGACGCACTCTACGATTGTTATTCGAGGATTGTCGATTAATTAATTTTCATTCATTACTGAAGTCGCCTTTTCTTCCCAGTAAAGGACTATTGTTTATATGATAAACAAAATAATACACAGTTGCTTGTAGATGTCGAATTTCTCTTCTCGTGATCAACTCGACATCTCCGAGTTAAACACTCGAAGAGAAATTCCATATCTACGCGCGCCCATGTATTATTTATTGGCCGGTGGCATGATCGCATCGACACGCGCTTAAATGAGGTGCAAAAACTGAATTTCTTTGAAGGCCAAAAACTCGACGTTTCGTCTTTGCGCGAGTTACCTCCGCTTAAACAAATTAATAGGGTATGTAGATTTGTTAAATTTTCATGAAAATTGGTCAGAATGTTTGTCAGATGTTAACGCACCAAAGTGTGTGAGGCTTTATGGAAATTCGAAATATTTCTCTCGTAACGTCCCGGAGAGTGACAACAACCGAAATATTATGTTTTGTCCAACTTCAAAATAAATTAAAAAGGGCTCTCACACTTTGTTAGCCTATTATCTGCTGCGTGATATTGTCCAGTTTGTTTCGAGGTTCTCGGTAAAGTGGTAATTCAGTAAAGCAAACACCGTCAGTGTTGTGTTAAAACGCTCGCGCGCGCTTACAAAATCTGAAAAAAAAAACCCATTAAAAACCACTATTATTCCCATAATCTATACTTTATAAGCTTTACAGTGATGTGCAATTTTCCGTGGTTTCTTTAAATGTAGCGCGCGTAGGAAGATTTTTCCGGAAAGCATACTATTTTGTTGACAGTAAGCTTGAGTGCTTACGCAGGTCATACGCTGTGTATTAAGGTCACACGCTTCTGTCTAATGTAGTGCGGTAACTAAATGAGAGGAAGTGCCTCGTGTATCTCTGAAGGGCAAAGGGAGACACAGCGTCGGTAAATATTGGGTTCAGCATTCTTTTACCCTAGGTTACGTTGATACTTTACTTTTCATCCTTGTATATCCTGAAGTAGTAGTCTACAAAGTCGCTCCTCCCAAGATTTTCTACAAATTCTTCATCATGAGTGATGATTACAAGTTGAAAGTTTCTCTGCAGATGTCTGGTTCTGATGACGCTGAAACAATTTAATGAGATACAGGTAACGATATGAGTAAGACTGGCTCAATGACTCTCCTTAACATTTAGCCCATAAGAGTGACAGAAATCTAATTTCTCCCAACAGCGTCACTTCTGAATGCAACATTATGTTCATGAGAACTAAAGAAGTGATTGTTACCTAAAGAAGCTATTGATTTACAGTTCTCATGATACTGACAAGGACAGTTCTTTTTTTGAAAGGGAACCCACATCACAAAATTTGGGTCCTGTAGAATCTTATGACATGATTGAAATTAAAAACACACACCCACAAACTGAGATGACTCGAGAACTGTCTATAGACAATTGCGGGTGGCTGATCAAAACTTTTAAGTTAAAACAAATCTATCAACAATGAAGCGATAAAAATCGTGCAAAAGATCGAAACACTAGACTATTAACAGCATCGTAAAATGAACAGTTTTGTAAAGAGAAACTCACGCTGCCAATTGGTTAGCAAGACTCTCTATGTTATCTTCATCCAAATTTGTAGTCGGCTCGTCGAGAGTTAAAATACCGCAGTTCAGACAGAATGTTTCTGCTAGAGCTAATCTGATTATCAACGATGCCAGAACCTGTGAAAGCAAAATAGCAGCGGACGAAAATCTAAGAGAGGGTTTGTAAAAAGGTAAAAAACCAAATTCAAAGAAATTTTTCCCAACGGTCTCCGGTTAAATATACTGTACCAGCAAAACACAATCCTATATCCTTCAGAAAGTCAAAGGTCACTTCTCATTCGTCGTACACTATTACGATTTCGAAGTTCAAGGGAGGAGTAGAAAAGAGAGAGAACAAAAGCATTTCAAGGTGACAGAGAGCATCAAAACTTTACTGAATTGGGTGGCTTGCCATTACGTCAATTCTCCAATGCAGCTAAATCGACAGTGTACCAGAAAAAAAAATTTAGAAAATATGACACAGGCACACTTCAGGTATAAAGAAAACAGAAAAAAAGGTTCCAATGCAATCGTTCGATGGACGATTGCCGCCAGTTGCCGCCGAGATTGAAAGTTCAACGTGTTAAGGATTTCACTTCCATAAAAAAGTATACGAAGCTGATGTTTCGTGGGGTCTTGAGCATCCGATTCAAGCCTGCAATGCTCAGATACTGCGCCCGTCAAAAGCAATAAGCGAACAGACAAACCTTTTGTCCAGCGCTACAGCGTCCTCTCATGTCCAGTGCTGTGTCTCCTTTAATCATAACTACCTGATAAAAAAGTAAAAAACAAAGATTTATTTAACTCCGAGGGACCACAAAGCTGAATTGTGTCTGCACTCCTCACGTTCTCGCTTGTGAATCCTTACCAACAACATAAATCGTTAGAAATATCCACCAACCACCAGAAGTTACCAAAAAATACAACATCTCTGGCAATTTCAATACATTATCCAGCTAAAAAATTATTAGAATTGGCCATCTTATCAGCTTAGGGTTGTTATTTTACATAAGACTCCTAAATAATTGGGTAGAACTTTGAAGCCTAAGGGGATAAATACTAGTCAGAATCTTCGTAGTCCGCTGATAAAATGACGAGACTGTTTCACATAAAATGATGAAGAGGAGGACTCTTCTTCTCGAAAAAACTAATTTACCAAGATTACCTAGGGTAAGGTGAAAAGAAAACAAAGCTTTTTACCCTGTAGTTATACGTCCGTCGTGCTTTAATCGCTCCACTTACTTCTTCCTCGTCTGCACGAATTTCAATTGTATCGATATCTACAGAAAAACGATTAGAGGAGATTTTTGACCGAACTATAAATTACAGTGACAGCTGTATTAGGTCTATCGAGTCTGCATTGACAAAATTGTCACCACTGTAACGTTTACACTGTAACAAGCTCCTTCTATAGTTCAATCAATTGGACTGGAACGGGTAAACAGAAAACGACCTTTTCGTCTGAATACTTGGTCCAGCAAAATTACAAAAGAATATTCTCAAAATGACAGACGAGTGATATGATGTGAGATACGGCCATTACCACATATGATATACGAAATATATCATGTTTGAATGGCCTATCGATGAGAAGCCAGGGTTTCAATTTTTTCCCCATAAGCCGGCTGCCGATGATGTAATAGGGAAACAGGGGCTGTAAGGCGAAACCCAAACACAGAGCCTGCTTGCAGGCTGAACAGACGGCGGTAAGAGGTCTTATGGGCAGCAGTAGACCACCCGTAACCGGCTTTTAATGAAATTAGCGCAGAAGCGAATTGAGAGCATGTCTAAGAGACTCGCTTATCTGACCTGTAAACTCTCTTAAAGACCTTCCATATGGGAAAACAGGAAAATAGCAGGCTTAACAGACTGGACTCGAGTTATGTGTTCTTACCATTCCCCTTGTATGTGTTGATCCAATACTCTTTGATAATTTTGTTGATCTCAGCCATTTTAATTCCGTGATATCGCATAATGGCCCTAGAATACACCAGTCGTTAAAAACTGAATGTTACTGTTGAGTTAAGAAATGTGACCTGCGCTACGTGAGTGCGCATGACATTTGTCCTGATTGGGAGAATGCAAAGCAAATAAGTCGATGGCATTGAAAACATCTAAAGGAACACACTCCCACAGCGTAAATGAACAATCTTGTTCTGAGTGCGTCGTCGCTATTGACTGATGAAACAACTGAGACCAAAGAACAACAACAATAACAACAAAAGCCCAGAAAAACATAATGCTTGAGTATAACTCGTATTTGCTAGAATTAAATTAAAATGAACATCTTAAATAACAACAAACTTTCAATTAAAAATCAATAAACTAAAAAGAAAAAGTAGTAAGAACTAGATGACGAGACTAGAACCAATGTCCCAGAAAAAAGGGCTGCCTAATTAGTTAACCACACTAATGAAGAAGATCGCCAACCTGTCAAGAGCCTTGTAGTACTTTCCAAGGTCATCATTTGCCATTTCAGTGGTCTGCAAAGTAGTAACAACGGTTAAAAGCTTTGCAAAGCTACCCAACCAGACATACGGGGCTTAAAACCACGTGTCACAAAATTAAGCGATTACGTTCACTTTCAGTTGGAGGAAATTGGAGGAACTCAATCTGCCAAATACTTTGAAATCATGCATTCTGCGCACGCACAGCCCAACATGGTTTTAAGTTTTTAAACGTCTCTCACATGTTAGAAAGGGACGTTTGACTTTAGGTGCGCGGACGAACGCGTTAACGAAGCATTGTATATGGTTATCCGCCATGGCAAGAGAAAATAGGCCTCTAAAAACAAAAATTCCAAGGACTAAATTATACGTAAGCTACAATTAGCGTTGAGAATTTCAAATGAAAATGTGCAAAGAATCGAAAATTGAATCATCTCACTTGTTCCCTACGTGCTAAGTACAAAAGACGTTGGGAGAAAAAGTACCACCTGCGCACTGACCATTTGAAGACTATTATACCTATTGAGGTGGGCGAATCACTAGTTATTGCCTGTATCACTCACCTTCATAGCGATGACTTTTTGTCTGTGTTTCTCCTCAGCATTTTTAAACAAGTCACTGTGCAACTCCTTTTGGCACCGCCTCAGGTCATCCTCGTAACCTGTAAGTCGCCCTTCGTGGTGCGCTTTCTGAAAACAGGTCAAGTATGTCATAAGAAAATTGATCAGAAAACTTCTGTAAATATGAATATTAAAATGAATATCTCCCCAATTTTCTTTAAACAGCGCTGTCGATTTCTTTTTCAATTGCTTCCATCGAGAAAAGCTATCGGCATCAACACCAGGATTCTTCCTTGCCTTTGTTTTCCATGCCAGGTGTTGGGAACTGCCAGTTTCGATATAAGCATTGATATTTACAAAGAAAATTATTAAGGATTTAAAACATATTGTAGTCTAGCAAGTTCCCCTTAACTACTTTCCCTGGAGGGACATTATATACAACGAACGCTTTTTCTTTGCTTTGCAACTGTCAACGAAAGCTTGCTAAAACAAATGTCTGTGATAAGAGGCACGAGAAAAATTAACCGTTTAAGTATACATTTCATTTGCACAGCCATTACTGTCATCAGCCCTTTGAGATAAGATCTATTCTGGATGATAAGTTAAAATCTCCTCGATAAACCGATACTTTCCCTGTGGTTTATACAATGTAATGCGCGCAGTTACCTCTTTCCTTAGATCGTCAGATCGCTGTTGCAATTCTTGCCTCTCACTAAAATGAAAAGAAGCCGTAGTTTTTTTAGAATCAATCATTTTATAGAAAAGTGCAAACCAGTTCCATTCATTCAAACTTTCACATGTCTCGAGACGGCCCAGAGAGATTGAAAATTTAGATGTACATGCTCAAGACAGTGTCACGGTGAATCATTCTCAAAATGTCTCCAGAACCATTTTTGTGCTTCTGAGCTGAATACATTCCCCTTGTCGTTTGTTTCTTCCTGTTAATAAAATTGACAGTTTTCCCTACGTCGATCTACCCAAAGATCGTTCATGGAAAGAAAGATAATCTCAGCCTGTCTTCAGCGTGGAAACCACGGAGTACTCCACGCAATTGGAAAGTGATGGCAAGCTTTTCAATTGTGTCTTGGGAGATGGGCACGCACAGAAAGAAAAACTTGATATTCCATGTGACTCCTCACGTAACTCCCTTTTTGGAACACTGAAGCAATCGAGAGTTTATTTGACTCCTAAAAGAACCGAAAACCTAGCATAACTGAAAGAAAAAACCTAAAGGGACTTTAGGCAGCTTTTCCTTGTCTCTTACCTAGCAAGGTCCTGGTGGTCGCCAAACTTACGCAGTTCTTTGTAAACATCTGCCATTTTCTTGTCGATATTTTGAATTTCTTCCTGGGTACTCTTCAACTGAATGTTGTCCTCAAGTTCACGGGCCCGTATCTGTCAACAAAGTTTAAAACATCTCGTAGTTTTGAATCTGGACTATCTCCTTTAGTGACTTGGGGAATTTGGTACAAGAATCACTTCTCCGCAGAGTACAAACTGTTGTTTTAGTTATTACATTCATTAGCTTAGCCATATTTTATCGAAAAAAGAGAAATCTGAAAAGGATATGGGTAACGAATGAACAAATTGTTTGAAGTTCATCATAAATAAAAAAGTTATTTATGATTTACAGGCTATCAATCATTGATTATTCGAATACCCTCTGCATTTTTTATACTAATGTTCTCTACCAGGCACGCAATGCAATCAATCTGCCACTTTTTAAGAGAGAGTGTGGAAACAACTACGCATGACGCTCTCGTGCATGAGCTGTCGATAATTTGTAGGCAGCTATTTTCAAGCTAACTCGCACGGCGGGCTCCTAATAGGCAATTGGAAAAGGAAAAAACATTCCATCGAATCATATTTATATTTTTGAAGACAAAAATTTTAAAGGCTAACCTGTTGCTTGGAAATGTCGTTCTTCAGTTTATCGATTTCAGAAGACACAGCTTCTTTCTCCGATTTCAGTTTGTCTGCTCTACCTTCCACTTCTCGTAAACGAGCCTCGTTTTCCTGTAAGGCCGTTGTGCCTCCATCGCTCACGTACCTTAAAAAAAAAACCCTGAATTAACAATTCACCGCATAAAGTTAGAGTTTAGACATTCAATGAAGATTCAGATAACGTCTCTCTAATAGTAATAGAGGTTGGTACATCAATACCATTCGCTGGTAAAATGCTCTTTCCCGTTTGGGGTGAGAATGATTGTACCACCCCTCCCCCTCCCCCGCACACACACACACACACACACACACCCAACTACTCACCCATTCGATGTACGTAAAGCAGGTGGTAACCTTCTCATAAGTAAGGATCGGATTAAGTTTACATAACATCTTAAGAATATAACTAAACAATAACATTTGAAATAAAAGGAAACCTAAAGATAATTCGTGATTGTTTAAAAAGTCAACGTGGTTCAGAATTAAAGTTAATTGCATGAGTCCATGCAAAAACTCTGTCATTGACGATGTTGCTTCCATTGCTGAAGTTGTTAAGAAAAGCAATGAGGCAGCAGGTTTCTTGTGCTAGTACAAGGCAAATATTAAACATGTCACTTCTGACGGCTCCTTTGAGAGCTAATAAATTGCACGCCGGCAGTTTTACTGTGGTAGTTAAACTCCAACTATAATACTTTGAGGTATAACCGATACTAATATTTTTAGGACACGATTTCTTCGAGGTTTGACCACTAAGTTTGTTGAGTTGTCCATAAATTTTTGAGCAATAATAAATAATAAACGTGCCAAGTTATTTAAAAAGACAAGAACCGGAAATTGACTTTTTACGTAATTTTTTCAAATTCAATTTATGCAATACACATTGTTCTTTTAGCTGTTATTTCAAGGGAAATCCAGTATTGAGTTAAAAAAAAGAATAATATGCATCTGCATGTGATTTATCTGCACTCAGAGAAAGCTTTCAAACAAAATTTAAAATTTTGCGGTTCATTTTAGCTTCAATATCATTACTTCAAACTGGCGACAACATGTCACACTGCTTTCAATTAAGATAACAAAGACCACAGAGATAAATATTCCTTCACAAAAGAAGAAAAAATTGGATCGAAGTGAACCCTTCTGAAATAATAAGAGTCGGTTTGATTGACGGTGGATGAGAACGTAATTGCTGAAAAACAAAACGACAAGGGATATTGCTCTACCATCTGTATTTACCATTGACACAAAGAAAAATTAATATCCCCGTTGGGCCCATTAAAAAGAAAAAAAAAACAAATAAAACTCAATTAAGGTGCTTAAACAAAAGAATAGAAACGATTGCATGGAAAACGACTTAACATATGCTAAAACGGCTTGCACTGTAAATGCTGATGGTAAACGATTGTTAAACTTGAGCGCACGGATGCAACATGCAGCACAACGAGAACTCGACGTTCGACTCGTTCACAGATCTCATCAACACGACAACACGTCCGTCGGAAGGGAGGTACGTCTTGGACCACTGGGCTTTTAAGTTTTTCTCTTATTTCTTTGGCATTGCTTTTGGTATTTTTTCGCTTTGCTGCCTTGTTTTCATCGTTCGACAATGTAAGCAGCCATCAAGCAGTCGGAGCATCCACAGTCGCTTTACAACTGTTCAACTGTTTGTGGCAGCGGCTTTGAAAGAAGTCGCGCTATTTTGGTCCCCTCTGCTGTTAGACGGTGAAGCAACTGAAATAGTATTAATAACACTACTTGTAGATTGTGTCTCGGTGGCGCTGATTCTGACTGCTTTTAGCATTCTTCTCCTCATATTGCTGGAATCAACCAAAATATCATTAGCTCCACCGAGGCTCCAAAATATTTGGGTGTTGCTCGGATTTACAGTGGTTCCGACCGTAATTATGCTCACATTCAACCTGTTGGTGCTGTACGTCAGAGAAGTTTGGTACCTCGTATCCTATGTGACAATTCTTGGCTGGGGAATATTCATCTGCGTTGGTTACCTAATAGCAGGACGCAGGATGTGGCGAAACCTGAAGTCATCGCGACAGCTCGGAACATCTTCGGGAGATCGAAAGCTCAGAAACATAACCTTCCTTGTATTCGTAGCACCGTGGATCACTGCAGTATTTCTAATTCTCGACGTCTGCCTCGCTGCCAGCTTTTACGAAATGTCATCAGTGGCGGTCACCGAAAAGGAAATCTGGGAGAGATATACGATAGCATTTTTGCTCCAGAGCTGCGAGTTTACAATTGTGCTTCTGATATTCGGAGTTGTCGTAAGAACTAAGTCTGGAAAAGGTTCAGTTGATAATGCTCCAACAGTACAGTTAGGAACATTTTTTGATGAAGAGCCAAAGACAGAGAACTAAGAAGATGACAACGAATATGGAAGTAAAATCATCACAGCAAAGTAAGACATGGGATTCCTGTGGGACGTTCTTTCTTTCCCACACAAGTAACTTTAGTTGCGAAAAAAGAATTCAACTATAATAGCAATTAGATAGCAAAACAACAATACAATGCGAGTCGATTGAAAATTTAAAAAATTCTTCAAAAGAGGGAGCTACTACAAAGCCAGCGTGACGGGCACTCAGTGACGTAAATCTAGAGCGCGAGTTTGTAGGGACGTTGTGGGAAGAGGAAAAACGCACCTCTTTCGAGCGCGCGTGCCAAGGAACTAACGCTTCTTTTACTCGAGCGGTTGCTACACAGAATGTTAACGAGGTCGAGCCTTTCAACTTGAGGACACAACTAAGATAATCCTCAACTGAAATTATAATAACTTTTCCTGCTAAATTTTACCTTTCAGTGTTACCTAATAGTTAATATATAATCCTTCAAACGTAATTTTTTATATAGCGATAGACTCTTTCTCAGAGAGCCGCGTTCAATTTACGTGGTGATTTCATTCGCAAACTTTACAATTCGGCGCACTGTCTATTTAACATGATAAGGTTTTTCAATCAATATTTACCAAGGACAAAGGTACAAGGGATTATGTCCTCGCTTGTGAAAAGCCGATTTTATCCCGTAGTCGGTAGCGACAAAACCCTTTTCAGGTTGGCCCTTATCCAATCGAGGAAGACAATGGTAAGGAATATGAACTTAAAATAAAAATTACATCATGAATGGTCTTATTATGGAGTTCAACAATCAATAACCACTTCGTGAATATTCATTAAATAAAGAAAATATTTTTCTCGTCTCAGTTCTTTGAGAATGACCAAGGAAAGATAATGTTAAAAGGTCAATGTTAGTAAAAAAAAATTGATATTGATTGGCAGTTTTTGCCATGAAATATTCCAAGCACGCGATTTTGATGAAAAGATGTCACCTCCTTAATTTCAGTCAGGAAACATAACTATAAAGCAGAGATTCAGCAATTGTAAAGCACACCAGATAAGTAAGGCTAATGCAATAACCTTCCAAAAAGATGTTCTGAATTCTCTTTTCAAAGTCTCCTTCGCCTGAAGTTAGAACGCACTTGTTATAAATTGGAATACCGACGATATAAATAAAGTCAATTTCGAATTCGCGTTAATCTAAAAATAAAACAAAAAAAGAACAAATAAACACAAACTACTCAACAAAAGCAATAACAATCCGAATGCGTGCATAATAATTAACGAATCTGCATTACACTGAATTTAGCTTTCATCATTCATTTTGAGCATCCTTGCATGACCATTAAGTGTAGAAAGTCATCGTTAACTTCTGAAGTAAAACCTGTCACAATACATGTTTGTATCTACTGACATTAAAGTTTGCCTTCAAAACGTCAATCTATTTTAGAAAAGGAACGCGCAATTGAACAAATTTGCATCAATTGTTCATGCGCAACTGCAAATAGCGATACGTTATTAAAAAACTATGGGTCTAAGTCGACGCACAATCGCAACGAAATGAAACAAAACCAAACCTGGACGCAAGAAACATCACATTTAGTTTCCACGCCGAGCCTTATGTCATCTACGAGCGTGGAGGAACTTTTAAATCACTGGGCATGGAAGTTTCATACTTATTTTTTTGCGGCATTGTATATCATTTTCGCAGTGACTTGTTTAATTGCTTTTGTTCGCCAAAGTTCAAGATCTGTTAACAAGAGCGTTTACCGGCGTTTTACGACAACGCAACTATTTGTGGCTGCCGTGGTAAAGGTTGCAGTTCTTCTGTGGTGCCCCTTCTTAGAAAGAGAAATTTCCAAGGCGCGCTATGTTACCGCACTGGTGTTGTTCAGCTTTTCAAAGGCCTTCAATCTATCGGCCTACAGCATACTTCTCCTGGTTTTACTCGAATCAACAAAGGTTTCAATCGCGTCGCCGCGCCTTCAAAATATTTGGGTGTTGCTAGGTTTCACAGCTGTCTTCACGGTAACCCTTGCTACGTTCAATTTGCTGGTACTGTTCGCAGATAAGGAGCTTTGGCGCTTTATCTCAGATCTGGTCCTCTCTACATGGGGAGGACTAATTTGCTTTAGTTACGCGGTGGCTGGGTATAGAATTTGGCGCAACCTAAGATCTTCGAGAGAAATGGACAACGGTCGAAGAAATAGAACGCTCAGGACCATAGTACTCCTGGCATTTATATCATCTGTGGTGACCGCGGTGTCTTTAACTCTGATAATCTGCGTGTCTGCGGGCGACTTCGGCGCAATAAGAGGATTGCAACTCAAGAAGGACTCTAATCGGGCCAGATTTGCTGTAACGTTCTTGATGAGAAGCTATGAGTTCGGTTTAGTGCTATTAATCTTCGTAACTGTTGTTAAGACGAAAACAGATCGGAGTCGGGTAGAGGACGCACCATCATTACCGATGGGAACATTTCTAAACAGCAGCACCAAAGGGTAAAATTTTCGTCCCCCCTTCCCACTCCCCCCTCCCCCTCCGCATAAATACCTCGGTTCTAAGCAACTGTACCTGCTGGGACATAACATGCTCACGAATCTGACGTCTAACCTTTTTATTTCAGCAGTTTTCTCCCGCACTTTGTCCCCTCTCGTTCGTATTTCTTGGAGCTGCAAACCAAGATATTAATAAATTTAATCTTACATAACGTTATATCTTTCGTGTTAAAGCAAGTGTTCTCTTTTGCAAGCTAGAAAGGTGACGAGCGTTGCTTCTTTAATTAGTTGTTTGTCCATTTGGTTGTCTTTACCGCTCTTTAGAAATTATAGTAGCTTAGACGACAACTCTTAGAGAATTTTTTATTTGATTGAGTAAAAACACCTCAAAGCGATTTCCCCCTCGCAACTGTATAAAATATCATCTGCTACACAAATGAAGTGGAAGGTGAGGAGGCATAATAATAATTAGATCGCTAACCTCCGGGTCGAGAGGTCAGGATTCGAGTCCATCCGCGTTCATTTTGTTGTGTTCTAAGGTAGGATACGTTCCCACAATACCTCTCTTCACCCAGGAGTATAAATGGGTACCACAGAACTGTCAGCCAAACCTGACGAAATTATGTGGGGTGGTGGGGTAGGTAAACTGTGGCGGGCTAGCATTCTATGAAATACTCCATGTCACTCCCAACCAACCCCTCCCCAAGACGCCGGGAAAGGTCCGGAAGCTGTGCGATTCATTCTCGTATGTGAACCTACACGTACCTTTTTTTTTCAAACAAACAGAAACTTGCTATTTACCTTCTTGCGATTTTCGTCATCTGAAGCCTCCTTCTGACCCACAACTCGTTGTTTTTCCTCCTGCAGTTCTTCAAGTTTTTCCTTAAAAAATACGCCAAAAACCTAAGCTTTTTTCTTTTTTGTTTAAACTCATTAAAATCATGCGAAAGAGCAGTGGATAAAACTCCACAGTAATAAAGCGATTCCACTCACCGCGATAGGGGCTAAATCTTCCTCGGCTTCCTGTGAAACGAAAGTAAAACAAGAAAAAAGGACTCAGTTTACCAAATTTCCTCACATTTCATTCTGCAACTGTCAAGTGAAAGCTAAAAGTGATAAAAGACGACACTGGTCTTGATTCATTCATTGTGCAATGTGATTGATCTAGAATACTCGCACCTCTCCCCCCCCGTCTCATTACTGAACACTAGCAAAATCAGAACAATTCGGAACTTAGTTATCGTCGTTCTCCAGCGCTTACATCGTTTAACAAGTACCTTCTAGAAGTTCTCTGCAGTTTCAAGTGATATTAACCTTTGCTCTGATTGAATGTTGCGATTAAATCAGTTTTGGATTTACGAACCTCAATAGAAAAGCGCTCCAAAGATCGATTGCCATTCTTATTACTACGATATTATAGTATTATCGCATTATTTCATAGGATTATATGTACTTGGGAGGATTAACTTTATGAGCAATGAACAGTTAGCGACTAACGCTTTCTTTGCCTTATCCCCACATAGGCGCATTTCTTAAATGTTTCTACTTACCTTAATTTCCCTTGCAAAGGCATTGTTGTTTGCGGTGAGTTCGGCTTTTTGTTGTTCTAAGTGAGTTCTCGTCTGCAACTGAGCTTTCAATCGAAGCTATGGAAATTCAGATGAAAGAAAAAGATAGAATAGATTAGATGAAGCAGACAGGCAGAAACACTTTTCGAGCAAAGTTACCTTTTGTGACTTGAGCTCGTGCACATTAGTCTCCAAGTCACTTAGCTGCCGCTGCAGTTGGCTCAACTGAGTTCTTTTACGATCAATGTGGTTATTGAGCGTGTCACTACGAAATAATAAGAGTAATAATAAAACGAGGTAACACTGTTGAGTGACATAAAATCAAGAACGACCGGAGTTAAAAGAATTCCTCTATTTCCAGGAGAACAAAAAAATCCAACAGAACAGTGGGAAAAATTCAATAGGAATTAACTGAAAAGCGGGCAGTTCTGAATCAAAACTAAAGGAATCGTCTTTATAAATCACTTTGGCTGATCAAATGTGAAATAAAATATTTTTGAGCGCAAAACTGCAGTAAGGGGAGACCTCAGATCTAATCTTAAACCAATGAGGAACCTTCATGAGCCATGGAAACAATTATTTTAAGATAGAATAGGAGAGATAGTAAATTCTGGGCTCGACAATAAACCCAAACGAAAAAAATTTCGAGAGGAATCGTGCCCAGACCTTCCCATTCTTCGCTCCAAACCGACACCATTAAGCTACAGAAAACTCCTAAGTGAACTAGTAGGTCATTACTTCAATCATATGAAACAAGCGTCTCAATGTACATATTGCTGGGATCAGCACAGTCGAAAGCAAATTGAAAGTTTTGTGATATTGGTACTCACGAGCGATCTTGTCTATCGGTGATTTCAATTGAAACTGACTGCATGGTTCTACCTGGCGCTAAAATAAGGAAAATAAAAAAATTAAATCAGTGAACAAATAATTACCAAAAAAAAACGCCAAACAAACGAAACAGCCTCCCCCCCCTAATTTTCCCAATTGACTTAGAGCGAATCGACTAGTTGCAAACGATTTTTAAGTTCTGACTAAAACAAATTCTTGTGATCCAATTGGAAACAAAAAAATCTTACCAACTCCACGGAGTTTAGACTGCAGCAAAGATATATTCTTGTCCATTTCCTTCAGCTCTGACTTGTATTTGTCCAACATACGAATGTCTGGTTCCATATCTCGAGCACTCTGCGCCTCGCTTTCGGTCAAACTCTGAACATCTTCAAGCTTAAGAGAGGAAGAGTCAACAGTTAGGTTTATGTCAGTTTGGATCACTGTACAAATGAATAACACAGGCTACGATGGGAAACAACTGTCTTACATAAAAAAAAGTAAGAACAACTTAAAATAAAAAACAGCAGTGCAAGGTAAAACATGAAGCCTTACATTGCGAGAAAAAAAAAGCTGATTTGAAAGCAAGACAGGTGCGTCAAAAATAACTTTCCCTGCAAAACTCAACATTTTTCGTTTTACCTCCGTTATCTTATCCTCAATTCTTTGTATCTCACTTGCAATCTCTTCCAGTTTAGATTTGGCCTCAGGAATTCGGTTGTTTTCCAGTTTTTCCAGCTAGAAAAATTGATAAACAGCAGGTTATGTCTATGGAGATGACCAGTAACTAGTTATTCGAGTTACATGCGATTTTCAAAGTTCTACAATCTATCTATCAGTTGACAGACTGTCTAATTGATGAACTGGCTGACTGACTGACCGACTTACTTACTGAAGGACTGTTGGACTGACGGCCTGATGGATTGACTGACGGACTGAGGGACCGACTGATTAGCTCACTGAGTGATTGAGGGACTAAGTGACAGTCTAACCAACCCATCGGCCGACCGACTGACTAGCTGAATGAGTGAGCGACAACGACCAACTAAATTGTCCGAATGATTCAAAAACTGTGTGCAAGGCACAACGTTGTTCATACTTACAGTTTCTTTTGCTGGGGCCAGCTCAATGACGCGATCATAACGTTTTTGCTCTTGGTCGAGCTCTCTTTCCATCGACACTCTTCTCTCGGGGAGAGTTCGAATCTTATTTCTCAACTACAAATTAGAAGAAGGACACAGTGAACCCCTGAACTAGGGAAATTTTCTGCAGTTTAAAAATGTGAAATTTGAACAAGATCACAAAAATGTTGACAGAAATATGTTTACTTTGTCCCTCGAAATTCACAAGCAATTCAACTATTTTAATAGCCTCTAAATCGCGCGAACGCTTGTTGGACGATTTTACCCACATGGGGCAAGTTTCTCAGAGTGCTTAGAGCGAGTTTTCATGAAAAAGTAATGAATAAGCAACATACAATTTCTCCTAGCTCGAAATCATCCTTCGTTTCCATGCTACCATTGCAGAACTGATGTTTATCAAAGATGAGTTTCTCTACTAAAGGCCTCCTGGTTTTCGCAAATATCCCCAGGAAAATTTATGAACTAAATACCTCTGAAACAAGAGCAGCAATCTGCCTGTCACTATCAAAGGTTCTATGACACAGAGGACAGCCACTTGAGTGGACATCTTCACTATCCAGTTTAGAAACATACTTGGAGTAGATTTTCTCCAATGAGCCGATGATACCTCGTTCACTATGAAATGCATCAAAAGCACACAAATAAAACTGTGAACATGTCACGTCTTTGAGTCTTGCAACCCATGAATATCATTGCATTTGCCATATTTAGTGATACGATAAGAATCTACAGTTTGCTATGCAAGCTAGGCGTAATCGCTTATGTTGCCCTTCGGTAACATTTCAAAGTAGCATAATAGTTTCCAGTGAAAATCAAATGCGACTTAAAATTCGCCGATCCACAGAATCACTATGGACAGAAAACATTTTGTAGCACAGCTAAATAAGGGAAGATGAGTGGTGATACACTGGTACACAATGTTACAAAACAAGGTAGCCTCCTACCTGATAACATCAATCACGCTTGAGTACTTACTCTTGTAGATTTGCAATTCTTTCCTTGATGGTTTCCCTTGCGTTGTTGTAATCATTTTCCCCACAGACCTCAGAAATTTGCTTTTTGTGCCACTGTGCTTCTTTCTCTTTGTCTTTTAGGTTTTCTCTGTTTAACAATAATTACGTCAAGACAAGTTTTAATCGTCTAACTGGACACGTTTTAATTTAGGCGTACCATGGAAGCACAGTGTATTTCTAAAACACCGAAACACTTTTGCGTCACGCACATTTTCTCAACCACATGATTATTCAGTTTTTGTCAGAAAGGAAACGATCTTAGTATAAAATTTCATTTTCAATGCTATTGACCAATGTAAACTGGGGCTACTGAAGAACGATGGGCGGGCTGATCATTCGCATAAAATAAATAAATACACAAATTAGATATCCTTCGGTTGGCCACGCTTGCAGCGCAATGATATTGAGCGTCGTACAATGAAAACTAAACAAATTATCACAGCTTATCAGAACAAAGCTTACATCACGAGGAGCCAATAAGTACTCAAAGTAATTAACTTAACACGAAGCGCGGGTAAATGCAGCTCACCAAGCCGTGATTGGTTCAATTTTGCACCTGATTGGTTGAGAGCGGCACGAGTTTTCCTTACCTATCACGCTTCGTCGTGAAATAGAATCAGTCTAGTGCATTCCCAAAAGGCCCCCCGGTACTAAGTTGAAAACTGTTTTAATGCATCGTTTGAATTGATGCAACACATCATAGGCCATGTTTTACGTGCGTAAAGACAAAAATTTTGAAGCGCAATGTAAACGAAAGTGTACTGTGTTTCGTCCCATTACATTCAGTGCTAACGAGTACTACTTACAAAATCATCCTTTTATGCGTTTGTGTCGAAGAAAGCTGTTGTTTCAGTTTCTGTAGATTATTTCTGGAGTCTTTCAATTCTCTCTCTTTTTTTCTCAGGTGTTCTTGTAGTCTCGTGTAAAGGCTCTCTGATGTGCCCCGTCCACCAAACGTCGATTTCAGGTCTTCTTCGTGGCGATCCATGCTGCATAAAAAAATGGCAAACAAAAGTAGTCGAGTCCAGAGCTTTGCAGGTTAAAGAGAAAATAAAGGAAACGGATCAAGTCATAAAATTCATTTACGGTGTAAAAAATATTTATCCATGAGTCATTGCGGCCGAAATTAGGGATTAGTCATCATTTGTCGCCGGGAGTTGGGTGGGTGGTGGTGGTGTGTGGAGGAATTTGGGGGGGGTCACATGGTTTTCAGAGGGAGTGTAAGGGTATCAGTCGTCTCTAAAAGAGTCTAAAGAGGGGGACTAAGGAGAACCGACTGCCAATTAACTGCAAATGAGGGGGAGGGGTGGGGGGAAGGAAATCATGAGAATATAACAGAGCATCTGGAGGGAGTCAGTAAATTTTATCGTGACAACCAAAATCCTCCAGCCCGTCCCCTCCTGCCCCCGCTCCCGCCACAACACTTTGGCTACGATGGTTTTATTACCCACTTCTCAAGAACTTTTTGGTGTGCATTGTCCTTACATTTTTTGTATAGTATCCTCTTTGTCGTTTTTCTCCTTGGACAGCATGTCCAGTTTAGCCTGTGTGGTAGACTGCATGTGCATAGCCTGCTGTTCTTCCCGTAACTGGCGCAGTTCATTATCAACCTTACGCTTTTCAGTCTGAAGTTTATCAATGTCTTTACCCAAGTCATCTACGTTACCACTCTTTTGAGCATCTTGAAGATCCCTTTCCTAGAAGTTAAAACAAATATTTGCAAATAACCCTATTATCTTCTTTCACATTCCCTTCAAGTATCAAAGTAAATACTAATAATGAAACCTTCTTTGATATTCTTCATTGGTTTCAAAAAGAAAGAAGGGGGGTTGGGTAAACGAGTTCTTTGTTATTAGCGCACATTCGTAGCGCTGGTTAAGATGGTTAAAAGCTTTAAATCCGTTTCCGTGCTGCATTCTTGAAAACTCCGGGTAATGTGGAAGCGACCCTAGATGTCTAGATAAATATTGCTTTAACTCCAGCTATAGTAGCAAGCTTCTCATAGCAAACTCCAGCTATAGTAGCAAGCTTCTCATAGCAAACGCACCGCCCTCTGTAGTTCCTCCTCCAATGTCTTTAGTCTGTTGGCTGAAGCGTCTACGTTACTCAATTCCTGGCCGATTTGTCTCAGCTTCTGTTGATTTTCTCTCTGTTAAAGCAAGAACAGTATTCAGTAAGAAAGTAGAATATATAAATTAAAAGCACACATATAAGGGAGGAAGAGGCAGAAAAACACAATAAAACTATAAACTAGAAATATTAAATGGTTTGAAACCGGAGATGTCAGTTGATCTTGCATAGTGATCGTTTAGGTGCGGGAAAAAAAGTTCCGCTAAAAATGCTTCATTACCATGAGTTTGGTCTTGAGTCGAATAGTTTCCTCGCACTGAGCTTGACTTTTCTTCACATCATCAAGCTTCGCTTGTACTTTGTTCAAATTCTCCTCAAATACTTGCTGTCGAATGTGCAAAAAATTGAAATATTACCAAGGGTACTGAAGACGAGTAAAACAAGAGAAACGTCAAGAGGGCTGAAATAAGATTCATTCTTTACTTTAACTTTGCCCTGCGCGCAAAAAAACGGGTAAACATCGTTTTTCAATTGATGACAAAGCTCTCGTGGAGTCTCAAAAGTTTCTTCTAAGTCTCACGCTTATAACAAGAAGAAAAACATTTTCTTTGTTTTTATGCAAAACAATCGTCAAATATGAACCTTGTGTAATATTTTTTCTGGCTAACCAATGAGGCCTCTACAGCTCAGTTGGTAGAGAAGCGCAACACCAAAAATCAGAACAGACACAGGTTTGCATCCTTACGAGGTATCAGGTATTCATTGTTGTTGTTTTACTTTGTTTTGTTTTAGTTTTCTTTAAACGATAGTGAAACAGTTGAAGCATTGTCTTCGAGTTTTGGCCTTGTAGAAAGCCTTAGGTACAAATAATGCTTGTATTAACGTCATCTAAAAACACAAGACAAAACGAGACAACTTAACAAGTGCTTAATACGGTGCAAGATCACCGTTTGCTCTCCTATTACAAGAGACTAACTCCTTACTTTTTGACGTTTTGCGTTTTCAACAATATCTTTGAATTTCCTCTTCATTTCACCAATGAACTGATCTACTCTCTCCTCCGAAAAAGGGCCTTCGTCATAACCTTCATAAAATACGAATATGTCAAATTGTAGTCAGCGTTAAATTACCTCACCTGTAGTTAGATTCAGCCTAAGAGATTGTGAAGGAAAAATTTGTTTGAATAAAAAAAAATGAACAAAAACATTAAAAAATTCTAGCATGCCTGGCCTGTAAACATGCATCTTCAAAGCTTAACCCTGTTGTTGGGAAACGAAGTAACTGAGATTATTACTTTCCCTTCTCAAGGATTTCAATAACTTTTTCCACGAGCAGCTGCCGATAGGTGTAAAAGACGGCTCTGCCGTCACGCGTAACCCAAACACGAGGGCCTAAGTGCTCGCAGGCTAAACAAACGACAGTGAGAGGTCTTATGGGCAGCGGTAGACCGCCGGTAAGCGACTTTCACTGAAACACCTGCCTTCTGGATGGGATGTGCCTGTGCATAAAAGTTAGCCCCCAGTATTTCATCAGACTTCGATGACAGTTCTCCGGCTCCCATTTATTATCCTACCTAGAAAGAGGCACTATGAGTGTAAAGTGCTCCGCCAACGAACATTGGCAACAAGACATTGGCCAGCTGCTAAGAATCCAACCTGGTGCTTGAAGTCTGATCCACGTAGGGAAACTTTTGACCACAAAGATTTTGAAAACCATACCTAACCATTATCTGAAGGGAAAACCTGACACTCCGATGCAGAGCATGGATTCAATACACAATTAAAACAAAGTGTTCGCTACTTTACCTTTAAAGGCATAATCCTCAGCAATCTTTACAATAATCTGATTTCTTTCGATTAGATTCTCCTCGTGCCTCTATAAATCATATAATGCAAACTTATATTAAGTTATGTTTGTTGCTTCAAATGCAGTCCTAGTTGCAACTGTTACTCTGAATTTTCTCGCGCACGGTCAACAAGTATCCCATCTAGGGAGGGAGTATCAGTACACCTTGTCGCTTCAAGGTACACCAAAAAAAAGAGCAGGATAAGCTCTGGCTTAGCTCAAACGCTGACTTTACCATTCACCACCTCCAGGAAGCTGGTGGAGGTACAAGTCTATTTACATTAAAACCTCTCCACAAAGCCACTTTGGGAACAAAGATTTAAAGACGTGGCTGTTACAAGAAGGAAGAATTAAATTAAGCTTAAATGGTTCGTCTATTTGAGAGAGTTGTTACGCATTCAGCTGCTCATCGGTCAGTATTTAAAACTGATCATTGATAAGAGCTAATTTTAGCAATTGGAACGCGCTTTCCCGGCTGTCACGGCTGTCGCGCCGTTACTTAGAGGTGGCCTTTGTAGAGAAGGTAACGAAAGAAAAAATGAATGAACCGTCTGCAGATATTGCAGGGAAACTCCAGTTGTGGAGAAGAAGCCTTTGGTGAATGTACCACTTAATTTCTTGTTTGTGTTTCTTTAGATGTAAACCACCGTTAGCGATGTGGTCTTACCCACATGCACGATGCACGCGTGTCATATACAACTACGCGAGTTTTTCGGTTACCTTCTTACCTTTGCTTCCTGTTCAAGTTTTCCATGGTCCAACAACAACTTGTTTCGTTCCTCACTAAGCTTTTGCTGATCTTTGAACAATTTCTGTAGTTTGCCTTCACTCTAGAAGGAACAATTGTATGATCATGAAATACACTTTTTTGCCATTCAACATCAGTATGCTTCGCAGTAAATGTATGTTTTGCACAGTAGGAAAAAATAACGTTTTCAAAAGAGCTTACATCACGCAAGTGAAAATACAAAATTGATTACGATAAACAAAATAACGTTTTTTCACATGTCACAACTGATTTACCTCCTGTAAGGTTTTTTCCTTCTCCAAGACTCTACTTTGAAATTCAGAAAAGATCTTGTGTAAATCTTCCACAGAACCTGATGGATTGTTTGATAATGAAAAATAATACAGCACCTGATCACTAGGATAGCCCTTGACAATTGCATTCATATTTGGCAAAAAGACAAAAAAAATGCTTCTTATAACATAGTGAAGTTCTCGCATTGCTGAATTTCAGGTGCACTATTCATGTAAGTTTACTGCAACATTTTTGGTTTTTATTAAATTCTTTCTTAACTCAGTCACTCTCAAGATCTTTTAAAACATTTAAGAGTGATGAGCATCTAATTTCTCCTTACAATATCACCCTGAATCACACGTTAAGGTAACGAAAATAAAGGAAATGATCACCGACTAAAAAAACCCTGATTATTAAACAAATTCTTCTGGTCAGCACCTTAAGAAATGTATGGAAACAGTATGGAGAATATGCATAATGATCATACATGTAGGGTGTAAAAGGGTTAAAAAGAAATTACCATCAAAAGGATAATTGATCTTGTCTTTCAGGTCTATCTCTACTTTCGACAGCTGCTTCTTTTCTGTCAACAAAGACTCTAAAATACAGAGGAGAAAATTTATATAGGACTTAAGTTACATGCACATGTAGTTCATTTCAAACGATTTTTATTAACTGGAATACCTTTGACGAAAAAATTTTCTCAAATAGAGAAAATCACGAACTTCTAAAATATGTCACCCAGGAATGTTTATTAACTTCTCGAAACTTCTAAAATACTTACTAACTTATAACCTCCCTTCGCGGAATCCGAAGGTCTGAGGTTCGATTCCTCATGGGAACTCAGAATTATTTCTTTGTCCCACGCTCGTGACAAGACGAAAAAACATATTTCTCTATTATACAACCTACTGGTATCACAGGTGATACAATTTAGTATTTGTCTTTGGCAGGTGTGGTAATGCATTTAGAAACTCACAAATATAATATTTTCCACAGAGGTTCAACATTGAGACAGTACTTACCAACTTTTTTCTCTAATTCAAACACGTCATCAGCAATTCCTGCCAGTTCAGCTAACCTCATCTACAACACAATAAACACATTGATTTCGGAAGAAGCTAAACTTGTAACGGCAGCCTATGTATAATCATTGTACAATAAGTAAAAGTGATGTACACAAAGTCAGCCTTCATTACCTCCACTGGTTCAAGTTTTGCATTCAGCCCATTGACCGTATCTTTAGTGGCTACAATCTTTCCTTTGCTTTCATTCATCTCACCCTCTATCTGTGAAAATCGGAAAAATCAGATTATCTTAATATAAGTTAACATGTCAAAGGTGAAATAAAAAATAAAATAAATTATTAACCCTTCACATCCCACATCAGTATGTATTATCTCCATACTGTTCTTAACACATTACCTATGTTGCTGAAAGGGAGAATTTGTTTAACAGTAAAGAGCTTCTTTTGTTGGAGGTCATTTCCTTTTTTTTTCCTTGTGACCTTAAAGTGTGATTCAGGGGGGATATTATAAGGAGAAATTAGATGTGAGTCACTCTTAGGAGTCAAAGGATTAAATATGATTGGTTCGCTTGTGCCAGACTTAAGCACTATTTAGTCAGTGTAATACCCAACATGATCATGGTAAGTAAGTTGTGGTGGCTAATAATAACAGCAAATAGATGATTTGATAAAAGAGACAAGTTTATGCCACAGAATTTGCTAAAAAAATATATTATGACATCACTGAGAATCCTTTCTACCAAACACTAAAAATAAACCAAGCATGAGATTTAGAAGAAATAGACGGCTGCATCATGTGTAAACACAAAAATGTCACAAAATTTGTTTCAATAAAAATAAATCAAGATTGAAAAGCAGTGTAATACCTGAACTGCTTTGTCTTTGTTTGCTTTTAAATGAGCCAGTTCTATAGAATACTCTTTCACAGTTTGAACCTGTAAATGGATAATTATACATTGAAACACCAAGAATTCTTCCTGTATTTGTAATTATAGCAGATAATGTAAAATTGCTTGTTTAGTTTCCTTGTAAGTTATGTACTGGATATTCACTTCTACATGACTGTATATATGGTTTAACAAAACCAGGAAAACCATAAGGTGCAACCAATGGTACATGTAGTCGGTGAGAATCACAGTTGCATTCTTAATTCATATACAATGTATTACAACATTTTATAATATCTTGCATACTTAAGGCATCTGTTGGCTGAGTATCAACCAACACTGTGAGCCTACATGTCAACTGAGAGTCCGTCAAAACTCAGTCAGTATGTTGACAGACTGTCGGTTGCCACCTTATTCAAGTTGCCACCATCAGTCACTACTTGGTTGGTATGTCAGTTGACACTCAGCTGACAACTTGACCATTAAGTTGCTCATAACAGTCAGCAGCATATCAGTTGAGTGTATCAGTGGATTGTTGATCAGTGTACTGTCTGTAGTACACGTGAATAAAGGGGGTAAGTCTCTTAAGAAACTGCAGTGCTGCGTCGGTGGGAGAGTATAGCAAGTAATTTAGTGTTAAAAACTGAGTTGAAAACATAAATTGGCCACCATAAAGAGTTAAAAGGCTGATGTTTTGAGCATTAGCCCTTTTTCAGAGCAATTGGAGGAATTGTGGTTTGTGTGTGGGTTTATATGTGGAAAAAGAAGCTGTGTTATTGGTGGGAATATGGTGACAAGAAAACAAGAATAAATTAGTTGAATGAAAAGCACTTGTAGTATTGTATTGTTAACTATTATTTTGCTGGAATGACAGCCATCTCTGAGCCTCTTTCCCTCACCTGCAGGGAACACAAAAGAAGAGTTTCCAAGGACTAGAGAAAATAAGTATTTGAGTAGAGAAGACAGAACTCAGTAGCAAGAGCCAACCAAAGTGTCGGCCAAGTGTCTGTCAAGTTTTAGCCAAGTGCCTGTCAAGTATCAGCCAATATAATTATTGACTGACCCTCTACAGATACTCAACAAACAGATGCTTTAAGTATATGTGATACCATCTTGCTATTTTACTTCTCATCTGGCATCATGCAGAGAATTCTTTCATTGAACTTTAACCCAGATACATAACTAACAACAATCACAGCATTTAAAATTGCACTAACCTGTTCTTTTTGAAATTTGCGAATTGCCTCCAAAGCTTTTATGTATCTTATAAAAATGTGAATTAAGAAAAACTTAAAATCAATTTCTGCAAAAATCACTTACTCAAATAAGAATTCTAGCTTTACCAGAACATGCTAAATTAACCGACTAGGTATTGTAAGAAAATTCCTACACTTTTATTAAAAGCTAATTTAACTTGCTACGAGACATTTCTTATGTTATCATTTAGAACCATATTTGGTAAATTTATTCATTCAATAAAGGTACTCTGTAGACAAGCATATACTTCAACATTGAAAAAATATGCAGTGATATGAATACATGCACCATAATGATTGAATTTTGCACATGGGTCACTTATTTACTTGTGGTACCTCAAGGGAGAGCCGTTACTAGACACAGGGCACTTATTAGGGACAGGACAATTATTTCTTTGTAAGAAAAAGCAGAATGTGTGAAATAAAGTTTTTTGTTGATTACCCAAAAATGAACAAAAGCAGAAACTGTAAAAGGACAAATATACACTCGGTAAATATTTTCATCCTAATGAAAGCAAAACAGATTAAAGTCACTCATTAGAATGAGGGACCTGCTTATGAAGTTCAAGTGCTTAATAGAACAGAGGGTGCTACTTAACAAAAACAACTTTAAGGGGGACATCAAGGGCACTTGATCAAATCATTACCATACTTCACACATTATGTACAGTAATCATGTATACCGTGTGGCAGCAAAGATTTCATCAAATTTTTGTTTGAGCACTTTTCCTTCGCTAAGCGGCCTGTAATTAACAGAAATGCATGTTCATGTTTTTCTAATCAGTTATAAGACTCTTGTTCACTAATATGGACAATATGAGGGAATGTGTATAGTTTCTCACAACATACTTACAGTATTAACATGAAAAATGAAACCAATGATAAGCTATTACTAGTACTGTATAATACAACAGGCAAACAAGCCTCCAGTACAAACAAATTAAGTTCTCAGATTAGTAAACTTAAGTAACTTAAACTTACTTAATGAAACTTACACTTACTTGGGAGGTTTGTGTTTTACTCAAACATAGGACAGAAAATAGGTTGGATGGAACAGGCAAAATGTGTGGCATGTAAGAAACTACATATAATTATTGCAGTATTTCCACTTACTAATAATTCTGATAAAGACTCCTTCAGGATCAATTAATGGACTTAAAAGTTGATGTACAAATTTGTTTTAATAAATGTTATTTTTCAGGTTTGAAGAAATAATTTATAATAAGATAACTAAAGTAGGAATAACATGACCATTTACAATTTAAGTGCACTTTGGCCACATCTACATATGATGGAACAATCCCCTGATAAAAGAGCCAAATGGTCCATTAATATGGAAAATATTATTTCTAAAATCAAAGACTAGAAACGAAAATCAACAAAACAATCTAAGCCTTGCAAAAGTTTACAGTTCAGCTATATCATGGTCCTTTGTGCAACGTCAGTTTTCCTTCACTTTAGTACAAATCTTCAATCTACCAATTTTGTCAATTGCCTACCAGTTAGATTCCTCTTGATGGCAAAAAATCACATTATCCAACACTGCTTTAGATACTCCAAGAAATGAAATCATCTGAAATAGCATGCATAAAAAATCAGCTATTTTGCACTGACTGCATGGTACACAGAACTAATTATCATTTATTCATAATTGAAAAAATGTACTATACTTATAATCTAGTTACTGTAACTTGCCATAAAATGCATAAACATCAAGTGTATACATGCGTGTGCTTACCTCTCTGTTGATATCAGCACACTTTGAGCTCAAACTCAGTCTCTAGAACAGGCAATCAAAAAAAGTTTTTCATGATTGCAGGAAAATTCACTGAGTGTCCATTACAAATTATAAAGTTTTTTTTTCTATAACTCTTTTAATGAAGAAATTGTGAACAGTGTGCTGTCTAATAATTTGAGTATAAATTTTTCCAGGGAGTACAGTGTACATTACCTCTCCATGGACCTCCCTCATGACATTTCCCTCTAAAGTTTTTGTTTCAATCTTTTTACCCTATAATGAAAAAACAAATGCATTAACTTTCACATTTGATTTCAAAACACAAGACTACTATCAAGTGCCAGTGATGGTACTGTGGGTGTATCAACGACTATCTCTCTTTCAACAACCTCAAAATTGTTTGAAGAGAGTATAATCCATCTTCAAACTTGTGTAATGTTGATAAATATCCTAAGTGTACATACTTTTTGCAGTGAAACCAATGTACGGGTTACAACAATAGGACTACCAGTGACGTCCCTGAATTTCAGTTTTATTTGCCCACGTACTTCTTGTTCACCTGCAACCTTAGTTAGGAGAACAAAAATTGAATCATGACAGCTCTTACATGAAAGGTGGAAATTTTTATAGGTAATGTGTTTTGACAAGTCTTTGAATTAGCATGGAAAATTATTTATAAATGGAAAACCATATAACAGAGTCATGTAATGTTTCATTATATCAGTTGTAACATTAAAATCAAAAAGGTCTTTGACACAGTAATCAACTTCATGTCTCATATCTAAACACAACAACCCTAAAGGAACTGAACAGTGGAAAATGTATAAAGGCAGATACACTCTAAATAAATCAGCTCGTCAATTGGTCCTTTAATCAATATAAAAAGTTCTCCTCAATCTTTCTCCTAGAGGATGGCTACAGATCTGAGTACAGTTTTCTGTTAATTGCACCCGTTTCAGAAAAACAAACGTTGAATACATTACCTTGGGGTCATGCACAAATAAACTTTGTTTGCTGCCAGGAGGCATGTCCCCTGTGGCCATGTAATTCAGGCATTCAATAACAGACTGTAAAACATAAGACAGCAAAAAGTATTGTAATCAGCTATAATAACAGTTAGGGATCAACTACATTATTTCAAAAATTTTTGCTAGCTATATTTCTATTAAATTATTTATAGCTGATCAAAATAACACTTTGACTCCTATGAACAACTAGCAACTAATTTCTCCTTACAATATCACTCCTGAATCAAACAATAAGGTCACGAGAATATAGGAAATGATCACCAACTAAAGAAGCTCTTGACTGTTACAAGAGTTCTCCTTTTCTGTGAATGTAAAGAGAACAGGATGGAGAAAATAAGTACTGTTGTTAAGGTGTGAAGGGTGAAAGAAAGTTACCGTCTTCCCTGCTCCATTAGGTCCAACAATCAAAGTTAGTGGCTTCTGAAACTCGATAACACTGGGTTCCATGTGGGAATAACTACGGATTCCCTGAATCTTCATCTTCTCTAATGATGACATCTTGCCTAGAGGTGATTTGCGCAAGACCAGAGGTATGAGTGTAGAGCCACACCTAGTTATCTACCAGCAGTCAAGCCTAAAATCAATAACAGCCTGCTTAATGTAAATTGCACATGTTTCTTGTCTATATGTAAATTTTTAAAACTAAAGTATACCTACATTAATAACTAACTGATTAAGTAAATTAGGCTAATGTTGTCAGTGGTAGTGAGTGACATTTTGGAAACCTGAAAGGAAGTCACAACCAGAGAGATGATGGTGACTACATCATGGATTCTAAAGACAACTTCCACTGAAGTTGTCAAAATGTCAGCTCTGACATCAATAATTATCTTATTAAGGAGTACATTATATGGGCTCCTGGTGCACATGATTTTCTATGGTACATGTATTTAGTCCACCTCCCTTAGGCCCATCACATGTCAACATGCTTTATATTGAGGAAGAAGAACTCTATGAAATGGCCACATGTATACATGCAAAGAATGAGAGCTGGGTCAGATTCAAAATCACGCCCACTTTTTCAATCTCAATCCCACCCATGTTGAGCAATATGTTTACCACTGGTAAATTTATAATCCTACTGCTCAGTAAAATAAATTGCCTCTACTTGCATATGGTTCTGATTTTCCGCTTTAGTAACCAAAACAAACTTGTAAGACACGCAAATCTGAGATCGAAAGATAATCTCACCATTTGTTTCCTTCATTTCTATCTTAAAAATTCTCATTTGCATTCCCACACCTACGTCGATCAACCAACAGGCAGGTTGGCCTCAGCAGTCAAGGAACAAGGACATTTAACAATTGGTTCATGCTTTTGCATGCACTATCGAGTTATGGAGCACAAGGGAAGTTTGGAGAGCACAAAAGAAGCGTAAGAGTTGCCCAAGGTAATAGCCAAGGGCAACTCTAGCTTCTTGAGTGCTCTCCAAACTTCCCACGTGCTCCATAACTCGATAGTGCACAGCTAGAAGCATGAACCAACTGTTTTATAACATAGCCGGTGGAATTGTGCATCAAATCCGACGCGAAATACGGACAACAATATCAGAAGTGATTGTTCTCAGAATCTCCTTTTCCGTTGTTTTTTTCTTTTTTTGCCTCATTTAAGAACTCTAGCCCAAGGGAAAAGGTCGGAAAATTGTCTTCGTTTTGGGACTGGTGGGCCGAGTCTCTGTTTGTATCCATTATTGTCGCGAAATATATTATTTTTCCCCGCGCTAACAATGGCCGCTCGCGCGAAAAAAAAAATTCTGGCGAAGCGATTTGCTCACGCTATCAGCGTGCACTATCGGGATTTTGAGCACGCTTTCGTATACTGAATTTGATTGCGCGGCTCTGCAGCTAGCCATGTTATAGTTCAAATTGGCTACTAAATGACTTTTCATGGCAAATTTTGATTGCAGACGTATGTAGTGCGTTATGCTGCAAAAAGGAAGTAAACTGATGTTATTCAACGCACCAAAACATTGATGTCGTGTTGAAAAAGGAGAACCAGCTGACTCTTTGCACTGGGAATTGATAATACTATCGGTTTCAGCTGATTCGCGGTTGCGGCACGTTTACATATCGATTGTACGTTTAAGATCGCCTACGAAAGACACAAACTGCCCATAAATTTTTTTTGTCAATTATGAAACATATAAAACCTTTGCTTACTTCGATTGGTAGTTCCGTCGAGAAACAAAACAAATAGCCTCTTTCTAAATGTACTCTGCAAATTCTCCCGCCATTTTAAAAGTCACTTGAAAGGCGTGGTAACTAAGCAATGACTGGTTACAAAGCTTGTATTTGTTTTGGAGTTATCGTTTCTTGGCTTGTACAGAATGGTACAGAACACAGAGTGTTAAAACAATTCATGAATTCGGAAACTCTGATTTTCTAACCCTTAGCAGTTATTTTCTTAGAATGGACCAGCTATCTGTTGACGGTGCTTCTTCCATCACGGAGAAGAAGAAGAAAAACTATGAAAATCTCTGTCCAGCAGTTGCAATGGTATTGTATTTCAGCAGTTGTAAAGAGTTGATAAAACTTCCTGGTCTTATATCTGTCCTTAAAAAGGACCTACCGCCTGATAGTTCCAACTTAACATTTTTTTGGCCCTTTCTTTTTATGTATAGTATGGACCCTGTAATGTGGAAGACTTAGAACCTGGAAAAACCATGAAGTGGTGTACATGCGGACTGAGCAAGAAGCAGCCATGGTGCGATGGTAAGTAAGTTGGTTCTAAAGAGGGAACTGACGGATTAATGGGCTGACTAAGTCTGATTTTATGTATTTCCAGGCCTTGACTAAGTCTGATTTTATGTATTTCCAGGCCTAAGGAAAACTCTTTTTTGCATGTTATCAACTGTTTACGGGTTAGAATGTAATACCCAAGATCACCGTGTTTTATCTCTTGTGGTCAGAAATTCGATAAACTTTTAACCAGCTGTTTGGCTAGGGGGACCTGATCCTAATATTTCGGTATAGTTATCTGTATTTATGTTATTCAAGTCAGAAATTCTGTTGAGAAAATTAATATTTTCATCTGTTGCTAAGGTTTGGAGAAGCATGCAACAAACATTTACATAATTATATCCTCACTTAAATTTCTAAGGAAAAACTTCACCCAGAGCAACGTAATGATATCTTAGTGACTGGGTGAACCAATTATTGTACTTTAAGACATGCAATTTAATTGATGGAATGAATCAGTATGGTGCAATCTTGTATTTTCATTATCAATCTTTTTTATTTGATATATCTAAAGTTAATAAATTTATTTTTTTTAAGGAGCTCACAAGAAAACTGGTTTCAAGTCCCTTAAATGGAAGGTTCCAGATCATCCCCAAAGAATCTATTCTATTTGTAACTGTAAACACACCAAGAATCCACCGCTCTGTGATGCCACTCATGTAAACCTCCCAGCTGTGGTAGAGACAAGGCAAAAGAACTGTGACAGTGCTCATGATGAAGACATGAAGTTATGTACTGGGTGTGGATGGGTACCAAAGTGGTGAAATAAATATTATACCATATATATCTCAAGAATAGATGCATTTATATTTCTGGATTTAACACTTGTCAAATGGATTTGTAGTATTTTCATCCATAATTAATTAGAAGGAAAGGAGTTATATAGTTCTCTTTAAATCTTTGTTGAACATATTTTAGATAGAACTTATACAAGTAAATAATTGACTGGAACAAAAGTGCACAAAAATTGAATTTTTATCTGAGAATGATATGTCTTGTCAGAACATAATATTATTTTTGCCTCTTTTTGTCCTGGGAATTTATTTGGACAATTATTCTATGATTATATTACAAATCTAACAGTATGAAACAAGGTAGAAAAATTATGGCAAATTTCATGTGGGATTATGAGAAATGCATAACATGAGAGTCTTCTTGAAGAATAAAATATTTTGTAAAATATTTTACATATTGAACAAATTATATATTTTATATATTGGACAAATTAATTATCCGAGAAATATTTGCAGGAGAGCAGAATCTCCAATCAGAATCTCCAATATACAGAACTATTATTTGTTGTATGTAATTACAAATAAAACTAAATAAATTTTAAAATAAAATTAAGAGGAGGAAACTCATCTGAGTGAAATCAGGCTGAATTCAAGCTTGAGGCTTTTCAGCAAATAATGGTTTAGGGTTGTGGAAAACAAATGAGAGGGTTATTCTGAAAGCTTTTTTGATTAAGATCTAGGAACCAGGATGGTTCATGGAGACATCTCTTCCAGCAAAGTCGTATCTTTACATCCAGGTGAGATAGTCTTAGACTTAAGCCAGTAGTAATGACTGTCACTAATGCTAAGGCCATCTTGTGTTGAGGACTATCTTCAACTGGGCAGTCACACCTTATGATAAACTATTACCCTCCTGCCCAAATATTTCCTGTTCAAAAGTTTGAAGTGAATAACATTGTGACAAACTGACTTTCTCATAGAGAGAAGGGAATTTTTTTATTCAGCAATAAACTAGTCAAATGTACATCACTGATACTGTATAGTGGAAGAAATCATGTTTCCTCATTAAGGTTTCTTGCTTTTTTGTGTTCTGGTTCTTCACCTTCTTCAAAGAATTCTTTTAAAGCCTTAACAGCTTTGCCTCTGTGTGATATTTCATTTTTGATTTCTGATGGCATTTCTGCATATCTGAAGAAGAAGAATCAAATGAGAACATCTACTTGCTCTTTGACAAAGTGTGTTCTTAGATCTGTATAATTTTATCTGGTGCATCTTTAATTGCAAACAGTTAAATTGAATGGCACCAGTTACAGCTTATTAAACACTTGAAGAGGTAAAATGACACACCAAACTTTAAATGACATTGTAATTTGAAAAAACTCACAAATCACGAAATAAATAAAATAAAGGTAAGCACAAGGACTATGTAATCACCTCGTATAAATACAATCATGAAGTTTCATGAAAAAAACATTGGACACAAGAAATCCCCCATCAAATAAAAAATTTACATTTATTTGTCGCAAAGTCAGGATATGAAAATGTGTGCATCTACACTGTAGCTACACATATAATTTTATGTATAATTTTATGAATTTAAAGTGTGTCTACTTCTGTTGACATCTGACTGCTAAGTGTATTTAATTACTAAAACTTACGTCTGATCAAAGCCATCTGGTTGGAAACATGGATCCCATCCAAAATTCCTTGGACCTCTGGGTTCTACAATTTTTCCCTACATGAATAAAATAACTTGTATAATATAATTCACCAAGACATGTAAATAGAAACCTCAAGGAAGTCATTCATCATGACATACCATTGTCTTTCCCCTAAATAGTAAAACAGGGTCCTCAAGGTTTCCTGTTGAATATGCAAAAGTACAGAGTGCATATGCAGACTTGTCCTCCCATCCTGTCAGGAGTCTGTGTAGACCTAAAATCAATTTCAAATTAACATAAAAATTAGTTTTTGGTTAATCATACAAGAGAGTGTATTTTTAATGCATTGGCTTATATGCTGGAAAAATGAACCTGCTGTAAGATGCAGGAAAGTCAGGTCTAAATTATAGAGGGAGGTCTTTCTTTTGTATGTTTAACTCATTGTTGGCATTAATAGACAGGACTACCCTTCCCAGCTCAGTCTCTTGTGTGGCCTCTTTTCCAGCATAATTATAAAAATTATACTCTCATCCACTCCTCTTGTGCTTCTTTAAAGGATACAGAGTGTGATAGGGTACAGCTTTATATTTGGTTCATTGGTTATTAATGTAACAGCTATAAGTTGCATTAAAACAACACCAGTCTTACAAAAATGAAAATTAATGTCTTGTTAGTTGTTACAGAAATTGGAAATCTTTCAATGTTCAATCATTATAACAATCAAAGTCTATTAATAGTACCTTCAGGTCCTAATTTCTTTAAGAACCACTTCCTAAAAAAAGGGGAAAACGTTTGGTTCAATTATTCTATATCATCCACTTTTGCAGCTGATTCACAATAAATCAATTAAAAAGTTGTCTTCCAAACTCCACCTTCCCTGAAACCATACACATACCAAGGCTAAATTGTAAGAAATAAAGGCAATTAACTGACTGGTTGCTTCTTTAGGGTCTCTTCCCACCCCCAATAGGCAGTGGAAGGAAGTACAACTGTCATTACAGGTATATGGTCAGAGAGCACTATCCCCCTTACAAATTGGTGTGTCTGAGAAAACATTATATATATATATATATATATATAATATAATTAAAAACATGTCTTCCAACTAGGGTATCTTTGTCACATCTTTTTCTAATAATAATTCTATCATTCATCAGTGTTTACACAAGAATTACTATATTATACTCACACATAAGGTCCTGGGAGATCTCCTAATGCTGTAAAACATAGACATGTGTCTTCTACTATGACTGGGCCTCCAACCTAACAGAAGGAGATAAAATCATCATCCCGGATTTTGTTTGATTGAAAATCTGTGACAATTCAAGATCACCATATTTCTTGAAATTATTCAGTTAAGGAAGTGATAACTTAATGTGTCTCAAACCTCTTTGGCAGCAACTTTGCATTTCTCCTTAGATATCTCGTCTGGTTCACCTTGAAATTCAGGTACTACAGGAATAGGGATATGGGTTGTGTATTTAAAATCATCTTCATCAATCCTTTACTACCTATAATCAGTGTGAATATTCTCCATACTGTTCTCTATACATTTCCTATGGGTGTTGACAAGGAGAATATGTTTAACAGTCAAGAACTTCTTTAGTTGGTGATCATTTCCTTTTTTCTCATGACCTTGCACAATTTAGGAATGATATCGTGTGGAGAAATTAGTTGCCAGTAACTCTTATGGGTTAAAGGGTTAACTGTAAGTACATGTAGGCAATACATTGAACAGCTGGTTGTCAACAGTGGGTTGCCAGAAAGTACAACTCTCCCTCCCATTTATAGATGAGAAACTAGGGGAAATTGTTTATTCCTGCAATACCCCTCTTGTGGTATTCTGATTGTTAGAAAATACACTAGGAACAAAAAATACTGCAGTTGTAATAACAAGAATAAGCCCATGAAAGTGTCACGCACGCAGTCAACCACACAATTGGCATTAACTTACATACTAAACAATCTTTTTAATAGGTAGCTTAAAAAGGTATGTAACTGCACATACTTACAATCTATATTTCTAGACTCCACTTTCCATGGAAATGAGTCCCCTAAGATGGCAACCACCTTAGGAAATGAACGAAACAGAAATCGAGCCAGAATCAGATCAACGAACACCAATATTATTCATAACTCAAAGTAAAACACCTTCTCTCTTGAACTGACGGGGAGATCTACTTTTCTAAGCCTCGATTCTCATCCTAACTCTAACTGCAAAGCAATTACTGATAGCGTGACCGAAGTGTCACGCTATTCAGGATAACGATAGTGGTTCGATCAAAACGCCTTGATCAAAGTACTGAACGCGCGTACATTCATTGACGATTGTTCTCACGATAGAATTCGAGACATACTATGAAAGGTTGTTCTTCAAATTAATTTCTAATCAGATCGAGTTTATCAACAGTGAATGAGAAGATGAGGCCTGCATAAAGAAATCTACAACATGATTTATTTCACTCTACCTGAAACCCCGGTATTTAAAGGTGATTGATCAAAATTAACAGCAATTTAATAAATAATGCTTATCTGTAAGAAATAATAATAGTAACAATTCTTACCTCTTTTAGTTTGTTTTGATTTCCTGTGACAAATGCTAGCGTTTTCCTCGACATCTTCTCGATGACTACTAGATATCGCTGGTGAGGCGGGAAGGATTAATTCGTTCCCAGTGCCTCTCGTATATTAGCTCATGACATCTTCCAATCAGCGTGATTTCTTGTTTCGGCCACCTCTCCATAACCGCTCCCCGCGAGCTGTTTTCATCGGTAATTCTCGTTTGCCGATCTTCAGTTTCGCTACGGTACCCCCATCTGCTTACAGTTACTTAGCAACCTCATTTTAATTGTTAGAAATAAGCGCTCTTAAGGCTAATGCAAGGATTTATAAACACTTTCATCGTAGCCTACATGGCTGGTGGTTTAGTATGCACTAAAACGACTAGCGAGGAAGCCATGAGAGGTTTTTGACAGAATTCTGGAGCCCATCACGTAATGGGCTCCTGCAGAATTCGAAGTCACCTGATGGAAAATTCTGTTCGAGTATTATCCATTCTCGGCTTTGCCGTAAGTTCCTCGCTTGACGCACACAGAACCGTAAGGCACACACAATAACACCAGCCAACAAGGCCGCTTGATGCCTTGGGAAATGTAATATTCTTGATTTGCAAAATGCAATGGGATTGTTAGTTCATTAATAAGTCGAGCTTTTACCAACTGCCTAAAAAATTTTCATAGCTTTTACTATATTTATATTTCTCATAATATATTTTTAAACGATAAATGAGGAGATGACAACATGGAGGATTCACCCCGCGCGTTCATTTGAGAAAGAGGATTTGTTACAGATCAGAAATTAAATCAGCTAATTTTGGACTGTAGAGAACCCTCAGAGAGAATTCTCATAGGTTTTAGCAAGAGCTTATAAACTTGGGTATATGTTATCGTTGGACTTCCGCGGAGAAAAAAATCAGAGAACCTCGCGGTATACTGCATATTTTTTCGCATCAATCAAAGTTCACCTTAAGCCGTGAAGATACAAAACCAACGTGCAAGGTCATAAACAATCGCAGTGAGTATTTCCTAGAAAACTAGAAGGCAACTTGCGTGACTTATTGTTAATTTAACTTTGGTGGGTTTTGTATCATAACTCAGCCTATAGTTATATTTCTCCTATAGGACATATAACGTGATGGCATAATAAGCTTCCTAACTGAGCACAAAAGGAGCATTAGCATGGAGATGACCAGAAAGAAATGATTTCGTCGAATGCAATCAATTCGAAAACAAACGTGACTTATCTCTTTCGACCATCTAAATCTTGCGTGACCGTTCATTCAGAGTTTCTTTACGGAAATTTCGGTATCTTTAGGCATACAATTATAAACGACAGTAAATCAGCCACACACAACATCTGAGTTTAAAATTAAAGAGGGGAACTTTTGTTTTCCCTTTTTGATCCTGGTAACAGTCTAGGAGTTCTGGTAAGTATGGGAGTCCAATGTAAGCGGCTATGTGTTTTAATTCGAGTTGGTTAATCGACTACGCGTATAATGAAGTCTCCCATCTTTCTAAGGAAATTTAACCAACAGTTTTCCCTTGGAATGAGAAGTGAAGGCTAAATCTTTTTAGGATAACTGCCTTCCGTATATCCGGGTATTCTCTGAAAGGAAGGTGCTTTTTTTGTTGTTGACAGGTTCACATGTTCGTCATGACATAAAACAAACAGGAACACGATGAGCAACTTTGAACGTGACAAAGGTTTTGCCACCCGCCAACTGATGGTCACGAACCAAAATATGCCAAGAAAGATTTTAGCTTTGTTAAGAACTAGTGAAAAAGAACTTTAAAATTGTAAAGCAATGAGATCAGTCCTGTGGGTAAATTTCGAAATTTCGAAATTTCTAAACAATGCTCGATTGCCAATCGCCGAAAATCAGACTCGACAGAGTAGCGGAAATAAAATCCAGTGTATGTTCGGCATAAACTTTGATGTTTTTTTTCCATATCTGCAATTTTTTTTTCACCAAGCTCAGTTTACAGGAACTGCACGGATTTTACGCGAGCCATCACGTTGGCTGATAGATTAAGGATAAAGAAAATAACTGAGTCGAATCGCGAGGAGTACTGGGCATGAAGTAAAATGCAATTATCATCAAAACAAAAAACCGCAAACAAACATATATGTAAAGCACGGACCAAAACTTTTACAGTGCCAAGGATTTTTATGGGAAAGGGCCAACTTAATGTTGATGCACTATACATTTTCCGTATAGAGCCGAGCAAAGCTCGAAATCGTGCTTCTTCATAATTCCCTGAATAAACACGGAAGTATTTTACCACGTCCTGGCCTCACAGACATAGTTTTCTGTGGCCCCATTAGCTGCTTTAAGTTTATCAACATCCGGATCTCAAACGCGTGCTTTGATTCGAACCGCTCAAAATGTTGTAGAACTCGATCTGAGTTCCACACTGGCTAAGCTCGCATTGTCAACTGAAAAAAACGTGTAGGCACATATGGAAGAAAATTAAAAACTTCAAGCCGGAATATGAAAAAGATAAAAGTCGCGCTTCAGTAAGCGACGTGACTTCTTTACATAGTGTCGTTTAAAATATGTACTTCCTGTATTACTGATTCTCATTTGACCGAATGAGTACTTTGCTATCGCGAGGTCACGTGTGGTGTTTATTTCATCTACAAAAAACCTCGATGAATATTGATACTCTCAGTTGTAAGCAGAACTTTATGAAAATGTATTAGTTCGCAGGTCGATAGCCGCCGGGTTTGAAACCTATCTCAATCTGTTCAAGTCGTGACATGCAATAGTTGAAATTGCTACCTTCACTCTGAAGACTGTTTTTGTCGCGTAATTCAGCTTTATTGATAACAAGTTTGCTGTTTGCCTCTGAACACTCGATCACAGGGAACTATAACACTTCGTTCGACTAGCCGACCTTCTACTGCTTTTTGTCATCGTCTCGTTAACATACCAACTTCGGTAGCAAACAAAGGCGACGCACGTAGAATCCTGAGAGGTAATCAAATTTTCTTACTATTATTTTTATCATTTTATAAAAGAATACATAATTTAAGTCTGAACTTCTTAATTCGTATCTATTTGAAGAATTGAGCGATTTTAGGCTGGCTAACTCTGCGAGTGAGGCAAGGTGAGCAAACCAGTTCAAAGTTGCTCTTCTCTATAGAGGAGTGTTTGCTTACCTTTCGTCCATGACGACATAAATTTCATAGCAGAATATATTAAAATTCAATGCATAACAAACCTTGATACTCAGAGAATAAGTAATGGTGCTGTTTACGATTTCATACCGAAAATCAGTATTCGTATGAGTTTGACAGTTTTCTTACATATAATTTTTACATGACTTTTTTTCTGTATCTATGTGTAATTACAGGGGTATTCCTTTAAAGTTAGCGTGACCGAATCTCAACATGATCACGCAGAAGAATTTATTTGCCTCATCTCTTCGAGGAATTCTTCTGTTCCTGACTTGGCAAACTATCAGTTATAAAGGTAATTATTTTTTTGTTTCTGTCAGAAGTATATTGAATAGAACTGAACAAATTATTTTCGCTGAGGTAGACAAAAAGGTGGAAATATTCTTTCATAACGGGATCATTGTATGACCAAACTTTAACATTGTCTCAATTCCGTCTCATCGATTATTCAGCGCATAATTATTAGAAACAAAGAAATTAAGATTGCCAATCTTCAGAACTACATCGTTTAATTTTTTTTCGGGGGGCTTGGCATAATGTTGATACAGTTCCACTCGCGAGAGGCTTTCAATCGTTCAGTTTGATAAATGATAGGTTTGTTTGTCGCTAGTAAATTGCGGTTTTGCATGATCTGTTCAGGATTGGTGAGTGCCCATCAAAACTCAACCCACGCGTAAAATAAATTTGCCTTACTTCCTGATTTCTACTAGACATGCTAGACAGTTCCTCGAAATATCGTGGTATAATATAACTAGTTAATCACCAAAGTGTCAAGACGGCACGCTTGGTAGTTGAAATTCTTTTCATCTAAATCTTCGCAATTTTTCATTAACAATTTTTATTGAGCGAAGGAGACTAACAACTTCCTTAAAGAACCGTGCGCTTTAAGGAACACTAACAATAAAACTACATCATTCTTATTTACGTTACTTCCACTTCGACTGGCATCATTGATACAACAATACCAAAGGATGCTGTAATTGTAATCCGCTAATTAATTTGTGTGATTGAGAATGGCAAGTAACTAGCTGTCAAGCACAGCGTAATTAAGTAATGGAGAAGATCAGCAGGGATGCCTCCGTGTCACGTATCTATCAATCGAATGGAGAGAGAAAAAAAAAATTCTGCTCTCGTTCAACCGGCTCACGCATTCAATGTAATATCAACGATTATCAATGAGAAGTCACCGAGTATGCATTCCACCGAGACTGAAATAGGAAACAGCAAGAGGATTTAAGGAAACCTAGTGAGACAGCTCTAATATAAAAATGAAGTAAATAGATTTCCTGTTGAGAATGAAGCCATTCCATGATGTCACGCAAATATTCAACTCTTGGCCTTATCACATTAGCGACCACTAGTCGTTTCAGAGCACTTTTCCATACCAAACCTATCATTTTAAATTACACAGAGGCCGGCAGAATTTCTGGTAAGGGATCAATCTTTAGCGATAAAGGTCTTGACTGTTGGGTAGTTTCTTCTGACTTCCTTTCTCATTTTTCCCTTACCGGTAGGCGTGACATCGACCTCATGCCAATCCCAACCATGTCTGTACTTCAGCAACAGTCGCGCTCTCCAAGCGTTAGATATCAGCTCCTCCAACTTGTACTCAGTCGCACCAAACCTCAACTCTGTTGATGCAGTCGACGTGCACGTGAAACTGAATTTGGTGTACTGGAGCGAGCGTCAGCCAAACGTCATAAAGAGGCTGAACATTACTAGTGGAAAAGTGGAGAACGTGTCAACAGACAGCAACATAGGTCAGATCAAAGGTATTGCGGTGGAGTGGGAGAGTGGACTAATTTATTGGACTGATAACACCAATCGTCGGATCGAAGTAGCGCAGTTGGACGGGAAAAACAGACGGGTCTTGATCAGTAAAGATATACGAAATCCTCTTGGAATAGTTGTGGACCCAAGAAAAGGGTATGTACCAGCTTTTTATATGATAGAGGGCTTTCCATCGATAAATTGCTACGGATATTATCAAAAGGAGGAAATGCACGGAAGTGGAACTGCCAGCAAGCAAACTGCTTCCTAAAGCACAGAGAAACGTAAACGACCAAGATGCGGTCGATTTTAATTTCTCATCTGATTGGTTGAGATGGCGGTGCGAGTTTTCCGGCTGATTTTATTACAGAGTTCGGTTAAGCAAAACCAGTGCCATCCTGGAGTACTTTTGAAACTCAATTGAAAATTGGTTTATGATAAATTCTGCAGCAAGTTTTTTGATAGGTTCTTTGCAATGCCCTATTTAAAAACAGACGTACAGATATCGTCAGTTGGATTTTATGTTGTTGCAGAGCGTCTAGCTTTGATGTAGAAATTCGTGTGATTCACTTGCGGTACATAGATCGCTTTTGAGTTTTGCCGTCATACCCTGACAACAAGTTTTCGAACGCCTGGCCAGCTCAACATAGGTTCTCCAGCCCCATCCCCAAAAGGTGAAGTAATGTTTGACTGTGACACTTCCTCTCGTAGCTCCTGAAGCGTATTCTTGATTCTGCCGGGTTCAAACCTTTAGTCCGCAAGAGTTTTTTCACTAGTTCTTCCACGCCCACTTACATTTCACGTTTTTCTTCATCACTGGTATTGTAGGTACATGTTTTGGTCAAACGGAGGATTTCAAAGTAAAATCGAGAGAGCTTCTTTGGCAGGTGAAAATCGGAAAACCTTGGTCAACCTTGGGAGCTCGTATTTTAACGTTCCGGTCGGGATGACCATCGATTTCCAAGCAAACCGTATATATTTTATTAGTCGAGGACTTTTAACCAAAAGGCTGGAAAGCATTGACTTTGATGGAAACACCCGACAACAGTTTACATCCCTCTCATCCATTAGTTATCCTTATGATATTGTATTGCTGAGCGGAGTGTTTTACGTATCTGACGCGAGAGGCAACAAAATCTTCAAGATCGAGAAGTCCACAAAGAGATCTCTGGGAAACTACGCAGGTCTTGGTTTCAGTAATCTTCGAGGGCTTGAGATGTTCTCCTCCTTGCGACAACCTAAAGGTACGATCAATATTCAAGTAATTTGTCTCAATAATTGTGTTAAAAATTTGAACTCAAGTTTGACGTGGGCAAGTTGGACACGCAGTGGCACGTAAGACTGGACTGGGACATTTTGTCTCAACTCTTACAGTTCCTTGCTCTATCTGAAAGGTACAAAGCGATACCAGCAATCTGACAAAATGACGAATCACTTAATATCATAGTTCCTTAATGCTACAATAATCGCATAGGCTCTGATGCTCTGAGCGATCAGATTCGAGAGTAGACGTTTTTTTGGCAGGCGCTGACCTAGAAGGAGTATGGCTGGTGGAGAAATTTGGGGGAGTATTAGCGTTCAGTGTTAGTTAACACGAAGATGATTTTATCATAAAGCAGGCGGACACATGGCTATGTTAAACTTGCAATTTCCTATATCAAAGCTGGTTATCATCGCGTGTTCTCGACCGTTGGACAAAAAATAATATTCATCCTCATGGTGTTATATTTGTTACTGGTATTTTTATGAGTATCGTTTAAAACCTTGTTGTCTCTGGTTCTTTCGTAGGTAGCTCTGCTTGCCACAACAATAGTGGATGCAGCCACCTTTGTCTGCTATCACCAGCAGGGAGCCAATGCGCATGTCCAATAGGAAGCATTTTAAAGCCTGACGGAAAGACGTGTGATGATTCAGGTAAACAATATAAACCGCCAAGTTGTTGTTTTAGAACAACTTTGCAAGTGTTGAAAAGAAAAGTGCACCGCCAAGTGGGGTGGGCAGGAGGGGGGAAGGGGATGGAAGGCTATTTCTGCATTTAGTTACATTAAAAGATCTTTTTTGGGCAGACTATATTATTTCTAATATTGGTTTTCGAGAACTTTTTTAATTTTTGAATGATTACTTATCGTTTATCGTTTCATAAAAAAATAATGGTTTCGATGTATTTCACACACTTTTTAGCATCCAAACTTCTCTTATTGGCTGATAAGACGCAACGAGGACTCTATCAAATACCATTGGGAGCATCAATTTCAAAGAAGGCCATGGCAATCCCATTAAACAATGTCAGGAGACCTGTGGGGGTTGAATTTGACCCCCTTAATGGCTTCGTCTACTGGTCTGACAGCTTCAGAGACGTAATTTCCCGAGTCCATTTGAATGGCAGCACACAGGAGGAAGTGGTGGATCGTTTGAGAACACCTAATGGCATTGCAGTAGACTTCATTGCAAGAAATCTGTATTGGACAGACAAAGGGTCAAACAGAATCGAAGTGTCTCAGTTGGACGGCTCCTTCAGAAAGACTCTTGTGTATAGTGATCTTTGGGATCCACTTGACATTGTACTCGACGTGGAGAAGGGGTAAGGGTAAATATTATCTCTCTTAAATCAGTAAAACTGTGGCTCGTAGAGCTCTGAAATCACTGAAAGAAGACATAGTATTTGATCATTATAAGTAAAAAATCGTCCATTCTTGTAAAACTAAGAGGTGCACCTTAGGTTATATGGCTTATTCTATCAAGTAAGATCTCGAACTACATCTTTCCTGTAGATATCACTGCATGACCTATGGAGAGAGAAGCTCTTCACTTACCAAGAAAGTCCTTGGCAAACATTTACAGACGTTTGCTTCTGTATTAGCGCGATTTGAGAACTTTAACCCATCAGATAAAATCTACAGCTTGCAACACAGCTTTATTATTGTGCGTAATGAACATCTTTCGATTTATTCATTACTAAGAGCTGTCATGATTTCTTCATCACATGAGAGACAGATCAATTAAGATGAAAATAAAATTGTCGCCTTTTCCAAGTGAAAGCTTTTGTATAGAAATACCTTTGTTGTAGAGGAAGACTTGGTTTGTTCTAGGCACCTTACGGCTTGCTTTCATCGATGTCCTCAGCACTAGAGAACATGGATAAGTTAACAAGATCAAGAGTAAGGATTGTGTTTTAAAACTGCAATTGTCGCTTTTGCAGATACATGTATTGGAGTCAGGAAGGGAGTTCATCCATCGATACCAAAATAGAACGAGCCGATATGGATGGAATGAACAGAGTTGTCGTCAAAAGCTGGAATTATTACTCTCATACCACTAGGTCTCCAAATGGCCTCGCCCTAGATAAAGAGCAAAATCGTCTGTATTATTTCGACGATTACACAGACCGTATCTATTACGTTTCACTGAGTACTGGCGCCGAGAGCACTCTATTGATCAGACCGGGCAGTCCCAAGGGAACAGTCGTACATGGAAGTTACATTTATTGGACAGAGACACAAGGTCAAAGTGGTGCGGTCTACAGGGCTGATAAGAAATCAGGAGAAAATGTCGAGAGCGTGGTCAGCGGCCTTGTTGGACCGGAAGATATCTGCGTTTACGACGCAAACGACTCGTTGCTCCAGACAGGTACGTTTCATGCTGGGTTATGAGAAAGCAATAGTGCTTGTATTGAAAAATCTCATGGATACATTTTTAACTTCCCCTATCTTCCGGTCTTGCGTTTGTAGTCTACTCTTTTACTTAGCTTATCTTATCCTCTTCTCTAACTGTCTTCAAGCACTCTCTCATATGAATCTCCTTTTTATCTCCCATTACAATGGCCTTCTACCTGAAAACATTGAATTTAAGTTTCCCTTGACATGATTTTGTTTTTGTAAAATTGCAGTGAAATCAAATTGTAGCAGGAACAATGGAGGTTGCAGCCATCTTTGTTTGCTCACTCCAGGCGGGCATCGATGTGCATGTCCAAATGAAATGAATTTGAAGCCCGACGGGAAAACTTGTAAGTCAGAAACAAGAAGAATCGTTGATAGCTACACGAGATGAAAGATATATTTAAAGTGAGATATAAGAGCGCCTCAGCCAAATATATTCTAGGTTTGCAACGCTCAACATAAAACTCGAGACATCCTGTCAGAAATACGCTCATCTTCACCGATTCCGTATCGCGTCTAATGCAAGAAAATTTGAATTGCATATAACTCGGCATCACAGGTGTAAAATTTTCACCAAGTATGGTCTCTGTAAATGGTGAAACAAAAACCCTATCTTAGCGATAATGTTTGGGCTAGATAACTGATATTCATCGTATACCATTGCAGGTCATTTTAGCGAGTTTTTACTTTTCGCCGACTCAACAAGGAAGAAGATATACCTGATTAATATCGACAACCAGCATTCACAAGTGGTACCCCTGGAACTAGGTAACCTTCAAGAGCCCGAAGCACTGGACTTTGATCCGCAGACTCACTCCATTTATTGGTCTGACCTGCAGTTCCGTCAAATAGCACGCGCTAATCCTGACGGAAAATCAAAGAAGATCATTGTTAACAGCGGTCTCCAACGACCCAGAGGCATTGCAGTTGACTATGCTGGAAGAAATTTGTATTGGACAGACTATGACGGCGAAAGGATTGAAGTCGCAAAACTTGATGGATCACAGAGGAAGGTTTTAATCTCTCGAAATATTGAGAAGCCTGTGGACATTGTGTTAGACTTGAATAACGGGTAAGAAAGATAATACTTCCCAGGATTGGCTTCGTTGTCTTTTCTACTTAAGGCACTTTGGATCAGATTAACTATAGCTACGTTTTGTTTCGAGGTCATTTTGTCGACGATGGCAGCAACCAGCCATGCAGTTGCAAGGATACTTTAAGACTTTAGAGGCTGATGAACATTAATTAAAGCTTGCCTATGCAAGCTTAGTTGCTCACTCCTTAATGCTTTGCACAAATATTTTTATGAAACATGTAACGACAAGGTATTCTTTTTTTCATTTTTTCCAGTCTTATGTACTGGTCGTCGTGGAGTACACAGCCAAAAATAGAGCAAGCATCCATGGACGGAAGTAATAGGAGTACGGTTGTTTTGTTTCAAAGAAGCTGGTGGCAGCGTTCCGCAAACCCTAATGGATTAGCTTTGGATCCCGAAACTAGCAGGCTCTTTTGGGTTGACACGACTAAATCTCTGATACAGTACACGGACCTTGGACTTGGCGACGGTTCCATAACCACTCTCCCTGTACCAAGTTTCTACTTATCAAATGCTTATGGGTTGACTTTGAAAGACAATACACTGTATTGGAGCACCTCTGGATCCATTTATGCGGCAGACAAGAAGACGGGTGGTAACGTGCGTCGTTTAGTAAGGAATATTGCGAGTCCTCGAGATGTTCACGCATATCATAACTATTCAGCAATTCCAGGTAAGAGGAAGAATCAGTTTTAGTTCATTCGAATTTCCTGTCTCAACTTAGTATGCCGAGCCAACTTAGATGACTGTCAACTTAGTGTTTTCAACCATTAAAACGAACACACCATATGCTAGTAAATCTTGAAACTATGATTATTTTGATGTTAAGAGTACTGCAATTATCATTGTACCGCCTTCGTTTTATAGTCTTTTTTTTATAGTCAGCTGATTTTCTCCACTTGAGCTTCTCATTGCATCAATTCGTAAACTGTTTTAGTTAACCAGATATTGGGAAGTTTCGTTTTTTAGATCGGCCACCTTATCGACATGTATTTCCTTTATTACACCTGAGCGAATCCTTTAAAATTACCTCTCGCTTGATTCTAGCCGATCTTTCTTCCTTGAAAGCTTAATCTTTGCTCTGTTTTCTTTCAGATGACCACCCTTGCTCTCTGTTCAATGGATGGTGCACACATCTTTGTCTGTTAAAACCAGGAGGGTATCAGTGTGCGTGTCCAACTGACACCGGAGATATTCCCTGCAAGACTACACCTGTTATTCCACCTTCGTCCACACTGTCGCTCTCGCCTTCGCGGTCGCCTTCGCCATCCTCGTCGCCATTGTCAATATCATCCCCACCATCAACAACGTCTTTCACATCTACGCCATCTTCCATGTTAGCTTTTTCAACATCGTCAAAGTCACCACTGCAATCAAGTCCTCCATCTCCATCACCACTACCGATGCAAACATCGTCGTTATCGCCGTCACTGTCAGTTTTCAATTTCCCAATTTCATCATCCTCTCTGTCGCTGTCATCGTCATCGATGTCGTCGCTGTCCGTTTCTTCCCCGCAACAGGAACCTGCTTCATCACATACGTTATTGAAGCGGCCCTCATCTTCCATCGTATCATTAACACATTCTTCCGTGATATCAACTTTACCACCCCTAGTTGATGCGTGTATTTCAAGACCATGTAAAAATGGCGGTACATGTCTCGAGGGAAACGAGGGTAGCTATACCTGTCGGTGTGCCTTAGGATATACCTGGCCTCATTGTGAGCTCAATATAGGTGAGTGCCAACTACTGAGAGATTTTAGTCAAAGTAAAGGTCTCCAAGTTTTCTTCAGAGTAAGATAACGATTCTATATTTTATAGGTCACTGGTAGAATTATACTTAAGGATTTTATAAAGACGAGTCCAAAGTGACATTAAAGATATGCAAACTTATTGGAAATTTTTTGATATACAGCCCCCATACGGCTCGTTACGTTGTGATTTGCACCGAACTGTAAAATTAGCGTGCTATTCCTTGAAATAAACCCAACTCCCTTCCTGCTCATCCAAAGAAAATATCTCAGCCTACCTAAGTATCAGGTAGAAGGAGAGGATTGAAACGAGGAAATTGGTCAAAACCTCCAGATTTAGTGCTGAGGTAAATCTATGTCATCTATGAGAGTCGTGAAACCCAGGAATCTATGTAATAATTCCTTTCTTTTCAAATGTTTCTGTTTGTAGGTGACAATGTCGTGAGTATAGCATTCAAAATGACCACGGCTCAAGTAAGTGTTTTAGAAATCTTCTTTTCCTCACCATGAAACCTTTTAAATCGCGAAAATTGATATCATGTCTGATATGACAATGCCTTTGCACCATTAATTTGAACCCAAAAAACCCAATGCACAGAGGGTCACGCAAATTGAGACTCGTGGAAAAAAAACTAGCTGGGGTGGCGGATTTTATTCACATAAACAAACCAAAAGACACAAAGAAAGAGTAGCAGAAAAAAAAAAACGAAAAAAAATTATCTCTGCATAGAGTGTGGAATAATATCTAAGCTTTCAACAAATTTTCATTTTGATTTCATTTTCTTTATTCAAGTGGAATCAAGACACTCTCAGGAAGAGCATTGCAAAAGCATTCACCGAGTACTGCACAAAAGACCAACGCCCTTGCAAACTTCGTAAGAGGTATTGGAATTCATCAAACTGATAGGTTTATTAAAAGCTACGTTTATGTAACTTTATGGACCGCATCTCTTACTCTTTAAGAGCACATCATCTTCACGTTTATGAGAGTGAAATAGCATAGGTTATCAATAAGGTAAACTAAACGTTATAGTGATTTAGAATGTTTACTCTCTATACAACGATATTGTGCAACTTGATGCTCGATGCTACTTCATTGAAACATGGCGATGTAAGATTTGTTATTTACATCAGTTGTTTTAATTCCCTAAATTGTTAGGCTGAACGATATCAGAACCCGATCAACACCGCGCATCGATGATATCAATGTTTTCAGAACCGAGGACGTGTTAGTGCTTGGAAGGCATTTTGAAGGACACCAACGCCTATTCAGCATCGTTCTGGCAGTGTTGGTACCTGAAGAAAAGCAGCGCCAGTCATCTCTAAGACAAACCATCTCGGCTGCTATTCTCTGCAAAATGATAGTAAAAACGTCAAAACGTATTTCAGAGTATATGGATAACGTTGAAATAGTCTTAATCAATGGTGAAAAGGAGCCAACTTGTGCGTCTAACCCAGTGGACGATGATGAACAAGAAGGCATAAACGGACAAATCAGTGGGAATAAAGAAAGAAAAGTGGATAGTCAGCATGAAGAAGGGTTATCTTCTGGTGCTACAGCTGGAATTGTTTTGAGTATCATTTTAGTTATCATTCTCGTGGGTGTTAGCTTCGTCTTAGTGAGGTGAGTGCTTACCTTTGGTGAGCTAGTCGTTGTTTGACTATGAAAAGAAGCCGCGAACAAGTAATTCAGAGCTTATGATGCAAGTTTTTCCTTGGCCGGCTTTAGGATAATGCCCTCCTTATTAAGAATGAAAAAATCTAAATTAATCCTATTTTCCATTTAACATATAAATGGGTCTACAAATGAAAGGATGTGATAGTCCTGATCCCTTAATTTACTTAGTTTTTCAGTAATGATTAAGCGAAATGATATAAAAATAGTTCATTCATTTTGGTACAAACGTTTGAGCAGCTTTTTAAGGATTTTTAAAAAATACAAGATCCTTGTGCACTACATTAGACCATGAAAATAAATTGCTTTATAATCGTTCGATTGACTAAGATATCATTAATGAGACAAAACGGGACAACGTTAGTTATAGGCTCTATAAAATCATCAGTGAGATCGGATGTTTCGACTCTGAGGAACTAATTTCGTTTTAAGTGTCATTCAAAGAAAAGCTGCAATAATACAGGATTTTTCTGATATTCTCTTTCATTTTTTTTATTTTTCCAAAGGTCACGGGAAAAGGGGTTGAAAATTTTTAGAACTCCTTTCACACTTTCATTTAACAATCCTGGCTTCGAGCCTCATCATTCCAATCTTCACGACGACAATTCAGGAGGAGTTCCCTTCAGTATTCCAGAGACTTACGAGCCTTACGAGGTAGTAAAAAGTCCATCTTCAATAAGCGAAAGACAGTTTCAGAACCCAGAAACATCTGTTTACGAGCAAGAGTGCGCGAATCCTTTATATCTCGCAAAGAGTAAAGATGGTGATTTCCAAAGCTCAGCTGGCAATCCAATTTATGAGTCCATTAACGGGCACGGGAGTGGGAATCCAAAGGGACCAAGAGCTGAATCTGATTATGGAAGCTTGGCCAAACGAAAATTTCATCCCAATGGCGACCGAAATGAAGAACCACAGTATGCTAAGCCATATAAAATAAAACCTCGTTCGCCCTCTGGGTTTAATTCCCCTGAAGCGCAAAATGGCAACACTTATGCCCAGCTTGGCTTGGGGAGCGTTGTGCAACCTAGCCAAGATAGTGGTTTTGAGCAGCCTGGGTACGCGTCACTGGCTCCCTTCTCTCGAAATATCCACGGAGGCAATGGCAAAGGTGTTAGTTCTCGCAAGGGTATTTCCTCGCAGGATAATTTTTGGCCTCAAAACACTGTGCATCCCCAAAATCCCGAAAGCCAGAACGAAAAACCAGTGAGTCCAAGGAAAGCTTGTTTCCTTGGTTACCCAGCGAGCCGCCTGGCAGATGAGAATTGTAGTAAAGAGCAGTTAAGTAGTAAACAGAAAGTCCGAAGTACAACTTTAAAGGACAAGGAAACGCCTGTCTTACATCTTCCTACTGAGCCTGGTCCTGAAGAGACGATTATTTGAGTATTGTAAAAAATTTATTTCACTACTTTGAAAGACTAAGCGACGAACGCATCAACGAGGAAGACAATGTTTTTAAGCATAGACTCAGACTAGTCTAGAGAAAGTTTATAAGTTGCAAACAATGCCACATCTCTAGTTTTGGCAGTTATTTAGAAAATTGTTTATGGAATGGAATAAAAAAAAAGCTATTTTTTAAACTCGCTGAAGAAATAGAGATGTACTTCGTCACCAAGAAGAATCGATCCTTAGACCTTCAGATTCCGCGTTCCGATGCTCTGCTTCTGTGGCTATCTTAGCCGCAGTGACTCTATGGTGAGCCTGAAGCCCATCATGGAGTATTTCGTTATAAAATTTTATATTCATTTATTAATTAATGTATCACTCAGAAATTTCAGTGCCATTATACCATAGTTTAGTGTCTCGCTTTTGAGGTCGTTCGATGAAGTAGATAATACCAATGATATACTATTAATTATAATTTTAGATTCAGCGGCTCCTGAATCTAACATTTGCATAATTTTGATAGAAAAAAATTGAAAATGATTTTTATTACAGATGCACAGAATAAACTTAAGATATTCCTGATAGGAAAGTAGGTAAAGATTCTTTCAAGAGTGTAGCTTGGTTAATCCGCTGCTGCGTTTAACTTATTAGACATTGAATTATCAGCCTTCCAAATTCATTGTACGAACTGTTAATATTAATATTGAAGCGATCACAGGCGTCATTTAAAAGGTAATGAAAAGGTAGTTTAAAGCAATGCAGTCCTAGTTAACATGTAATGTCTAAAATATATTAGAGGACAGTTTCATGTACATTGAAAATGATCCCAAATACATAAACCGCATCGTATCAGAAACATGATGGTACAATGTTTCCTTCATTGTGATTCATTGACCCACAATGTTGCTGTACCTCAACTCTTTGCCAATTTCAGGGTCATTTCCATTTATGATACAACTCAACAGAACTTTTTCTGGAGATATCAAACGATTTTCATCCTGGTGGTTTTCCAGATTCAAAAATACAAAATGAAGTCTGTCTTACCAGGATATCAAATTATATTGAGCGTCATGGTATGAAAAAGCAATTCTGAAATTATTCGACAAACGATCGAACGAACTAAACAAGACGAAATCAAGGAAAATTTAACTACCACCATATGTCATGTATTTTCAGACTGCCGTAAAGCTGCACGGATCCCTAAGACACTTAGCGAAATTGCCTTTTTTCAGTAGTCACACAGTAACATAGCATTTTTTTTAGGTAAGGGAAGGGAGGGATATATGTGTTCAACCATGTATAACACAAGCTATAACAAGACAGTTTTAATGGGAGGGAAGGGGTCAGTAGGGCGGTGGAAGTACTCAAGGCATGTTGAACACAATTAAGAAAATGTAAATGCATCAATCACGATGCAGAATTAACTTTCCAAAATTTTTAGAACTGTGCACCACATTCGATAGAACAAAGAAAGCGATTTCCTTGATATAAGCTCTACAACTGTGCTCTAAGAGACAGAAATCTCATCTTGAGTGACAACCAACCACAAAGCGGGAAATATTCAGCTCAGTTTATAGTGATCATACAAACAATTGCTCTCCAAAACTAGATAACCAGCTGTTCGGCTTTTCTTGCGCAGTTGAGATTGTCAGCATTGTCCAATTCCCCTTTTTATAAAGGAAGCTTTAAGAAGTTTAGCTTCCGCGGCATTTATTGCGGAAGTTTTTTTGTGCATGCCCACGTTTAAAAGTACGTTCGTTTCTTAATTTAGCAAAAAAAGCATACCTACAAAGAGAAAAGTTAAAGAAGTTTGCTAAGGATAAGCTGTCAGAGTGTAATGTCCTAAAACCCCTTTCCAGTTGACATTCTTAGCATCTTTGTCGCCATAATTATGAGAGTTTTCCTTTCTCATGTAGCCTGTAGATAGTCAAAATCTGTCATCTTTGTCAGGTTTTGCACCAGAAAGTAAACCTTCCCACGTATATTAATAGGGAGTAGTTTTCATGAAAAACCCCCATACAAGGGCCCATTAAGTTTATATTGTCAAGTAAGACTTCCCGTTGCAAGGGCCTTTATCGATCACAATGAAACTGAACGTCCAGAGTATTTCTAACTTTTTCATACATCTTTTTCTAATCCACCCGGCTCTTCTTTACCAGCGCTGTCTGAAAACTCTTCATTTCCTTTTTCATTTTCAAACAGTGTTGCTGCTTCCAGTTCTTCTCATTACTTCTTCGTCTTCCTCTCCTTGTTCTTCTTTTGCTTTTTTTATTTACCCTGTGCATGCGCTGACATGTTCATGCTTCCTGATCGCGAAGCATTAGTTACGCAGACGTGAACCATATCATGAAATACAATAAACTGGACAGGGAAACGTGTCTTGCTGTGCGCCATGCAATCTTAAAAAAAGAGAATGGCCACATTACTCAAATAACCTTCAATGTCATCTTGATCACAGTTCTACAGGTAAAGAGAAATCGATTCGTTCTTTGTTATGAAATCCGTTTGTTATGGCAAGACAGTCAGGGATCATATCTTGCCTTTAATTTTGTTATGTCTCCACAGCTTGCGTTTTTGGCTATGCAAATTTTGGTATTTACTTCGCGATGAATAATTACGTTTAGCAAGACAGCGAGCCGAAGTAGAGAAATAGAGAAAAGTGGTTATTTAGGAAGTTTCTGTGGCTCGACTTAAGGTAGGAAAACGTTTAATTTGATTTTTAAATTTTTGACGTACCTCCTCTTAATTTTTCCTCCAACTGAATATCCATCAAGGCATTGAAATTATTCTGTTTTAAACGAAGTCTCAACAATCATATCTCATCCGATCGAATCGAAAGCATCTAGTACAATTCTCTGTTTCGACTCATCAGCGCTTAAATTTGTGATAAGATTCCGTTATTAATATTGTCAATTACTAAAGTTGTTTCCGCCACTGAAGACAAATTTTGAAGTCTGCATTATTTTGCATGACAAAATGTTTTGTTCGCTTAACATTCAAACACTTCTTAGCATTGTAAACAATAGGAGGACTAAAGTGATAGTAGCCAGCGAATTCCTTCTTGACATATAAGTTTTTCCATATCAACGTCCAAGGTATTTACTACCGAATATTTAATCTATTTATCACGTATATCATATCTAGCTATTTTTGAATTGACTAGGCAATATACTAAGCTTGCACGATTATAAAACGAATAACATCGAAATAGGTACAATATCTGTGATATAAGACTGACAAATACATGGACTCTCCATAGGATCGCTGTATTGCAGTGTGGTAGTCACCAAGGAAAGTAGAAACATGCAGCAACAGACGTTTTATAAGCAGTTTCATCCTTTGGTACTTTTGACGTTGGCCGTACTTGTTTCGAGAAATATCGGAGGTGAGTTATTCCCAGTTGAGTTAAAATTTGTTAGACTTAATGTCGATGAGCCCACTGAATTGCGAATGTTTTTTTCCCAATTAAAAAGTTTCACGTTTCAACACCCGGGTTCTCGGGCACGCGGCCGTTTAATTAACGAATTTTATGTTGTCCTTGTGGCAAGATTTATTCCTCGTGACAAGAGGATGGCGGTAAGAGATAAGAAACACTAAATTACCACATTGGCTCTTCAGGATCAAAGAAGTTCAAAATCTGCAAGAAAGCGACAATATTTTTATAAACATCGATTTCCTAAAGGCAGTAAATAGACTTTCGAAAGTTCATCGAGAAAAAAAAAATATTCGCACGGTGGATAGAAAAATTGGTAATTTAGAGTTAGCAACTGAGTTGAAAACGTAAATTGACCGTAAAGAGTTTAAAGGCTGAAGTTTCGAGCGTTAGCTCTTCGGCAGAGTGATTGAAAAATAGGTCGCTTTAAACTGATGAGCCTACGACTGAGGCAAGCAACATCCACAGTCTGAAAAAGTTTCATCTTCACGCCGAGATCCTTTTATTTAATGCTTGTCAAGCTTACTTTTACCCTGAGAAAATAAGGTCAGTCTTATGATAACCTGAAATCTCGAAACCGTCTCTGTGTAAGCGATTCAGCCGAATGTTATTCAACTGATTCTACCGAATTACGAAGAAAAGAATTACGTTTAGATTTAGTTGTAAACTTTGTAAACAAGAAACCTTTTAAATACAGATGTCAAGAAATATGCTGAATCATCCTATATTACGTAGGAAGCCATGTTGTGTATTGCGGAGCCGACATTGTTTACACATAAAGCCGACGTCATAAGTTGAGTGGACGATTTTTGTAAACAATCCTCTAACAAAACATTACATAACTAGGGAAAAGTCCAATTGGTATCTAGCATTGAATGACGCTAAATTTTTTATAGCCTGTCATTAGCCAAATATCGTCATTTCTTTATTTATAATTGATTTGAAAAATTCTCCTTTAACTCAGGAGTTCTCAAATAATATTGGACTGAGACACTTGGTCGATTTTTTTCATGTCAATTGATGTCACAAATTTATAAGCAATCCAGGGTTTCAAACGTTTCAAATAGGAATAACGCCGCAGACAGCCGTCGTTGCAATGGAAAATTAGAATAGAATCGAACATTTATACCAAATAGTGCAATATATCGTTGTAGTCATCTTGAATGAGGAACATGTTATGCAGTAATTTATTTTGTTTGTCATGTTAACAATTCAGATATGTAAATGAATATCGGGAAAACAAAGATTTAAAAACCATTATCGATCAAGGATAATAGTTGGCATGGGAAAACTTTCTCAAAGAAAGAAATGTAGATGCAAATGGGAACGAACGGTGCCAGGCATCTAATTTCTCGAGCTGTGACTGATGCACTTCCTTGCCTAAAAGTTATTTTTGTTTATCTTGCATTTGAGTTACAATTTTCTTAACTCTAGTTTCTATTAAGAATTACGTGAAACGTTCTTGTGCTCCCGAAGAGCTTTTCAAATCTTTATGTCCACTAGGAAATAAAACTTCAAGTTTGGTTTATTTGAATCAGTCCGTGATAGCAAAGTCTAAATAGAAATTGAATCCACTATTTTATGTAACAATAAGGACTGTGGCTCCTGTTGGGAAGAAAAACAAGTTAAAACAAGTTCCGTCACATCATAGGACATAATAGGTCCTCGTGCTGCTATGACTATGTAGCCTGGGGCATGATTCCTCGTCAGGTTTATGTAAATTTAGGGCATACTAGCATACTTGTTTTAAAAATTCGTAGCACTAGCATATCACATTCGAATGGAACTTGTCTCGTATCAAGAAATGGTCCATTGTCATTGGAGAACAACATTGCCTCTGTTATTTTAGATAAAATTTTTCCATAAAGCCTGCACTTGACGAAAAATGTTTAAAAATCTTATGCTGGTAAGGGGTCAAGATATTACCAGGCCTTGAGAATTTATCGAAAAAAAATTCCAACCATCCGAGGAGTACATTGCGTTTGTGAAAATGCCACTCTTCTTTTAAAAAAAGATTGACTGATTGACTTGATTGACACTAGTGTTTCTGCATCGCAGGTTCGCATGGCTGTCAGAGCGACCCAAGCCTCTACTTCATTGACGATCACAATATCAAATGTGCCACTGTCAAATCTTTGCAACAACCAAACCCTTCCTTTCAAACGGTAGTCACTAAAATTGCTGAAGGAGCAGGGATTGATATTGATGTGCGAAACAGAATGATCTATTGGAGTGACACCACGGCGTGGACGATAAACCGAATGAACTTGACTTCAGGAGAAATAAAAGTCATTGTTAGGCATAATGTAGGAGAGGTTTACTCCCTGGCTGTTGAATGGGAAAGCGGCTTGATCTACTGGACGGATTATATCTATGAGAGAATAGAAGTAGCTAAACTTGATGGGAGCTCCAGGAAAACTCTTGTAACACAGAACGCGCGTTCGCCTGTTGGAATTTCAGTCGATCCAAGAAATGGGTAGGTAATTATGGTCTCGGAGTCGTGCATTGCTTTTTCTATTCTATCTTTATCCTGAGCAAGTTTTATTGGGTAGGAAAAATTTGACAAGTTTTTCCGCCAAGTTCACCAGTATAAGACGTATTAGTCACGTTTTTGAATAAGGAGGCTGGTTGGGGCAAAGACATCTCTGTAAAGGCAAAAAGCCGCCGATCTCAGTGTTATGATGAGTTTTGTAAAAGGAGAAGCACTACGCTTACTGAGAACAAACTCGGTTAAAAAATCTGTTGAATTAAAGAAGAAAGAATTTTCACGAATTCGCCTTATAGAACAAGGCTGCCCTCAGGACCTCGTCGAAGAGATCTTAGCCGAATTACAATTCTCATCACGCAACACGCAAACAAAACGAAAACATTTAGAAAGATTTTGCCGTTCGTTACGACTTTCAACCCTGCTAACAAGAATCTTAAAAAGATTCTTATGAAACAATGGCATCTTATTTAAGGCAACAATTGTTGCTTATCGGAAGGACAGGTCTCTAAAAGATTCTCTTGTTATAGCGCAACTTCCTTCACTTTAATTACAAAACAGCATCGAGGAGTTATAATATTAATTCATAATATGTAGAGAGACTGCGTAATATATCGTAGGTATTTTTTTTGCAGATACATGGTTTGGGTGGAGCACGATTACGCAACGAGGAAGATAATGCGTGCAGATTTGACAGGCGAAAATCCTGTAGAGTTGCAAAAACAATTTTATGGCTTGCCTTTATATGTCATTATTAATCACAGCGATAGTCGAGTGTACTGGACCGATATTCATCGTTCATTTACTTTTATTGGGTCAATTGGAATTAATGGAAATCATTTCAGATATGAGAAATATCTTCATCCAGCTTATTTCCCATTTGATTTGGCAATCTCTCAAAATATCTTTTATTGGGCTGACCAGAATTTGCATGGAGTCTCGTGGTTCAATCAGAGTTCGTCTTCCGGTGTGGTGAATCTTCAAAATCTATCTCCTCTTGATTTAATTGGAGTGGCAATATCTGATTCATCAACTCAACCAATAGGTATTTGATAAACATCTTTGAGATGCATGATTTCATAAAGTGTCATGCGGCAGAAACGATTTGAAGTCAGAGTATGAAGAGAGGGTTTAGTCACTATGTGCCTACCTAAACCAAAAGAACTTGCAAAAATGTTTGGGGCAGTATTTCAACTAATATGAGGGCTAAACATCTTTCCTTTTAACTGATGAGAATGCAGTAAAAATGAATGACTTTCCAACACCGTTTTCTTTCTACCCAGATTTAATTATATAAAGCCAGCAGGTTTTAAAAGCCTCTAGTGTAACTCGTTTATTCCTTCGAGGCAATGTGACGTTAAATTTTTTTTGTTAGTACTGTTAAAATGTCTCTCGAAATCACCATCTGACGTATACGTACTTTTCAAAGCTTCTTGTAGAGACCAGTGGCATAGTTAAGTCCTAAGCAAATTTCATCCACGACCCGCTTTCATTGGCAAACCCTATTGTTAAAGAAAATTCTAAGTGGCAGTTAAATGACAAAATCTTTTTTCATGGAGGAACGTTTCCCATTCGACAAAGAAAAAAATATCAAGGGAACACTCATCAGGGAAATTGATCACTGTAAATGAGTCCTCTTTCAGTGAAAACGGCGCAAATTTATATTCTTCTCTATTTTCAGCGATCCAGGAAAATCCGTGCGTAGTCAATAATGGAAATTGCAGCAATTTGTGCCTGTTAACTCCAGGAAGGGCAAGAAAGTGTGCCTGCCCTGAAGGAATTAAATTAAGGAATGACAGCATCACTTGTGAAAACGGTAAGTGAGTACAACCCAGAAATGACTTAGATGAGAATACAAATGATCATTGATTAAGCTAGGACTAGAGTACCTATTACTGCTGCTGTTTACAGTACTCCACGAAATTATTACAGTTTTAGGGTGTAGACCATAAATCCTACGCTCTAAACTTTTCAACAAATTCATGACGCCAAAAGCACATAACCTAGGTTATATGCTTTTGATGCCGCTGAATTCATAAAAACTCCTTAAACAGTACTATGCAGATAAAAAATGAAAGTTTGTGGCCTTATAAAGAAAATCACTTTAACGATATCATGTCACATTTCATGAAATACGTCCAGACGTTCACTCTGAAGTGAAGATTGCGCCTCTAAGTAAAAATGAATACTAACTAAGCCAATGTCTTGGAGTCTAAAACAGCGTATAATGAGAGACAAAGCAGTAGTGAAAAACTGAGAATGGCGACGATAGTTTTTAGGCGAAACGTGAATCATTTCATCATGGCTCTAATGCAAGAATATGTTTGGTTCTGTAGAAACTGCGGCTGCAACACTACCACCGCCCCTTCCAGGTATGTTCTCAATTCTTAGCATATTAAGCACTTTAAATTAAGGTCGTGAATACAATGGTCAAAATATCGCTAGCTTTGCACGAAGTTGCTATCACAGATGCAGTCCAGGGAGCATTTTGTTATCAAAACAGCAAGAGATTCACGTCATTACCGACTGCCATTAATGACTGTATATTCTATAAGTGCAAATCAGAATTGACGAAATTCATTGATGATAAGTGTTCTTCATCACACTTAAAGGAAAATGAACGATTTTCAAACTCGTTTCCGATCAAGTTGTTTTTGCTAACCTCTCAGGATTCACACAAGGTTTCATGTTGGTGCGTGGTCTTTTTCGTTCAGTTAAGTTTTGATTAAAATATGTTGGAACGGACAACTCTAAAAAGTTCCATATATACAGGAAGCCAACATAATTAAAAGTTGCTATGAACACTAGGAAGTTAAACGCCACTACTTACAGACTTATGTTGCTTGAACCTCTAGCCATACAAGTTCGCCTCAGGCCCCGGAGCGCCTTCGAGGAAGGTAAAGGCCGTGTCGAGGTTCTCTATAACGGAGTTTGGGGAACAATTTGTGATGACTACTGGGGTCTCGACGAGGCGCACGTTATCTGTCGCATGTTGAACTATTCGGGAGCACAATTTGCACCCCGGAATGCATTCTTTGGCCGTGGATCAATTTTTATGCCAATTCACTTAGACAATATTAAGTGTCGAGGTGACGAGTCGACAATTGCTGCGTGTCGCCATAATGGTTGGGGCCAAAATGATTGCTTACATTCAGAAGATGCCAGTGTGGTATGTTGGACCGACTCGGCTCCTCCTATTCAAGGTATGGAGCCTCTTGTAGTACAGCGTTCTCGCGATGAACAATTCCTCTTTATTGTTTGTTCGTCGTTTAAAGGATAGTTGCTATATTTCTGATTTGTAATTGTAACAATAGAATATTTTGATTCACCAGAATTGCAAGAGTGTACCAGGAGTCTCTAACTTCTGTGTTTAGAAATGGCTCAGTTACTCTTTCATTCACTCCTTTCTTATTGAAACCATGAGAGTTACCAACACCAAGAGGTCTTAATTTTGTAATCCCTCTGTTAAAGTTGTACATTCTGCCTTCCAGTGTGGATAAGGATGCTCATTGCTGAGCTCTGTTCCACAAGTACGATCAAAATGTTCAAGTTCAGCGATCGTATGATAAAAAGCCAAATATTTTATTCTACTTTGCAGAGCCAACTTTGGCCCCTGGACCCTATCCAGGTACTTGTCTCTTTTGAATTTTGAAGTTAGTTGATCACTGTATCTTGTTCCACGTATAACAATGTATGTAAAGTTACGCTGTGTACTATTGAATGGCCTCCTGCCGGCGCCTTCTAGCGAAGGTGATGAAGATGGTGGTAACAACATTGAAGATGGCGGCATTGACCACTTCATTCTGCAATAATACCTTGAAGAAACGAGGAATCAAAAGCGGTCCTTCACTGCGAATAATTTGCTGAAATTAGACCATTGAGTATGATTTTCAAGACTGTATAATTTCGAGATTGATTATTTCGATCAGTTCCTTGCTAAATTCGATCAATCGCTCGAGAGCTAAGGAGAATTCACATTGGGTGATACAGACATGGGTTGGTTAAAGCTAACACTCTCAGTGTAACCAGAATCTTCCCGTAGGGAAGTCCAAAATATCTACTGCGATGTAAATGTAGTATGATGAGTCTTTAGAAATGTATAATTTAATAGTTTTATGATTCCTTGTCTCACTTCAGAACTAAAAGTGCGATTACAAGGTGGAGACAATTATTATAAGGGTAGAGTTGAAATTTACCTGAATGGAACCTGGGGAACAGTATGTGACGACTCTTGGGGAATTGAAGAAGCCAATGTCATTTGCCGAATGCTGAACCACACAGAAGGAGCCGTCAGCACGCAGTGCTGTGGATTCTATAATGGATATGGCGTTTCCGAAAAGATTTGGCTGGATGATGTTCACTGCGTTGGAGATGAAAATAGCATCGCGGAGTGTCGCCATGGCGGCTGGGGAAAACACAACTGCCGTCACTCAGAAGATATAGGGGTCGTTTGCAAGCATGCTCCATTATCAACACCAGGTATACCTCGTTTTTCTTTCTTTCTCTTTTTTTCAATTCCCCAGCCACCGTTGCCTGTCTCCCTTCCTTCCCATTTCAAATATTTCTTTATTTACACTTAAGTCCAATATCGGCTTTGTTATACCGAAATTATCGGAAGGACAATTTTAAATCCTGAAATCGCTTGTTTATTTACCGTTTAGCTTCAACTCATCTAATCTGTGCCATGACATTCAGTTAAATTTCTAAGATTAAATTTAGGCTATTTCTTGTCCAGGAATAAGTGGTTGTGCTGTTGACTCTCCTCTCCGGGTAATAGGTGAACGCACAGATGCAAAGAAAATTGAATGGGATAGAAAGAGAGGCAGGGATAACCATGCCCTCACACGAGTGACACCACCTAGGCACACTTAGCCACTTTGATAACAGAGGGGCTTCTATTCTTTCTCCCTTCGTTTTTGTAATATAAGTCTATTGTGTTCATTATTGTTTTCTATCAAGATAAAATTGTGCGACTAGCAGACGGAGCTCGAGAGAGCGAGGGACGTGTGGAAATATTCCATAATGGAGAGTGGGGAACGATTTGTGATGATCACTGGGATATCAACGATGGAGATGTTGTATGCAAAATGCTAAATTACTCGGGAGCACTGCGAACTCCCAAACAGGCTTTCTTCGGTCCAGGAAATGGTAAAATTTGGCTTGGCAATGTGAAATGTAGCGGGAATGAAACAAGTCTTTTGCAGTGTGGAAACCCGGGTTGGAATGTTGACATTTGTGACCACCACGAGGATGCATCTGTTATATGCGAAACTGAGGCACCACATTTAGGTAAATTAAAAACCCTTTGAGGGTCACATGGTATATGTTGTATAAACCTAATTTACTTAACTTTACAGTTCACCACCCTTTTACACTCTCAGAGTTTTGATTTATTTAACATTTAGCTCTATAGCCTCAACTACTTGCTAGGAACTCGAGCAACGAACTTCGGATCGCAAAGAAATTGAACAAAAGGATTAATGAAAGAGTGTTAGTACAGGTAATCCCACGACATTGTGAGAATTTTTCTACCTTTAAACAAGGTTGTGCAACCAGGTCATTTTTTTTAAGGTCAATTTTAGAGGTTTTTTAACCAGGTCACTTTTCGAAGGTCAATTAGATAAAGTAGATTTCGTTCGGAATTAAGAAAATTTCGGAATGAAAAGTAGTCTTGAGAACAGATATGTTTGTAAAATACTACAAGCCCCCCAAAACAGAAGATATTCGATGAAGAAGGTTAAAAGCGACTGTTTTTTTTTCTTCAGAATCCAAAAGTTTTATTCTAGCATGTGGACTCGGACGAGAACTTCTTTATCATGTCCCTCTTGATACGAATCTGCCTGAAAAAGGTGTGCCCCTGGCAATAGAGACTAACACTCCACTGGCAGTAACCTTTAACATTGAAGACAACTTGATGTACTGGACAGAACAATCTGGATCTATTCATCGTGCTTATTTGAATGGCAGCTTCAGGGAAGTCTTATTAACAGACCTCATCCGGCCCACGGCTATTGAAATAGACCACGTGGGTAATAACCTATACGTGGCAGATCAAAATGGCGTCACTGTATCGAAGCTTGATGGTTCATATCAGACTCTCCTGATCAACATGACATCTTGTCATGGAATTGCTTTAGACAGCGTAGCAGGGTAAGATTTCTTTTTCTTTTTTTTTATAATCTTCATTGCTTGCACACATATGCATCATAACATTTCCTGCACTCTGACTAAAAGTTTTCCCATTGAATTTATTTTCCACAGGTATATATATTTCACTGTGACTGGTATTAGTCCAAGAATATTACGCGCAGACATGGATGGTAAAAATCCGCTTGTTTTGGCCAATGTGTCCTCCATAAGAGGAACCATATTGGACATAGCATTGGACAAGGCCAACAATCGACTTTTTTACTCGGACGAAGGCAACAACATGGTGAAGTATATCAATTTAACCAGTGGAGTGCATCACGCTGTGCTGTACGGTAATCCTCGCAGACCAGTTGGTCTTGCCTTATTCAATGGAACCCTTTACTGGACCGGTGAAGGGACTGTGGAGTTGTTTAGTGGTGGCATCTATAAGGTTAAAGCTGACACTTTAAATGGGGGCATCGCTCGTGAGGTGGTGGACCTTCTTTCGTATCCTAAAGGAATATATGCTCATGACGCCCGAATGAAGATACCAGCAGGTGGGATCTTTATTAAAAAAAGTCTCGCCATAATCAGTTTTTGCAACAACAAAAAACAGTTTTAACCTTATGTTCTTTTTTTGTTTTCGTCTCTTATTTTTGTTTTCGATCATTGTCTGCTAAAGTGGGTTTCTTGGCATATGAGAGGAAAACTGATCGATAAAGAAGGAGAGAGAGCAGAGAGGACCAAGAAATAAGCTCACAAGTTACTCCAAAACCAGTCGTGCAGCATGAGAGAATTTGTGTCAGTTGTCTTCCGTAAACATTTTTTTAGAAAATGACTTCAAATGAATGGTATCAATCGTAGAAATCGGAATATAATTAAAAAAGAGACTTACACTATCCTTTACGAACCCAGGTTTTACTAAATGCTTTCGACTGTGCGCAAAGAAAGCGTTTCGTTGTGACGCGAAATTTTGTGCACGGTACGCATGCAATTGCTTGATTTTGTTTTATTTGATCTAGGTAAAAGTTGTAACAGCTCAGTGCATTAGCATTCGAGTCAAGGTATTACAAAGTATTCTGCTTTTGAATTACTTTCTACTTTTTTTTTTCCTTTAGACGATGATAGTCATCCTTGCGCTAGAAACAATGGCAGCTGTTCCCACCTCTGTTTAATAAACCCAACAGGCCACAGCTGCATCTGTGTCGGAGCAGGTTCATGCCAGACATCTGTCAGCTCATCAGCCTCTATTACAAGCGGTATGAATACGGCAACCGCCATGTCCTACTCATCAACAACTCATGCTACTGCAACATCAACAGAAATCCATGCTTCAGCCTCAGTTTCTTTATCAATCTCATCTCCGATGTCCTCATCATCATCTTCTATGACCTACCATATGGTGACTGAACACGCACACACAACAACAGTCAACTTTTTTCCTTCACCAGTGGCTCCGACGGCAACACGTGTAAGCCTTACACCTTCCCAAACCCCGTCTGATATCTGTGCATCGCAAAATCCTTGTGAGGATCGAGGTAGCTGCCAAGCTGATGTTATCGAAGGCTACAAATGCGTGTGCTTGGAATATTTTATTGGCCAAGACTGTTCAATAGACATAAGTATGTTATTTAGTTTGGTGGTTAAATAGTTATAGTGTTTGTCTTCCTTTGTAACTGTCATAAGAGGGGGAAGTGATCACGTTGGAGTACAGGTTCGCATATAAAATATATAGGCTTGTTAGATACGAAACTATGCCTTCAAAGCGTAAAAGCAACGACAACTAGTAAAATTACACTCTTACATGTTCTTCTTCATTGCCTTTTCATTCCAGTTAACATTTTTCTTCCTATTCTTACAACAGCTGATGAAGCAATTCAGAGTACATGGTGTGATTAACAAACCAGAAAGCGTGGAACAGAGGGGGGAAGGGGGTGGGCGTGGGAAAGCAGATTTTGTTTGAAATTTGGCAATTGTTTCATGGAAAGCTTAACCAGTGAGGTTCCTGGAAAAAGGAGTTCAATTCGTCTTTTTGATAAATGTATACAAAGTTTGAATACAAAGTCGCGTATATCTAGAGCCCTGTCTACATGGTAATTACCTGCAAGAATGCTCTTGTCTGTTATAGAGCGAGAAGAGGAGGTAAAACTTATCGCTTGATATTTTGATTTTCCTACACAGGTGAAGGAGTGGTGGTCCTTGTCATAAAAATTCAAGGAAATGAGGTAAGGGGGAGAGGTTACCGCTTAATATAGAGGAATCAGTCTCTAGGATTTTACAATAAGAACTAAAAATGCACCCTCTCTCGATATTATTATTATCAGGGAATTAAGAGGAAAGAGGTTATCTAATTTATTTCTAAAATTTGCTGATTACAATTGCATGTGCTCAAATTATCCAGACAACATAATAACCGATTAAAAACACCTTTCCTTTCGAAATCCTCAAAATGAAAAATTGTATTGCAAGAATAAGCTTACAGAGTAATAAATTTAAATTTTCATGAAATTTACTGTAAACGTTTTAATTCCATTCCACAGTTCAACAAAACCGACCTGAAGCAAGTCATCCTTCAAATCTTGAATCGCCTCTGTGAAGATCCCGAAAGCGAACAGTGTCCAATAACAACATCAGGGTAAGCAAATGCTGCTAAAGGCAAACCTATTTCCCCCGAGCAGGCCTGTTCTTTGTTCTGGAATTTCTTGTAGAGTTAACAGTTCAATGTGAACAAGGCCAAACTCATCGACTTTTCAAACTGTGGGCTTTGCTCGTCCATATCCTTTGTTTAACATTCACAAATGCCTCAAAGTTGGAAAACCACTAGTAAACACCACGAAATGATGAGGATATTTAGTATTGTCAACTGAGTTGATAACGTAAACTAGCCATCATAAAGAGTTTCAAAGCTGATGTTTCAAGCGTTAACCTTTCGTTAGCCCTTCGTCATTCGCTCTGACGAGGAGCGAACGCCCGAAACGTCAGCTCTGAAACTCTTTAGTGACCAATTTACCTCATAAACTCGATAATACTAAATTAGCCTGACTTTAAACATATGAAAATCATAAATGTGTGCTGCGGTTGAAGAAATGAATATAGAAGCGATCCTCGCAGTTATGAACACTATTGAACTAGTAGTTGAAATAAGGCCTGAAAAAAAAAAAAAAAAAAATTTTTTTGAACCCATGACCCAGCGCTCTACCAACTGAGCTAACTAGCCAGCTGGGAGCTGGTCATTATGTTGGATCCAAATAAGACCTTAAAGTGGGGAATAATGACTGTAAATATATGAAAATCATATATGTGTACCGCGGTTGAAGAAATGAATATAGAGGCGATCCTCGTAGTTATGAACACTACTTAACTACCTATTTTAAGTAATAGTTGAAACATTAGAGCCTTATTTCAACTACTAGTTAAGTAGTGTTCATAACTGCAAGGATCGCTTTTATATTCGTTACTTAATTAGCCTGTTATACTCAGTGACCGACGCAGCATCACAGTTTCTCTAGACACTTACCCCCTTTAACGACCAAACGATCGTTTCACAGATATGTCTGTTAAGCTTAATTTGAGAATCACAACAAAGATCTCCAGTAGCTACGAAGCTCTAATGGCAAACTGTAAGCTTTATTGAGGTGCCGTTTCCATCTTATAGAGGTGTTAAACTGTGGAGACCTTATTATGTTTTTATTTGCCAATTTCTTAAGCGGGGCAAGAAGAAAAAGAGAAGTGCCAAAGGAAACTTTCAGTCACGCAGAGGTCATAGTAAAGGAACCGAAAAAAATCAATGGTAACCTTCAAGTAGAGCTAGCCGTCATCAAACGGATGTCCAATGGTTCAATATCTGTTATATCTGGCGCAAATCTTGCCAGGATAGTAAACGCTTCGGCGGCAGAAATCGGTCATAAACTGGGAGGGACGTTATCAAGTGTCATGTCGAAATTCCCTGGACCAACAGCTCAGGCTACACAGTCTACCATGCCGGTTGATAATTCCACGACAATAACACAAAAACAACCCCAGGACAGCACGACAGTACCTGGAACAACGACCGGTCAGGTACCAGCTGGTCCGGGTTCTGCAGCTGCCAATAAGGGAGGAGGAGACAACGGTGGAGTTATCGGCGGTGTGGTGGTAGCCTCCCTTGTTATCATCATCTTGGTTATCGCACTGGCGGTCTGGTATTTCAGGTAATAAACTTTGATTCATGATTTCCTTAATTCATACTAGCAAAGATTAAAAAAACCAAAACCCTTCATGGTAAGCAACCAACGGAAGATAACAGCCAGTTTTTTTTTCTCTATTCATCTCAAATCAGGGAAAAAGAGAGCAGCACAGAATACAATAAAAAATACGAAAAAAGGGAACTAAAACCATATAAAACCTAACATGTACTCAGCTGCTAGACATCTACGACTGAAATGGAGATCAAACACCAAACAAAAGTGTGGATAATTGAGGTTGATTCTTAATGTATTGAGAGAATTTCCACTTTTGTTTCCTTGTAAACGGAAGAAAAAACATACCCTGAAGGCAGTACATTTGCAAAAAAAAAAAAACAATCGAAAGCAAGCGTTTGTCCTGATACAGCAGCAAAACTCGAGTAATCTTTACACAAGAGGGTGTGTCGTGTGGTTGCTACTAATGAATCACTCTAAAGCGAAATCCTGAGGGAAAACAATGAATTCAACGCAATTGCTCAGCTCGTTGTAAACTAAGAATGAATAACGGAGGACGTAGCTAAAAACTATCACCAGAAGCCTACTAGTAAAAAAAGCTGAAAAAATTGAAATGTAACTAAAACCAGAATCAAGTAGCACAATTTGTTTCTTTGCAATATTTCCTAATCCATTTCATTGGTTTTTTTCTGTCAAAAGGGTAAAAATTCCAAGTCTCCCTTTTTCTTACAAAAGAAACAGTGATGGTCCTGAGCTACGAGTGGCTTCGTTTGAGAATCCCGGATATGACACCGGAATAGGATTTGCGACACATGGTGATGATCTATACCAAGATCTACCTCCGCCGGTTGTTCTATCCCCGTACGAGGATCTCAATGACTATGGCGCTGTTAGCAATCCTATGTACTCTGAATTTGGCGCCGACCATGAAGCTTCGGTTAGGAGGTCTAATTTCGGTACAAGTTTGTTCAGCAGCCATGGGAAAGAAACCGAGATTGGAGCAAATGATGCTAAGAAAAGCAATGGAAGTATGGCAGTAAATAAGATCTCTTTGGAAGATAACAGCGTGGTCAAAATGAAACATCATAGCAAGGAGACTGGTACAAACCAGGGGCGTGAAAACAAAGGCCAAACCGTTCTTGTTTTAGAAGACGGCGAAGAGATTAACAAGGCGTCTGAGCTATGAATTACACTGGTTTAAAAATGCTGCGAAATAAGTAGCAATGCCCATAATTTACATTTCACAAAATTGAACAAACTCCTAACATGGTTTCCATCCAAAAATATGGACTTTTTAGTAGCAAACAAAACCATAAAATAATTTCGCTAAACCTCGCCCTTTCGTTATTGTGTGTTGCAATTAGAGCTAACTAGATCTTTTAGAAAAATATAATTAAAAATGTGAAACTAGAGTAAGAATCGTAAAACCGCTGTGTTCTCGTGCAATAATGAATTGAAGGCCGCCTTGGATTTTCTTTTGGTGCGAACCTCCACATTCATTGCTTACTGTACTTATATCGTTACAGTTTCTCACAATTATGATATGTAGGAATGAAAACGTACACGGATTTCGTAACTCAAATTTTTTTAATTGTCAATAAATCAAAAGAATATGCGAAATCTGTAGTCTCTGCATTTTTCCGAAAAGTTATTTAAAGTAATGATAATGCTCTCATACCTAAAATATTGGAATGATAGTGGAATCATAAATGCTTGAGTGACTCCTCAGAAGAAAAGTTATCGAACAAATTTCAAACTCTTCCTTAAATGTTTTCTACCAAGGTCTGTTTCGAAAAATACAGTGAAAAAGATAGGTCACCGTTCTTAGGTCACCGTGGTTAGCAGCAGCCGTTTTTAAAGTAACACTTAGAAAACTTGGTTGGTAAAAAGTCTCGAGCGTATGGAACAATTTTATGTATAATTTGTGGAAAATCACGCCATTTTTAAACAAAATCGACTCGAAACGTTCTCCGGGTCGTTCCTTTCATGGTCATGATTTGCATCCTCGCGTAACAGGCTTCGTGCAGGCTTGTAGCTTTCTTTTTTTCCCTTCGATGATTTTTTTAATGATTTCTCCAATTTAAAGAGGATGATTTGTACGCCAAATTTATGCAATAAAAAAATGTCGGCCACCGTGCTCGTTCAAATGCTAAAGATTATCCTACCTCTTGACCTGGTCAATTTATCGAAAAAAAAATTGCGCGCACGCTTATTCGCCTGACTAAGTGATTTTTATGCGCAGTACAGTATACGCAGTGCAATATTGAGGAATAACCTTCAGTGCACGTTATACATAAACCCACAACTTGTACGAAAGGCCCAAACTGTTAAGATCGATGTTCAATTCAAAGAAATTTCAGTCTAACCTAACCAATCATATTTTTCATTGTAAGTCTGATGAAGCGTAAATCACTTCTGAGGAATGAAAAGTTTACAAATAGTGCACTTAAAAGCTTTCAATATGCTTTGCTTTTAAATGGTTTCAGAAGTTTGTAGTTATCGACATAGTTTCTGGTCTAAAAACAGAAAAAAAAGAAAAAAAAACTGGAGTCTATCCCTGTAGAATAGAATGCAGGGCCCTCGTATGAGCCAAAGCCTTTCTTTTTTATTTGTACATGACAACATTCCATATTTTTTTTTAGACCGACTGATGCGGCCTTGTGGCACTGGTTTAAGTTCACCTGAAGGTTGTTTCTTGAGGAGAACAGCTCAGTCCCGGCACTCCGTAATCGCCAGCATCAGCAGATACGAAAGTTTGAACCTCAGGGTTTTAAATTGATAGGACACCTTCGGAGGCCCGTTCTTTCTTCAGATAGTTAAATAGAGCGTTTTGTCGGACGTGTATGTTTTATGATTCAAGTGGCATACTTGGTGAGTATGTCCTCGTTTACTTTCCTCTTTTGTTCCATTTTTTTTCGAAACTCGTAGTATGGCTACACTTTCTACCCGGTAACTTCATGTGTTTTGTTCCTTGCACACCGTGCTGTGGAATCACAGCAGTTCCTTGACATCATGAGGTTCTAGAAAGTTGACGTTAGCCTGAACTTTGGAAGGTTCTTTGTGTGACCCACATATAAACCTCCTTACAAACTCAAGCCTCGAAACTGAGACCAGACAGTGTGCTAGGTTCAGGGTTATCCCTTATTGTACGAGGTGATCCAGAAAAGCGCGTAACCTCTCGTTTTGTACTACTTTTGTATGGCCCACCACAAGGATGTCATCGAAGAGGAATTTCACATCATGCGGGCAGGCCCCTTTCGATAACCGCTTGAACATAAATCTACAAAAGGGGATGATAAAGGTAGTCAGCCTCCGGGTGTCTGGATCTAAGAGTACTTAATTGATGGAACCCAGAGTATGCAGACTTAACATCTTACTTCAAGTACACTGCGCTTACCTCTGCAATTCCAGCGTGCTTTCCATGGTTGACATTTGGTCCAGCTCTCTTTCAGTAATAGCTTGGTTCAACTTTCTCAAATTTACACACACCCTAATGTCTTCGTTTGGTTTTAGGAACAATAAAAATTGGTGAACCAATCGGTTAGTTCCTCTGAACATGTTCTTTGGCAACAAGGAGTGCCAAACAAGTGATCTCCTTCTCTAGCACCCCGAGAAAAGGCTGATGAACTCGTCGAGACGATGTGAGGCAAAAACCCTTTAAGCTCTTATGGTGTATATTCCGGGAAATTCATGGATGAGGCCCAAACTTTGGATGTCAGGAGTACCATGGAGTAGTTCAGGGGTCCCTCTGACAACATACAGTTTTCCTTTGACGTGGGTGTGCCTATGACTTGAGGTATTATCAACACAGCCAATCATGTCAAGTTATGTATCTTCAGCGCCAAGAAGTTCTGTATCAGGAACTGATAGCTTGCCATGGAAGGGGCTTGTAACCTTCCTCAGGCATGACTGATACCTGGACCCTAGTGCTTATGCACTTGAGAGTTCATCCTTTCCAGAGGGTAACCACGAGAAAAAATAGGACGGTGAAGGTGACTGCTGGGTCAGGACTTGGGACTTGTCAGTGGCACTGAAATTAGTTAGAGATAAGCGTAGCTGAACCACTCCATGCTTGTGTTGACATGTAAGGTTAACTATTGAAATTATATTCCGAAATTAGTGACGTTTACATTGATAAAACACGCGATAGCAAGTTTCGCTGCCAGACGAGAGTCACGTTTCGTTTAATGCGAAACAAACGTTGTGTAACTGTTTACTTGCACATGTCATGCATTTGCTTATCGTTCTGCATACGTCCTTTTGCTCGCGGAAAATCCGTTCTCTTTCAGTAAGACTTAGTCACCTTTAAGATTTATGTATTGAGAAACAGCGACGAGAATGGTTATTTTAAAAAACAAATTAACTTCGACAACAAGAAACTACATTAGGAAACCACAATGCTCTCCACCCTAAGCTAACGTAACTTAGGTGAAATTCACATATCACGACCAACGCCCCAATTTTCCCCTTCTGTCCCATTAATTTCTCTTGGTGCAACTTTGATGGAATGCAGGCAAAAGGTTTTCTCCACGGAAAGCTTTTTCGCTCTCAGGACCCTTCAATCGCTTGATACGCAAAAGATTTGCAAATATTTGCGAACAAACTTTAAAGCTGAAGATCTTGAGAAGGCAAATAATATATATGCTAGAGGCAAAATGAGTAATTTCGAATTTCGTGTCGTGAAACCAAAAGAAATTTAATCACAGTGGGATATCAGAACGGGGGAAAACGACTCCAGGGGGGAGCAACGGAAACTAGCAAAGAGCCCAGTCACAGTAATCAAGTCGGTTTTAGTTCTAAAGGACTAGATTAAAAATAGCATAACCAGACATTGACAAATAAAAACAAAAAGGATTTTAATATCTATTTTAACGTAATGTAAAACACTATTTAATGAATATAGCTTTTTCTTAGAGATAAACAAAAACCCCTAAGCAAAAACTAATAAAAAATTGTCAATACCTCAAGTATTTGAAATCTCTTTTTTCAACCAGTCTTCAAGAATGGTTGCAACATCATCTCTATCCATATCATCCTCTCTAAGAAACTCTATGAGCTTCTCTACAGTTGCCTCACACTTAACAGACCACAAGTTAAGAAGATCCTCGGTAGGATTTGCTGCCTGTTTTAAATTTTTTATTACATCTTGATCAAATCCCATTTTCTCTCCAAGAAAGCGATAATCTTTAAAATGATAATTATCTTCTATATTAAGTTTAAGACAGATTCTACGCTTCACTTTAATTGGAATGTCTGCGGCTTTAAAAGATCGCCCAGTGGCAGTCACTTTAGCCTGATCTGCATTTGAATCATTATCGTTGGCACTTTTTAGGTCTGCTGCGGCATTATCCATCTGATTCATTCCACTGCCCTCTTTGTTGATCTTCTTGTTATCCTCAACGCCTGGCCTCTCATCTTCCACTATGTTACATTCATCTATAAACAGGAAAGGAACAAAGAATAGGTTGCCCTCTTTGTTGTTACTGGAGAAAAAAACATTCGTAACCACCACTAATGAACACAACCTTTTTTTTAGGCTTGCTTAGGGGGAATATATAAACTTTAATTTAATTTATACAGGCTCACACGAATACACACACAGACAACACCCACAAATTGTGATAACGAGTTAAACCTACATAGCTAGGGATATATTATTTAAACAATCAAACAATGGCCATTGGAAAGTGATTAGTATTGATTATAAAATTTGCGCTTCGCGGAAAAAAAGCACAATTGACATCGTAATTTACAGACTCAACACCTTACATTAAAAAGCTTAGTTTCCTTGCATCGCCGCTCGAAGACCATGTCTCATGTTACTAGCAGCAGAGGTAAGGAGGACATTACATTGAACGGCATACCTTGGGCAATACAGGAAACAATGTTTCACTGATTCAGAGTCAACACCGCAGTCGCAAATAGGCGACGCAAAACTATAAATTTTGAAGCCTTTTTCCCCAAGACTAGAAAACCCAAGTCAAAGGTTGTTGTGATCAAAAGATACACAATCGTGTAACCTACTGTAAGTATTTCTCCTGACCAGGTACATTTCTCCTATTTGATGTTGAAAATTAGATATGTTATATAAATGTATTCAACTTAACCATTTAGGATTGTGCTGCATAGGCCATATTGCTCTTGCAGCATTAGGAGAAGTAAACTTCAATTAATCATTCCCTCTTTTCTCCAATGCTGACATGATGTGTTTCGACACTTTCAGTAGGGAGGTATCCAAAGTTTTATGATATAAAGTCACGTAAAGAGCAGGTGTTGTTAGACGGCAATTCATTGGTTGACAACCTTGAGCTAATACATCATAAGATGGTGGTGGGTGTATTTTTCAAACATTTTACCTGGTTCACTTTTACTAAATGAAGAATTGCTGCCATTTAGAGGCATATCATCTTCTGATCCTCTTGCGCTTGTGCTTGTGCTGGGGAGACCATCCTGGACAGATCTCCCCGTCATGTGGGTTGGACCACGAGCTGTCAAAACAATCATGGAAGAAAATTTTTTTTTTTCTACATCTAAAAAATTCCTCCTCATATCCTTTTCTATTTGTGGGGGTAAAAAAAGTAAGCAAGGAATTGTTTAATGTGGAAACAAAAACAAGCATCAAGACATCATCAGTGAGGAAGTTAAAATTTTTTTCTGGCTGCTGGGTTGATCAGTTCAAAGTTTAAGCTTATGGTGACAACACTGGGCCCAGCCGGAAAACACGGGCTGAATTTACTAGAAAACAGGGAAATCATGATATCCCTTATGCAGAAAGAAAGGGGAAGGAGTAGAAAAAGACTTGTCTCATGAATGAAACTAAGTATTAAATTTCAGAGTTACTTTTAATCAATTTGAGATCATTTATGTCTAAGTTTCTAACAAATATGTGTTTTGATATTGAAATCTCTTAATTTGAATGTTACATTAACAGACTCAGGATTTTTCTGCATACTACTTCTTTTATTTTTATTGGGTTTAAAATCACCAACCAACGGTGAGTGACTTTGGACCTGACTGCAATTTTATTGGAGGTCTTTGCATTCCTAGAAAATTGTGTAAAAACAGAATTCAAAACATTGATGATTTTGGAAATTAGACTACAAAAAAAAAAATTCCAAATTGTAATGGACTGATATTTTATAGTAGGCCTGATTGAAACAAGTGAGATGGACTGTAAAGCTCCAGCCCGATTTTCTTATTCTTCTCTCTTTTACTTCTTTTTTTTTACTGTATCTGGGTAAAAAACAATTTCCCTACAGTCACAGGGGTTGTTGATCTTTTCAGTTTCTTAGCCCACTGAAGATGGCCATGGTCTAGCTAAATGCCTGGGATCAAAAGTCATGATTACAGTCATTATACTGACAGACTAAAAACTTTTTCTTTCCCTAGGATAAAATAACACTTTAACTAGGCCACAGTTTTCCTTCAAATAATATGCAACTTCCCTGATCTGAGACTGCATTAATTATTTCACTAACACTCTTTACCTGGGTAGTGGGGCAAATCAGTCTCGTCAGGTCCAGTTGTATTACCTTGATACAAACAAATTAATTTCATGAGTACACATGACCCAATACCCACATTGCTGGTTTAATGTTCAGAAAAGTAAAAAATGAAAGCATACACTCCTAGAAGAAGACAGAACACCGATTGATACTATAACATTACCTTGAGACTTTGGGAGAAGGGCCCACTAAACCCAAAATTGGAGATTTTCCCTTACTACTAAGCTCATAACATGTCACTAAATAAAACGTTTTTAGGCATATACCCTTTTTTCAATACAATGTCAACATTTCCTGAAAACTGGAGCATGAGCATTGTTACCAAGTAATGCGTGACGTATTTTACGTTACGTTCCACTGTAGTAAAACCTGTTTGGATGCGGTCGGAGAAACTAGGATAGATCGAGAAATTCGAAGTGAACTACGTCTGGTGTTTTGACTGTAATTTGGTAAGCTTTATTTGCTAAGTGGATAAAGATAAAGCAGATGTAGTTTAGAAAATGGTTTTGATCTTTGAAATTCATAAAGATTTCGTCTATGAAAGATTATGCAAATTCATGCCCGAAATTGAAGCGAACCTTAATATGAGCTTTTTGTTTACATAAGTTTGGGGGATATTTAAAAGTATTAGTCGGTCTTCTTAAAGCTAAGGTATTGGTCACTGAAGGGGAAGGTTTCTTCGCTTTCTTTTCCGATCAGGCAATGTTCGATCCCTGATCTCTCGTGGATCACAGACGCAGCGATTCCACTCCGTGTTCCAGCCGTCAAAGGAAACGATCACGTAATCATCGTCTACTTCTTCAACAGTGCACGTACACCAAACTCCTTCTTCATCGCCTTCCTCAGCTTTGAAGCCCACAGTTTGTGGAAGCGCCATCACGTTTTTTAGTTCACCGTGCGTTTAGTTCATGCGATCAAAACAAGTTTGCGATCGCTAAAGCCGTTCAACTTGTTTTGATGAATCTGCAATTGGTCGCCAGGATACTAAGTGGTGTCCAGTGTCCCTAGGTAATTCTAGCGCCCCATCACGCATGTGTCGATTAACACCGGAATTCTTAATGAATTACACACTTTGTCCTTGTTGAAGTCGCCATAAAAACCTCTCATCATCCTCAGTGTGTAATCTCAAGCCCAGAGCCATTTGGATCTTAGCTGGAAGAATTGTAGCCAAGTTAAGCCTTAATCCTCTAAGATATTTGCGAGGGGAAATGCAATTTCAGAGGCAAGTTAAGTTATGTTGCCAATTGAAACATACAAGTCAAAAATTAAAAAAATACATCTATATATCTATGTATTTTCAAAAACGTTGCAATTTGGAAACTTATATGAAATATATGTATTTCTTTTCTTTTTTCACCAAAAAGGTGTCAACAGAATAAAATAAAGAGACAATTTTAAGTCACCCGTGCGTTTGCTTCCCTTCGAAGTATTTCTCTCACCGGCAGATTTGACAATCGCCTTCTTGATCTTCTCTAAATTCATAATACCTGAGCAGAGGAGCATTTTGTTGCGCATTTCCTGTATATTTTAGTTTGATGCGAGAAACTGCTGACATGAGCCTGCGTCGGTAATCGCCAAAGAAAAGAAGGAAAATACGTCGGAAAACAACGATGGATGGAATATTTGAGACAAATTTTCTCTTCATCTTTCCCGCTGTAACTTAGATAGAAGCGGCAAAGTCTTAAAATTGTAGTGTGGTCTGTGGAAGGAAGTTAATTTCAAAAAGCAAAAGATTGTACAAATGACTACGAGTCTTGTCTTGTGATTACTTGGGCGATCGATTTAGACGATGTTGTTTGAGAAGGATGCAAGAGGCCTGTCGAAGAGCACAAACGAATTGGATAGTATACTTTTATCGTGTCATTGCTATCTCAAGCTATCGTGGATCATTTGAAGTACTCACTTTCCTGTGAGCGTCTTTTAGAGCTTCAACTGTACTGCTAGTGTAAAGTTTACAGAAGTTTATGTTTTGTTTCAAAAAGTTTTTTTTTATGTGAATCACAACCGGCGGGGCCGATTACCAACAAAAAGGGTCAAATATCGAGTAAAGAAAAGAAAGACAGCGTAAGTACCAGAGATACGGTCGTTACATCAAAGAGCTTGTTAGAAAAGGAGGAATAATTATGGATTTTATAGGAGTGAGGAAAAGTCTTTTCAATCATTAGTCTCGGAAAAATCATCAGATATGATCAATGATGTGGGGAAATTAAGAATTAAAACAAGTACTAGTTTGGGCTTCCAGTTGTAATATGAATAGTTAAATAAATCAATTATTTCCCAACAAAAATTACATTGAAATTTTAAAATTATATTTAAATCATATTCTTAGGTCTTTTGTAATTGATTCTAGCCTTAAAATCCTTTTTAACTTATATGTATTTTAAATATTGTAGTTAGACATTGTAACCGAAAAGCCTAAGTTGGGAGTTACAATGGACGTATCTATGTATGTCTTCATTTTATCATTTCGACTGCACAACAAAACTGTATGCAATCTTATTCTACAACCCCTTAAATTACAAGAGTTATGTGACAACTCGATAGGCTGAAAATACTCTTATTACATGTTAAACAACAAAGAACCAGTTGGGCTGATATTTAACAGTAAGGATAAAAAAAATATCTCCAAAGCCTTTTTCCCTGGGAACAAGACTACATGAGGTTAGATTAAACTAATGTGGAGAGGTTCGTAGATCTCTTCAGGAAAACATATGATTTATATCTATCAGATTTTAGAGAAATGAGACTTACCTCAAAAGGGGACTTTGACATTGCATAAACTGTTAGTAGTAATGGACATCAGCTTGGATGCCCATCTGAGGAAATTTATAGTTTTCTAGCCAGGGGTTTGGCTGTGCCAATTTTATGGCAGACAAATCATATCTCAGACACTTAAGCAATTTTAAAGCTCCCACCAGAAGCTCAAGCACTGTTAGGGAACATGACAATATTTCACCTGATCACTCCTATTCTTTTTCAATGAAATTTGGGCAAAACTTTCAAAACATTTATTGATAATTTTACATTTGCAAAAAAAGGAAAAAAGTTGCATATTCTCAATTTCTTGAATACCAGCATGCCACAATAACTGTCACACCAATCCATTCTGTTAATGGTACCAACCATATGTAGTGGGGTCACTTCACATCTCCCTAAACAGCAGATAACTGGTCCGAAGATATTAGATATAGTCAAACTGGTCCGAAGATATTTTAACCTGATATTCGTTTTCAAATACGACAGCAATACTGTAATTAACATTCTAAAGAAACAAGGAGTTCCAGCCCCATAAGTAATTATCGATTTGTTGTATCACTCGTCTCATATTTTAAGAACCAGAGAAAGTTTGATAATTTTGCTTTGCGAGTTTCATAGTACACTTCGACTCAAAATTCATTCCGCATGGCAGAAGAATTGTACTGAAAAAAACAAGACAGAATGAAGCTGACGCCATTCCTTTCGAATAACACATGAACATCAAGAAAACGGCACCAGTTTAAACTCATGAGACAAAACCCGCGCATTTTTTTGTGATAAATAAACTGGTTAGACGGAATAAATAAATAAATAAACAATGAACTAAAAGTGGTGAGGGATTTGAGGGCCATGTGATGAATCAGTTTTCCCTAAGTTTATCCTCTAGTTAGCACTTCAAGCCCAAAAAGGCAATTAAAAAAATTCTCACCAAAACACAGCAAGAAAATAAGATAAAACCGGAAATGACTGAGGCAAGATTATAACCGTTGTTAAGACACATGCCTACATACCATGTGCAACAGACTTGGAGAGCAAAAAGGCCAAAAACAGTTGTGAGCCATGACTTGGAAAATCCACCACAACCTCCCAAAAACGAATCCGCCGAAGGTTGTAGTAAGAGCAACTCAATCCTGAAGCTGGAACATTTTTTAAATCCTTGTGCTCTAACTGACTACAAAGAGAAAGAAAAGACGCGCCTGTTTGAAGTGATTAGAAGCTTGGGGGCCTCCTCGAACTTTGAGCAATTTTAATTTCAAAGTTCCAGTAAAAAAGATCAAATTCTAAACTACTTTCTATTTTCGTAACGAATATCTCACGATCGTTTCCACATAAAACTTCGTGATTCATAGAAGTAAAACATCAACATCTTAAGACTAACCTTGAAGATTTTTAGTCTCATATGCACATCTTGATCGTCAGTAAGTCAAATCTCAAACTTCAAGTTTTCGGCCTTTTTTTGCGTTTTGTTCGCACTTTGATCCTTAACATATCCTCATCCGAAGAGCCAGCAAACTCCACGAGTATCCACAGAGTTAGAAATGGTGGTAAACTTGTCATAATCTTCATCCCTCTCCAAAAAATATGACGAAAAGGTGTCGATCGCCAGTTGAAAACCCACGGAAGCGCGCTGAAAATACCGAAATGGCGCCGAAAGCGACGAACAAATTTTATTGGCACATGCGCAGACGTATACCCCTCTGCTCTCCCTATGCTCTGCTTTTAGGCACAACATTGGATTTTGCTATGTAATTGGCGCCAAATTACTGCCAGCTAAGAATACTCAGGTGTCAGATTTAAATCATTTCCCTGGTATAACATTATTTTTGTAATTGATACTTATCTATTCTCAAACGAGAATCACGGTGAAAAATGGAAATACAAGATATTTGGAGCATTGAATAGCTACTTCAACTTCTACATCACAATCGAAATAAAGACATTTCGAATACACCCCCATTATATAGTGTGGTATTTAATTTGGCAGCGCAGGCAGTTTTCTTAAGAACCATTTCTTGAAAAGTTAGAAGTTAGTTATACATCTTTCGAGTTTACATCGACCTTGAATTGAACTGGTTTATTAATGTTAAGTAGTGAAATCACGTTGTTTCCTAGTGGAATTTGTGTTAAGTGTCAGGCGCTCGCGCGGAAAGGACTGGACATCCTGGTAGATGTCGTATGACGTGAAACAAAAACCATGTGCTAGAGAGTACCGAGCGATAAAAAACTTGTGAGGATAATCTTATGTTCAGTTGGTAACGAATACACGTGGAAAACCTAAAACCGTGTGGGTATTCTGTGTAACATTTCTGGGGGCCTGTCCGAGAGGATTTTTCGACGCAACTGTGTGGATTTGCCTGTATTGATGTTTGTTTGACCACTTCATGCGAGGACTTTATGTGGACAGCCGCCATCGTATGTTCAAGCACATGGCAGATTGTGCTGAAAGACTTTTAGCGGGAAGAATGTGACGGATTGTGGTGTGAGAGGGCGTTTGTTAGGGGCGGCTGGTGAAAAAGGTAGTGGAACGTAGTTGTGAGGCTAGTGAAAGGTAGGAACGCTGTTTTATTTAGTGGATTTTGTGGGTTTCTGATCGTGTTGTTTACAAGTAAGCGTGAGGCAAGGTGCTGCTAAGGTGTACACAGTAGAGAGTTCAGCTGATACAAGTACAAAGAAGGAGCAGCACAAGGATCAGCATATTCTAGCAACCCTGAAAGCCGTGCAAGCAAATCTGGCTTCAGTGCGGTCGGAAGTTGAGAAACTCCGTGAAACAGCAATTAGCCAGAAAGTAGACTCCATAAGGCCTTCTCGTCCTGGAAATGGAGTGACAATGGGAGCAAGGTCACCTGGTTGCCAAGAGCGTAGGAGAAAGAGGGAAGGCGACCGCTGCCCACATTGCTATCTCTGCATTGCACGCTATTGTCAAACCAAGTATAGAGGTCATCTGGGAAACGCACCCTGGCTACCCTGCGGGACAGGGAGTAGCCTCGCCAGAGGAAGAGAAGTCCCACCAGTGTAGTGGTTGCCTGAAGTTTGATTGCCATACACAGTTATTGCAGTGTTCGGCGTGCCAGTCTGTGCGGTAATGTCCCGTGGGTTACCAGAAGGCTCATCGACCAAAACAAAAGGTGTTGTGCAAGGCAATCAAAGAACTATCTGAGGAAAGAGCTCGTAGAGGAAAGGGGTTAGGAGATACCCAAGATGAGAATGTTATGTTTGCCATATCACCCCAAAGCAACAAAAGCGTACAGCCAAGCTGGTGGGAAGGAAATGCTCGGTGTAGTGCTATCCAGATGACAAGCCTTTAGACGTTTTATGGAGCCCAGGTCTCCATTGTGTCCGAAGGTTTTCTGAAGAGCCAGCTATTATCTGTCCAAATACAAGATGTTGAACAGTTACTTGGTTCCAATGGTTCTCTTAGTTTGCAAGCAGCAAATGGAACTGATATCCCATAATGTGGGTGCGCAGAGATTGGTGTGGGGTTATCAAATGTGAATGAGGCAGAGGTAAGAGTTCCATTCTTAGTAACGAAGGAGGAAATTGAACAGCCCATCATTGGTTGTAATGTCATAGAGCTAATGGTGAAGAACACTGAAGGTGAGGTGGATGGGGAAAAATTACCAGGAAGGACGATGAAAAGCTTCCAAGTAGAGATAGTGACATACAAGCCTTGATAAGCATCATACGTGCTACTAATTCTGATGAGCTTTGCTTTGTTGAATCCGCTAAGAAGGCACATACTATCCCTGCTGGACAGACTATTCGTTTACCTTGTCGTGCCAACACTGGAACAATTCACCGCAAGACACCGGTAATATTTGAACCAGATGAGCTGGCTACCTGGCCTTCAGGATTAGAAGTACATGATTCCCTTACAACTATGAAGGAAGGTGATGTTACCATATTATCCCTCAACGTGACCAACAACACCAATCACGACATCTCTCTTCCCAGAAGAGTGGTCCTGGGCCGCCTTCGGTTAGTTCGCTCGGTGACTCCTGTTGAAGTGAGATTCAAGAATACAGAGACGCAGACTCCAGACAAGGAGCTGCCCTGCGAAGAACATAAACTAACTGAGAAAATTGAGAGTAATTTGTCTTAGTTACCAGAAGTTGATGTGAGTGGACTGACAGCAGAACAAAAGGAGCAAGCAAAGCAGTTGTTGTTGGAAGAAGCAGATGCATTTGCGATGAGTGACAATGATGTTGGCTGCATCTCAGAGTTAGAAATGGATATTTAAGATGACTAGTGACCAGCCAGTTCAGAAGAATTACCTTTCCCTACCCCGTCCGTTTTATCCAGAAGTTAAGGCTATATTGAGGACCTGCTTAACCGAGGTTTTCTTCAGGAAGTCTACATCCCCATTCTCAAGTGGTGTTGTATGTGTCCGTAAGAGAGATGGTGGAATGAGACTATGTATAGATTACCGAGAATTAAATAAGAAAACTGTGCCAGACCGTCACCCGATTCCTTGTATTCAGGAAGCTTTGGACAGTTTGGGGGGCAAGTCGTGGTTTAGTGTCCTGGACCAAGGCAAAGCCTACCACCAGGGATTCATGGGAAAGTACTGTCAACCATTGACAGCCCTTGTCACACCGTGGGGGCTATAAGAATGGGTTCGGATACCCTTCAGACTGATGAATGCGCAAGAAAATTTTAAGAGATTTATGGAGAATTGCCTCAGGGAGCTCCGCGACGAGATATGTATTCCTTACTTGGATGATGTACTAGCATTCTCAGTGACATTTTCTTAACACATTGAACACCTTCGTTAAGTTCTCTGTCGCTTGAAGAGTTATGGTGTAAAGTTAAAATCTAGAAGGTGTGCATTTTTCAAACGTGAAGTACCTTTCCTTGGAAGAGTTATCTCTCAGGATGGGTACCAAATAGATCCCAAAACCACATGTACAGCGATTGCAATGAAGAACTTAAGACCACGAACAGTTAGAGAAGTGAGAAAACTCATGGGTCTTCTTGGTGTGTACCGTCGTCATATCAAAAAGTTTGCACAAACAGCAAAACCCATTTATGATCTTCTCAGCCTTGACCTGTGAAAGAAGAATGTCACCTCCACTAAACATAGTCCAAGGGAAAACATTGGGCAAGTATCATCTTCATCACCAGTGGAGTGGGAGACCCAGCACCAGTCAGCATTAGAGGTCTTAATAGATCACATAACGTCACCCCCTGTACTGGCGTACCCAGATTACGATGCACCATTTATAGTACATACTGATGCGTGACAGGATGGCCTAGGTGCGGTTTTGTACCAAGAACGGAATGGCTCTACACGAGTAATCGCCTATGCATCAAGAACTCTGACTCCATCAGAACGTAACTATCATATGCATTCAGGCAAGCTGGAATTCCTGTCCTTGAAATGGGCAGTGACAGAACAGTTCAGGGATTACCTCTACTACGCCCCTGAATTTGTGGTATACACAGCCAACAATCCCTTAACTTATGTGTTAACGTCTGCCAAACTAAATGCCACATGATTGAGGTGGGTTGGAGAGCTCGCGGACTTCAACTTTGAAATACGGTAATGACCAGGCAAGTTGAACACTGATGCTGACAGTCTTTCCAGGATACCTGCTGACTTCAAGAACTACATGGATAGTTGTACTGAGAGGGTAGTTCCTGAGAGCTTGCAGGCCTCAATCTGTGGAATTCAGACATTGTGGGGACTCAATTTGGTTGATGGCCCTGACTGATGACGACGGGGAGCTCCATCAGGTAGACATTCCGTCACAAGCAGGCTGCAATCAGGTAAAAGTGGTGGATATAGTGAGAGCACAGAAAGAAGAACCTCACATTGGGCGCGTCCTGAAAGTCAGCAAAGCAAACCAGAAGCCGACAGTTGGGCAGAAACAAAAAGAATCGCCGTTGGTTCGTAAGCTCCTGAGTGGCACAAACTTCATGAAGACAAGAAGAGTAGTATCCTGCATCGTAATCAGAAGATAGTTCTACCACACCTTATACCGTGAACTCCATGAAGAAATAGGTCATCCTGGTGTCGAGAGGGTGCTTGCGTTGGCTCTTGAGAGATTTTATTGGCCTTACATGAGGAGGGATATAGACAACTTTATCCATCATACATGCCGCTGTCTGAAACAGAGACGCCCAAATCTACCAACAAGAGAGCCATTACAGCCAATTGTCACAACAGCTCCTCTTCAAATATTCTCCATTGACTTTGTACGCCTAGAACGGAGTTCAGGGGGCCACAAGTACATTCTGGTTGTGGTAGATCCCTTTACTAAGTATACTCAAGCATACCCAACGAAGAACAAAACCGCCGTTACTGCTGCAGACAGAATCTTCAATGACTTTATCCCGCGTTTTGGATTTCCAGAGAAACTCCATCATGACATGGGAGGGGAGTTTGAAAATCGTTTGTTCGAGCGGTTAGAGGAATTTTCCTGGAGTTATGCATTCTAGAACTACCCCTTATCACCCAGGAGGGAACGGTTTGGTCGAACGGATGAATCGCACGCTACTAAATATGCCGCGAACTCTCCTTGAAACTCGCAAATCCAGTTGGAAGGACCATGTAAACAAGCTCATTCATGCATATAATTACACTGTTCATGAGTCAACAGGTTATTCTCCGTTTTTCCTGTTGTTTGGTCGAAGCCCACGACTACCAATTGATGCAATCTTTGACCCACAACCAGAAACAGGAGCCAGATCACATGCTGAGTATGTGACTAAGTGGAAGACTGCCATGCAAGAAGCTTACTCACTATTATTGAAATCTGCCACGAAAAGTGCCATTAGAGGAAAAAGGAATTACGAAAAACGAGTGAGATCTTCAGCACTGCAAGTGGGAGATCGTGTCCTAGTCTGCAACCTCACCCCTCGCAGTGGACCTGGAAAACTCCGTGCCTTCTGGGAAGATGAGATTCATGTGGTGATTGCAAAAAGAGGTGAGGGAAGCCCTGTGTATGACGTGAGATCAGAATCAGGCCAGAGACAGAGTCGTACTTAAAATCGAAACCTGTTACTTCCTTGTGACCATCTTCCGTCTAAACAGTGGCAGGAGCTTCCTTCTGTAAGGAAACCGAGACCACCAACACTTCATCATTGCGATGACGGTCAGCAGCTGATGCAGGATGAGCATAGCTATGGAAGTGACAGCGATGATGACCTTCCCGACATCTCACACCATTACCTATCACCGGGAAATGATGGCAATGATCAATCCCAGATACAGGTACAGTCTGCAAGCAAAGAAGCAGTGGGAGCAGAACCAAACCCCCCAAAATGTCAATTCTGATGAGGTGTCAGGCCAAATTGAGGCAAGTGCTATCATCACTGATTCTCCTGATGAAGCATCAGTGACTGAAAACCCTCAAGCCATTGGTGGAGAAACAAGCATGGAAGAGGATGCTAGGAACCCAGGTCGCCCTCAGCGGGCAAGACAAGGACCCAAACGACTAACATCTGACAGTCTTGGGAACCCAACTTACGTACGAGAGATTAATGCAGGACCACCTACCGAGATAAACCAGGTTGGAATACCATCGCCAGTACCCTATATACCTGCGCCACCAGTAAACCAGTACGGTATGCTGCCACCACCAATGACCGGTTTCACTCCACCTGCGGTACCCATGATGTTCTGGAGGGCAAATACGATGATGCCGTATTGGATGCCCTATCCAGCAGTGCTTCAGTTACCACAATGGGAAATGCCACACTAGCCATTCCAGTACAGACCGACAATAACCCGTGTACTACATTCTTGTTGCTCAGAGAACTTAGAAGCAAAAATGTAGTTTTCTTTTGTGTATTTTAACATTCGTTTCATGAATGCTGAGAGAACTATCCAGAGATGGTCTTTGTGATACAGAATCATGAACAGAGGTATGGTCAGATGAACTGTGATAGTTAGTGGTCTGTAAGGAGCTGGGCCTGATCACTCTAGGATTTATGTGTTGAACAATCCTAATACACAAGCCACTGTTGTAGAGGAATATTTTGTATCACATGCTAAATGTCACGAATGACATTTCTTTTTCAGGTTAGGGGGAAGTGTTGGGTAGTGAAATCACGTTGTTTCCTAGAGGAATTAATGTTAAGTGTCAGGCGTTCGCGCGGAAAGGACTGGAAATCCTGGTAGATGTCATATGACGTAAGAAAAAAACATGTGCTGGAGAGAACCGAGCGATAAAAAAGTTGTTAGGATAATCTTATGTTCAGTTGGTAACGAATACACGTGGAAAACCTAAAATCGTGTGGGTATTGTGTAACTTAAGACCAGATGCGCCACAATCTTCACCGGTTTCTTAAGCTCCACGTTTTGTGGTAGGGCAGGGTAACTGCGTGGACGTATGCTTTTCTTTCAGAACAGAATCCCGATTGACTCCACCATGCTGCAGTCCTCCTGTCCCCTTATTTGAGAGGCTCTCTTGTATTGCAAAGTTATTTACAGAATTCCTATTATTCGACAAACCTAGACAGTAGTTGTTGTCAAGTTTCCTCCCTGTTTTATCTGTATTTTACCTGTATTTTGGTCACCGTTATTGACAGCTACATCTTGGCTAAAGTGTAGCTCTTGGCCTGGGTCCCTATCGCCTTGTTCCACCTTACCCATCACATGAGCTTGTTCATCACCTACGCCATTATACCGCCTAGAAGTAAACAGAGCAAAATATGAGTCAAGTAATTAAATAAACTATACTACTGACTCAATTAAAGACAAAAATGAATTGAAACAGCCGTTGAAATTGAACTGCAGAGGCACCGATCATTATAAGGATATCATCTTATAAGTAAGTGAAGTCCACTAACGTAGACAAAAGCTATATTTATCTACAATCAATTCCAAAGGAAGTGAATTTCAAATTTGACTGGTAGTATAAACAGATGAATGAGAAATGACTGAATAATTCAAATATAATTTCATACCTGAAATTAAGAGATCCTCGCAGCTAAGAAGACTACTGAAACGAGTAGTTGTAAATAGGACCTGACCTGGTCCTATTTACAACTACTCGTTTCAGTAGTCTTCTTAGTTGCGAGGATCTCTTAATTTCATCTCTCCACCGCAGTGCAAATATATGAATTTTCATATATCTAAAATCATTATTAATTTCATACTTTTTGCGCCAGATAAATACGCCAGCGATAATGATAACGATAACGATTCCACTTGTGACTGTTCCTGCTGTTGTTGAATCAATGGTTCCCTTTTTCGACGACACTCCTTTCGTAACCTCCTCTCCATTGATATCCTTGGGGAGTTCCGTATAATTACAAAAATTTTCGAATGATGGAGGGTTACAGTTTACATATATAACCTTGTATCCACCTAAATGTTTGCTGATATAGTAGACACTCTTTTGCACGATATAATCCAAAGTGCTGTTTTTTATTACCATACGGGATGAATTGGATTGGGTTCGAAGAATGAGTGAAAAAACCACTTCAGTATGATTCAGAACTGAAGACTCTCCGGGTTGCTTTAGGACTCTGATCTGAGCTGAACTGGCGTTGGAATCATTTGGTAAGATGCTGCATAACTGCTTTTCAATGGTTGTGTTTCTGTCGAGAAGGAAAGGATATCTCGATGTTTTACATAACTTATGCTAAAGCATGATCATGTGGTGGTTGCACATTGCTTTACATTCAAGTTCCACATTCAGGTGCACTGAGTCAGAGCAGTCAAGCACACTTGGTCACTGTGTTGGGTTCCCCCTGCTTCCTTGTCAAGTGAGGCAGTCACTTTAATTCGTCCATACGGGAAATAGCTTTAATGCTTCCTTTTTTCTAATTATCAATGGTGTTTTCGCTCTGATGGGCATGCCTTCCCATGTTGGGTTTCCATAAATATTACTATATAGCAAGAATATTTCAAACTACAACGGTAATATACCAAAACGGGAATCATTTCATTTCCACAAACAGTGTTTGCAATACCTTGATTTGCAACTGCATGTATCCTTATAGCAGTAGTCTTTTATCCCTTTCACGACTGCTTGTTTAAATTTCTTCTCCTCCCACTGATAGACATATTTTAATACATTCTTATAAGTTATTAAAATAGACAAAAAGGAGTAGGTTCTTCAACCTACTTATCTTATAGTAATATCGATACTTCGACCTTTAGTCAGTAAACCCCTTGACTGCCCAACCTTAAGGGACTCTGCTTAGGAGTTATGTGCCCAACAGACCGTGCCTGGAGTATTTAGGCTACAACCGCTTAGCAAAGCTGGGAATGACCTCTCATGTGATGACTTTTGGACCACCCCTCAGCAGCAAAGCAAATTCCAGATAGTTCAAGGAACAGATATAGCTGCAATGGCCAGTATTACTTGTAACAGTATCATAGAAGTCCAAAAGAGCAGACAATTGTGTCCGAGCGAAAGCAAAAGACACCAGCCATTAATTTTTTGCTGGGAGCGGGAGATGGGGGTGAGGTTCAGAGGATTTCCTTTTTGTTGCGATGAAATGTGCTTCAAAAGAAAATTAAAATACCTCTTCCATTTTCATTTCCAATGTCATACTGACAGCCACCAGATCTATTTAAAAAGAAGTTTGATTTGGCTAATTACAACTGGTGAACCAATATCTTTGTGGGTAATGCAGTGATAATTGATGGTTCAAAAATGTTTGTTTCGTTCTTTTATTTTCAGAGAAGATAGTCGAGTGTCGACTTTGAGTGCCTCTTGGCTACTAAAAAATGTTCTCTTATACTTGTGACTGAAGGTGTATTGCTGTCTTTTCCTGCAGCTTTTTAGAAATGTACGCCATGAAACATTCTTCTACATGGAAATTTAAAACACGTTTTCCTGAACTGATTGTACGAAAAAAAAAAAAAATTGTTCCACATTGAGGATTTTATTGTACACGACTAAATTTATCTTGAAAATAGTTTAGTCTCATTTAAAGTGTTTATAGTTTAAAGTTTCATATAGGGTTAAATTAAAAAATCGAAGTAGGAAGAACAACAAACAATTTCTACTTACTTAGAGGTTGCCTTGATCCGTCTAATACAGTAATTCCATGTATTTCAGGGAAAGACAGGTCGAGATTTCCAAGATATTCTAGGTTTGTTTTGTCCATCAGCCGAATTTTTTTTGCTCTGTTATCAGACAAGTAGACAGTCCCGTTGTGAAGTGTTATAGCGACCAGATGACTGTTAGTTATCTTTTTTGATAGTTTTCGATTGCGTCCGTCCAGATCAGCTCTACCGACCACACCCGGACCAGCGTCGACCCAATAAATTACGCTCTCTGAATCAGCGTAGTCTACTATTACGCCATTTACCCACTGCAAAGGGAAACTGGAACTCGTTTCTACAATGGTGACCCTTTCCTTCCCGTCTAAGGTGGCTCTCTCAATTTTAGAATTTGAACCCCAATCTGTCCAGAAAATGTACCTGTAAGATTTGATTCATTAATTTTGTGTTATTCCTCTTGACAACAATTAATTTCAAGGTGTTAATATTATTAAAAAAAGACCTGATTATTTAACGAGGAGCAGTAAATTGTTAATAATTGTCAAGGCGATTGGCTAACCTATCCTGCTGAGAGGCAGTTACGGTTCTGTATCATTAGAACTCTCATTTTTTAATAAAAAAATAGCCAAAATTTCAAGGGCATGCTGGAAAAATGCGTCACGTCGGGTGTCAGGTGATAGTTTATTATTTTGCTCATTTGGTTGCGAAGAGACGACTTGTGCAGCAACTCTCTCACGCCATTAGAGCAAATTGCACAAAACATGTAACAGAGAAACGTGATTCACCACTAATGAAAAAAGTGCACTTTGGATGATTTCACGTCTTCAATGCTATACCCTGAAGCGTTGAGAACACCGTCCTAAGGAAGTGGTTGAACAAAAAAAGAAATAACAAAGAAAAAGAATTAAAAAAGGTCTATCCTAAGTGTCAAAATTAGACGTTTCCTAGTTATATCGAGCTTCTCAGTTCGTAAGTTGTGATTTCAATACTTAAAGTACATATAACTTCTCCTTACTCACCCATTGACCGAATCAACAGCAATACCTCGAGGCTTGTCAATGTCTCGGTCAAACAGTATCTTTCTGTCACTTCCGTCAACCTTCGCCATTTCTATTCGGTTGTTTCTTGTGTCCGTCCAAAATATGTCTTTGCTAATCCAGTCTATAGCTATTCCTCCCACTTTACCGACGCCTTTCGTCACATTTTCTTTTATGTGCGTCTGAAGATCCATCCTTTTGATGGTACCACCCCAAGAGTCACTCCAATAGATATAATTGTCCTCTACGTCCATTGCAAGGACAATGACCTTTCCAGTATCTTGCACTACAACACTAGAAGCGGTTTTCCCAGCCAACAGGTTGATACTATGTATGGTATTCCCAACACTATAGTACAAGCATGGCTCTTCACACGCTGTGAGGAGAGGAGAATAGCTAACTCAAAAATTCCACAAGATAACTGGTGAATGGGAAGCAGTACGGTAGAGAAAAACAAGAGAAATTAGCATCTGCATGACGAGCTTTGCTCACCAAAAGAATTGATGCAAATGAGGCTGAGGCGGATCTGAGATCCGCCTGGCAATTATTAACTGTAAGAGAAGAACTGACTTCGCGCCCACAGAACGACCGAGGTGTTGCGGATGAATTTTCAGTAATTACTTTTTTGGCACTTTTCGGCGTCCAAATTGCATGGCGAGAGTAGCCCAAAACCTTAAAGCAGACCCTTCTTGTCACAATACGAATGTTTTCCAGATAGGGACACGCGTTAATGTCAGCTCCACTCGCGTGATTGCATTTTTCAAGGTTAAACCCTCGCGTGGATCTAACAACTCAAGTTTACTTTAAAGCGCACAATGTAAGCCAAAGTAATTTTATAATTTAACTCCATGATCGAAATTTTGTTTACAAAGGATAATAATGGATCGACATCGACCTAGAGCGTCAGCTTCACTCGCGGGGAGTCAACCATTTTCTCTTGCCCCTTGCGCAACATAGAATGCAAATTTGCTCACCCACTCTATTGATACACACAACTCGACAGTCGTTAAGAGTTGAAAAAGATGAATTTTTTTACCAAAACCATGTATTTCCGATTTTTAAACGCTAACAAAAATTTAGTAATGGTATGTCCACTCCGGAAAATAATACCGCAAACAACAGCAAGCCCTAACCGCGATGAGAACACTCATGGATCACACAGCGCAACAGAACTCATTTTGTTTGTTTGTTTTGGGTTTTTTCCGATAATATTGGCCTGTAAAGAAATATATAAAGGAGTTTTTTTGTACCCTCCGCCGGCACCATATAATTGGCTAAATGCTAAGGAAGTAATATACTTTAAAGAGATCATTAAAGGAGTAAAATCTTTAAAAAAATTTTTCCTGCTGGGGTTTCCTGGCGCGCCACTGCGAACACAGCGAACCTCATTTATAAGGCTGCGAGAAAATAAACAAAGACAAGTAGAAAAAGTTCTTTACTCACAAATCTCTTTTACAATCTATGACCGATTTTACATCTCGTGTCTGAAGCAAGAGTTGGAAATGTAAATGCAATTTAATACGTTACGAGAAGAGGTATTTTACTCGTTGGTAATTTTATTCCTAAATTCGTTATTTATTTTTAATTGAAAAACCACGGGATTTGAGGACAGACACCACCAAGGCAAACACAACATCGACGTAAAAATTACCAGTCAACGGAACGTGCACTTATGATGTGTAATTAGTTTAAGGTTGGTTGGTCATCTAAACAGGAAAACTATATTTTTCTATTAAAACAAACATTGCTTTTTCATCACGGCTTTTCGCGGTTAACGTTCAATTAAATCTGCAAAGGAAAAGAAATCAAGACAAGTAAATTTAATTATGTCGCAATTCAAAATTAGTTTGTCATAAGATGAAAATGCACAGTCTAAAATGAAACAACTCCCAAAGAGAGACAGAACCAAATAAAAAAAAGGAAAGATTTTGCATTCAGATAGCAAAGGTTCTGCCTTCAGATAACAACAGCCCAAATAGGACTGACTACCCAAGGGAGACAGAGCCAGGTGAAAAAAGGGAAAGATTCTGCCTTCAGATAACAACAGCCCAAATAGGACTGACTACCCAAGAGGGACAGAGCCAGGTGGAAAAAAAGGAAAGGTTCTGCCTTCAGATAACAACAGCCCGAACAGGACTGACTACCCAAGAGAGACAGAACCAGGTGAAAAAAAGGGAAAGGTTCTGCCTTCAGATAACAACAGCCCAAACAGGACTGACTACCCAAGAGAGACAGAACCAGGTGAAAAAAAAGGGAAAGGTTCTGCCTTCAGATAACAACGGCCCAAACAGGACTGACTACCCAAGAGAGCCAGAGCCAGGTAAAAAAAAGGGAAAGGTTCTGCCTTCAGATAACAACCGCCCAAATAGGACTGACTACCCAAGAGGGACAGAGCCAGGTGGAAAAAAAGGAAAGGTTCTGCCTTCAGATAACAACAGCCCGAACAGGACTGACTACCCAAGAGAGACAGAACCAGGTGAAAAAAAAAAAAGGTTCTGCCTTCAGATTCTGCCTTCAGATAACAACAGCCCAAACAGGACTGACTTCACCCAAGAGAGACAGAACCAGGTGAAAAAAGGTGAAAAAAAAAAAGGTTCTGCCTTCAGATAACAACAGCCCAAACAGGACTGACTACCCAAGAGAGACAGAACCAGGTGAAAAAAAGGGAAAGGTTCTGCCTTCAGATAACAACAGCCCAAACAGGACTGACTACCCAAGAGAGACAGAACCAGGTGAAAAAAAGGGAAAGGTTCTGCCTTCAGATAACAACAGCCCAAACAGGACTGACTACCCAAGAGAGACAGAACCAGGTGAAAAAAAGGGAAAGGTTCTGCCTTCAGATAACAACAGCCCAAACAGGACTGACTACCCAAGAGAGACAGAACCAGGTGAAAAAAAAAGGAAAGGTTCTGCCTTCAGATAATAACAGCTCACATACGAATGACAAAACCGGGAAAAAAATTAAAAAATGAAGGTTCTTCCCTCACGGAGATAAGTCTGATTACACGAGAGAGTTGGTAAGAAATAACAAAAGAACGAGAGTATCTTCAGGATTCTGCTTTCGAAACTGCGAAATAGTACAGTACGATTAGTAAGAAAACACACTAACCTGCCAAGAGCGCTTCATCTTATAGGGAAGGAATATTTGAGCTGTGATGTCAGGGTTCATTCCATAATTAGTTCATCTTGCTCATGTTAGGTTTCAACAGTTTGATAATACACCATGTGATTTTAAGCATCTGTCACCTAACTATCACAGAAATAATTCCTTCTCTTGCTTCGAAAGCACAGAAGTAAAAGTAAACCTTGCTTTGCTGATTAAATGGTTTGGGCATCATCATTTTCCGCTCAAAGGTTATTAAGCAGCGAGATTTATCGCGCGTCATCATATAGCTCTAGACAGAAATTATCAGGCATACAACCTTATCTAAAAGCCAAATTGGACAGGCCAGCGAGTAGAATTTCTTCCTCGCGAAGTTTTTACCTTAAGGAAAGAACGATGGCCCCTTTTCGCAGATACCGCCGAATATACTCGTACTTTCGCACAGAATTTTCGCGGGATAAGTTCCCGCGCTTACCTGATGATTGGGACTTACTAAAATGATATTTTATACTGAAAGAGCTCCTCCGTATGGACGACAGAAAAGTATTATCAAAATATCTACCCAATCGTTTCAAGTGTTAAATGATACTCTTGTATCTCCAGAACATAATGCAGTCGAAATCTCTCTTGAAAACAAGGTCCTTACCGAACGGCTCACCGGCTTCCATGTTGACTTAGGGTCAAAGGTCTGATCAGAGTGAAATATAAGTTGGCTAACACAATTTAATTTTGGTATTGTCGTGACAGAACAGATAATCGCTCTTTGCGTCACAAACCAATAAATCTATAGATCACGAACAAAACATGCTGGGTACAATAACTGTTACTTGATAGTCATGTCACGCACTACAACCAGGCTATCCTCAAATGCCATGACACACTACGGCTTAGCTAAGCCGTTCTTGTCGCTGAATCATTCTACAATTATAAAAATTGCCATTCACGCCATGAATGCGTAGTTATCTCCAAAGAGAAAATTGTGCAAAAGAGTCCTAAATTTACGTAGCACTCCTAACGCGCAAGCCGCGCGGATCCTCGCGCCTGTTTACATTTTAATTGTTAACTTCAATTAATTTCACGCTCGAAGCCAAACACCTCGCTTTCACTTGCTAATTGAGCCCTCTCGCTTTACTTTGACAAGCCTATGGATCATTTTACGCATCCCTGGTGAGAATTCTTTTCTTGAGCAAAGCTCGTCATGAGATCAAATCGAACAGTTAAAATAGAAAGGGCGTTACACTGATTAATTTTAATCACTTCCTTTACGATAGTTAACAATTACTACGCTAAGCCTCCTTATTGTGCAGGTGTGCTCTTAAATATTCCTTTCCTCCGTAAAGGTTTGTAAGTAACACAGTGAATCAGTGCTGTTACCAAAACACATTTTGCGACGAAGATTGACGAAATCGGTTGACAATTCAGGTTAAAACGATGAAGTAACTTACCATGGATGATTTTACAGTGACGCCATAATAGGAGAATTAAAAATAACTTCAATCTCTCCATCCTGAATGCCAGGGTTAATTCCTGCTTCTGTAAAGTGAAATATAATTTGCTAGATTAGAAACGCTAGATTGGCAACGTCAAAAGAAAACAGAAAAGAAGAACACGGCTGCTTCAAAGAATGTAGACTGCGGTACTGTGTTGTTTTGACTTGTCATAAATTCCTATTAGCGTTAAGTTAGTCTCCTTTGCGGCCATAATTTGGTTACGTCACGTGACGCGTTGCGTGACTAACGCAAGGTAATTCCCCATGTTCTAAACGAGTCAGGGATTGGGTTCGAGTTGGGACCGCAAAGCATCTATGGATTGATTGAAGGGACAGACGAGTCATATTTACAAAGTAATTCTGAAATGCCTCACTATAATTGTTGCGTTCCTGGCTGTACAAACAGCTTTAGGAACGTTTCACATCTGCATTTCTACAGATTACCGAAAGATGAGTTTACCAGAAAGCAATACAAAGTCATTTTGAAGAATGATTCGCTAAAATTGGACTCCACAAATACTCGAATTTGCTCAGACCATTTCGAAGGTGGCGAGAAACTCAGTCGAGCTCATCTGCCGACTATATTTCCTTGGAAAAAGGCAGAAAGCACTAGACGACAGCTAAAAAGAGTCATCAGCTTCGAAGAAAATCTGGCAATTCAGGAAGCAAAAAAAGAAAGAGGGAGGAAAAGAAAAGACATGGCACAAGCATCAGTGACAGTCAAACATGAGAACAATCGTGAGACACAAACATCTCTCACAGGATTGGAAATCGAAACAATGTTAAAGGAGTTGCAAAAGCTTAAAAAGGACATCAGTGAATTGACAAATGAAAAGAATCAGCTGCTGGAGAAAAATGCCAAGTTGAGTGAAGAAAATGCAAACCTACTCGAGGCAAACTTAAAACTCGAGTAAGAAACAAAAAGACTAAGACACTCTCTTGAAAACTTTCGTTTCGATATTGAGAAATATAAAGACAATGCTGAAGACATTGCCTTTTATACTGGTTTACCAGACTATAATGCACTGCTGATATGTTTCGACATGGTTAAAGATGCAGCAGAGCATATTGAATATGAACATGAACGAACGCACCCAGGAATTCAGTGTGGCAGACCTCGATGTTTAACCAAGTTCCAAGAGTTTACTTTGACACTAGTGAGATTAAGGCTTGGATTGCTGGAAAAGGACCTTGCTCATCGGTTTAGTGTCTCAAGACCCCTTGTATCCAAAGTTTCAAGGGCCTGGACGAGATTTCTGAGGGGACAGTTTGAGCCACTTATTACTATTCCACCCAGGGAAGTTCTCAAACTCTACATGCCTGACATTTTCAAATCCTTCTATCCAGACTGTGTCATTATTGTGGACTGTACAGAGTTTGAGATGGAGAAACCTTCAGCACTTAATTCTCAATCTGCTTGCTACTCGTCATACAAGTCTAGAACGACGATGAAAGCCTTGCTTGGTATAACACCCAGTGGTGCTTTATGTTTTGTCAGTGAGCTATTTCCTGGTTCAACTTCTGACAAGGAAATAACAGCTCAAAGTGGACTGTTGGACAAGTTACAACCTTATGATCAAGTTATGGCAGACAAAGGGTTCAACTGCACTGATGAGCTTGCTTCTGTGGGAGCAGAACTGATTAGACCAGCATTTTTGGTTAAAGATACACAATTCTCAAAAGAAAGAAACCAACCACAACAAGATTGTTGCCAGTTTGAGAGTACATGTTGAGCGATTGATGGAGAGAATAAAGAATTGGCACATCTTTGACCACCGAATTTCAATTACTCTTGCCCCCCATAGCATCTGATATGTTATTTGTAGTGGCTGGACTTTCTAATTTTTACCCTCCTTTGATTAATTAAAATTTATGTGAATATAAAGCAACATTTTAATACTTAACAATGGTATGGATTTATGTTTTATTGCCTTGCATTAAAATAGCATTGATAAACTAGTGTTTGATAATGTATTATGATATTGCCATCATACCACTGGACTGTAACCAGACTGGTTATAAGTCATTACAATAATCCAAGCACACTACACATGTAGTTAGTAAATATTTTACTCAGTCAAATATGAACATAACTGTGTACAATGTATAAAAATACTGAGTTAATGTGTATAGACAAAACAGATCGCTGTTTCTTTCAAGACAAAGTTTATCTAATCTTAGCTATAGCAAATACCTATAGGGTGGTTTTTAAAAAACCTGTGAAACAATTAATACTATTTACTTTCTAATAGTGCCAGTATTAAACAATAGAAACAAAAGCATTTAAGCAGAAAAGCACTAAACATGTACAAAACTTAGTACGTGTTTCACAGGCTTTTGAAAACCATTCTACCTTCACAAATATATTGTTTACACTCTGATAGTACTAAAAAGTGTGCAACATAATTTGGGCAAACCACTAATTCCCATTAAATTTTGATTTGCCTATTTCATTGTATAGTTTTCTTAAATTACACACTTTTACTGAAATGAACACATTGATTTTGACTGTTTTAAACTGAACGAGCATTCAATTTAGGAATTCCATACTTGACTCTAGGATACACAAGTTCTGGAACAATCCAGTCATTAAAAAGGATTCTAGCTTGGGCAAAATAGACTTCCAGCGGTCTATTGAAAAATGTACTCTTTCACAAAACAGTGAATCACAGCCTGAACCCTTTACAACAAAATCTGTCCACTTTCTTCCAGTAACAAACATTTGCTGATGGACTTGGTAGAAGTATTTGTGTTTGTCATTTAATCTCAATGCATTACTGTTCTTTTTTTTGCAAATGCTCTTGCGTAACAATGCCTTTTCTAGTGTTTCATCCTTTGATGTCTGGACATACTTAACTTCTATAAGTCCCTCTGAATCAGAGGCTGATGGATCATGTACAAGGCCATCGGGGCTAGCACCAAGGTAACCATGTTCTTTTGAAACAAAAACCCACATTTTGAGACTGTTATGCCTTCATCTCCTTGACTTTGCTTGAGAAGCTTGTAATCATTGATAATCTGGTCTTCCATTTTCAGTCCTTCCTCCATTGACTTACTTTGATAGGCCTTGTTGTAACCAAGTATATCTTTAATTATCTTAGTAGGGGACGTACTTTCTCTCTGTACAGCTACACGGTAACATTTTGTGGCAGTAATCCTTGGTTGTCTGTGGCGATGCCATAATTCAGTGTTTGATTGACCTCTAGTTTGTTCCTCAATATCTTGCCTTTGTAAATCATCAACCATAAGATTTCTCTTTGCTTTTTCAAACTTTTCTTTTAGCTCTTTTGCTGACACGGGATGACATTTGACTGGTGAAAGCAGAGAATCCTTTACATCCTGAAGTTTCTTTACTTCCTGAGGCAGTATATGTGTCCAAGCTACAGTGTTTCCTGATACCCTCTGGTACTCCTTCATCATTTCAAAAAACCTTGACTTGTTTTCATCGCGACAAGCATTTTGGTTTGCATTTACTGGAGAGTGATGAAGCTTACGTATCTTCTTCTCTTTCGTGTAGTCGTGTAGTCGTGCTTCACAAAAGTCATCTCATTTATGGGCTGTATTGCACCTTTTCTCTTTCGTGGCACATTCCACTTGCATGGTTTGGAGGTGCATGACTCATCAGACTCATCCAGTTTTTCCCTTACTTTACAATAGTTTTCTAAAGCAAAAAGTGTTGATGCAACATGGTTACATCTCCCATCTATGCCAGCAGGGCATTTGCAGTGGGCTCTTAGCATCTTTCCAAGTGAACTAATAACTAAGTAGCATGTATAAACTTTGTCCTTTTTCATAGATGGGAGGACTTGGCTTTTGATGTAGTGCTTGCCATTTTGTTGTAGGTGGCCTATGTACAGGACATGACCAGATTTAAAAAAGTTGAATCCTTTAACAAGTGGCTTAGCAGTGGAGAGCTGCTTTTACATTCTACACCTTCGATCATAAATCTCCACACAGTTCCAAATGATATTTTTGGTAGTGCCTTTATATCTGGTTGGAATCCTTCTTTTGGGAATGAATCCTTTACTTCAGGCTCTTGATTCTCAAGTACGCCAAGTTGAGCTTTTTCCGTAACAAATTGACGCCGCCATCCGGATCACGCAAGTATTTAACATCAAATCCATGCTTGATGTAGTCGTGTACTCTATAAGTCAAAATTAGAGCACTCATAAGTACGAGTGGACTTTATTAAATTCAAAAATTTCGATTATATTAAATTTTTACTCTTAGGAAATTTTAATAATAATTCTGAAAAGGCATATAATTACAAATAAAGTTGTTATAAATAAAAATAACTTATTGCGTGTAAAGGTTCTTAGTTTAAAAGTTGCCAGCTTCGATACGAACCTCGACACTAAAGCTTTCTTTGTTCCCGTCGTTTTTGCACCTCTGCAAAGCAGCCACCTCTTCAACTGGACAACGCTACATTTTTCAACAGAATCCCTTGGAAGTTTTGCCCCAGGAATATCTTCCTGAGTTAGTTTAACAGTTAGTTTGGCTTTGCTCTCGCTTTCAGCCATATTGATTTGGAAAATCTGTCCCTTCAAACGGTCAGCATTAGATTCCATCCACCAAAACCACCTTGGTCGAGAGGGACTGAGATGGAATGATGGAAAAAAATTACGAAGCTACGACAACATGCCGACTTATCCCGATGACCCAAGTGTATTATTTGTTTGGGAAATTGCGTCAAAACTTTTTACTAAAGAAATGGTAAGTATTAATTTATTGTTCGATTGTAGTATTATAAAACATTTTACGCAATTTTATTCAGATATTTCACGTATTTAAAAGGTGCTTAGATGTTACGTAGTTTTGGTGGATGTCATTAGGGAACATCCACCAAAACTTTGACCAAAACCATCAACAATATATTTTTTAAATTTTATCTATAGCCATTGTTAGATGTTCAGGGAGACAAAATATTTATACCACTAATTAGCAGTTAGTGCTCTGGCTAATTATTTTTTATGGTGCACAATTGCTGACCGACCAAACGTTCATAATGATTATCATAACTCTTAACACATAGAATAAAGTGGTTTTGGTGGATGTTTCTCTCCATCCACCAAAACCACCACAGAAATTTCTGCTACTTCCTTACAGAAGACTGATGTGACCTGCTATTTGGAGTACATAACCACAATCTATTTCTTTGTATGTAGAGATATTTTGGAAAGTTCTTGAGTCAGCACCTTTTATTATTGAAACCATAATCATAACATGGTGCATAATATAGAATACAAAAGATTCTGGTGTGGTAATCATGTAATCTTGAAACAGGAGAGTTTTTAACTGACTTAAACTGATTTAAACAAACATTTGCAACAAAATTCCAGGTCCAGAAATTTCTTCCACTATTTCCGCTAAAATCATAACCTTTAAGTACAACAAATCAGCACATTAGTAATTGTTATCAGGGGTCTGAAAATCCTATAAATCTTTCACATTTATTTCAAGTAACCTTTAATTTCACATGGATGAATAAGTATACACTCAACATGCAGAATGTCTTACAGTTTACAAACTATTTCCCTTTTTATGGATAGACAGTGAAAGGCCTTTGCCACATTGGTGAATCAAACCATTGTATACCATGCATTTTGTGATAATTGTTTGTTTTTGCTCACAATACCCAGAAAAATGGAGGGGATAAATTTAAATAGCAAATTCTATGGTTAAAATTAAATAACATTGAAAGATCAAATTAACTTTGTACTGTTTAAAATTCAGTTTTGGTTTCTTGCTTATTCCAGCCTCTTGATATTCAAAAGCATTCCTTGTCATTTTGTGTTCTTCTGTGTACATAACTTGAAAAATAAACACAGAGAAAGGAAACCACAAAGGATTAAACTTGAAGCTAAAGCAAAGTTTAAGTTGAGCCATAGCTGATCCAAATACTGAGCACTTTGTATTGTAACCCATTTAGCAGTAAAGTTTATCTATATATCTGCCAGCTTGTCACACGTCTTACCCCTCTCCTTCAAAAGTCTCTATAAATAAATTTTTCTTTGTGGTCCCTAATTGATGATTAGTATATTACACCTCCTCAATTTTCCTCTCTCAAGACAAGGTTACTCTAAATTTAACAAAGTAATGGACTTGATAAAACTCAAACTATAACTCAGCTGGCTGCTACTTGCAACCTTAATTTCTAGATATCAGTATACAATAATCAATATGTTATAAATAAGAACCCTAATGCTTAATTTTGCAGTGATCACCTTCCTCCTTTTCATTTGCAGACCAGACTGGAACCTCTATAGGCGTGTTTGCTTGTTTTGAGTGGGGATGGAAGAAAAGGAGTCATGCCGCATATCTGATTTATTAAATTGGATTTGTTCTGTTTATACATTAGTAGAACTACCTTGTTCTCTGAAAAAAAAAATTTCTCGCATTTTTATCTGTGCTTTGCAGTCAAACTTCCTTGTGTCTTGGACAAGAAATCTTATTTTCTTGAAAACAAAATCTTTGTTTCCAGCCTTCTGTAATAGGTAAATATAACATTGTAAGATGAGTGACAGTGTATTTCTCAAGTTATTTTTTGGAATGTGACAAAATGGAAGTGTCATAGTGTGATAAGGAGCCAACATATGATTGCTTGATAGAAAGCAAAAAAATGCAGAATTGCATATATTTCCTCCTTTGTCAGCAGCATATGTTAGTGAAAAGTTCTTATAATTGTTAACTTCTAAACCATCTTCAATTTAGTCAAGATTGAACTGTTATCACGTTTGTCATAAAAGTATTCTGAGATCAATGTCATATGACCCATTCATGTATTTGACCTTTTGAATTAGCAAGCCATAGTTGACAGAAACACAAAGGTTGAGGATATAAAGAAATTATTATATACAGTACTTCTTCTGCATCTTTTCGTTTCTTTTTCTCTCAGCTGTTCTATCTATGCCGTGCTGGCAATTGCACTTTCCTTCCCAAAATTAGGAAAGGCACACCAGTAAAAAACGAATTTTTGCTCCTTAAATATCTCATGCATCTTCCCCCAGTATTTTGTGACTTCTGTCCGAGGAAGGAGGTGTAAGCATTAAATTAATCCGAATGATTCCACAATTGTGGTAGAACTTGAACTAGATAAACTAGTGAGAATGCACAATAGCGATAGCAAAGCTTTGTAATGTCAAAGAGCTATATCAATATATATATATACATATATATATACACCGGTGTTCCCGAAACCTTTGACAGCTTTAAAGAAAGAAAACTTCGTCGTCAATCCTGTTTCAAATTCCGCAATAAGTTTATGCGCCTCATCAACAGAATTTACGTATCCTAAATTATCTGCATGTCTACCATCAATAGTTCGCGACTTAAAATTCTCGCTATGTCAAGAATCATGGGATTTACAGCTTCAAACAATCCATAGATGTTTTGCGGTCCCAGTCCCTCGGACCCAATCCCCCTTCAAACAATCCATAGATTTAGAAATCCCCAACTGTTTAGGGGGAATTGCATTTAAATTAAAGAAAAAACAATGAAGGAAACAGACGAATATGTATGTTATCTCTTGATGCTAGTTAAATGTAGCGAGAATGGACTGATTTGGTTTGAAATGGTGAAAATTTCCGGCATTTAGTCCATTCGAGAGTGTGCCCGACAGTCGGGTCAGAAGAATAGTCAACTGAACGATATCAAAGTATACACAGGCTAGGAGGGTTCTTCCACTTCAAAACCAAATTAATTTTTGGAATCGATTGACATTTTTTAAACAAACATTTGATACTTTTAAGAAGTTTGAAAGAAAATTTTCGGTGGAAATTCTGTAAAAACTGCTGACTGTCGCGCATTTGTGACCCGGCCCTCCACGGGATTTCAGGGAACAAGGTGAACGCACGCACACGGTACACCAGCGCGCACGCTACAACAAAAGAACGAGCTTTCAACACGTTAGCTGCTTGTAAGTTACTTGCCTCATTAAATTCGCAGCTATTGTCTTGCTTCGCACGGTAGAAACAAAGAAACGTGTTAAGATTCTTGCTTGCAACTTTGCACGATATAACACGGTGACCGTGCCAATTTTATAACACGCCCCTTAAAGTTAAAGTTGCTTCCAACACCCGAAGAAGTACGTCCAAAGCTTTATGGCTTTTTAGCTCACTGATACGCCCGGCCGATATCCAGTGCAAACTAATTCGTCAAACACAATGGAATATCTCGACTTGTGTCCATCATTTAAAACTTTATTTGAGTTGCTTGTTGAATTCCTCATTTCCGCAAATGGCTACTTCGATGAGGGTAAACAGTGTTCTCACCGTGTTTGTCTGTTCTGCTAGTCTCCGAAGCATTAGTTATTTACATTGTTAAATTTGTAAACCGACAAGTACGTCAGTCCGTGGGGTGCAGTAGTAGCGTCATCCTTTTTTTTCTCAATACGGACAGAGTTTACAAAATAATAAAATATC